ACCCGTTTTTACACTTCGGGTAATACCAAATTTTTGACGAAAATGGTTCCCAGACTCATCTCGATTCGAGTATGCTAAGCACTATACGTAAGAAGCAACATGTTGCTGTATACCTTAAAAAATAAGAACGGAATCAATAAAATGAATGTATGCTGAAATTTAAATGTTATGTAGTGTTTATCAATAGCACATCGCTACATTTGCATTTACGACATCCCAAAGACATTACTAAGGCTATTCCGTTATCTAACGCTCCCACAGAATTTATTTAGCCTTTTCACGCCCTCATATCTCAGTAATCGTTCGATTCCTCGATATAGATGTTAACAAGAAAAGGTCGAGTTTACGAAGTTTGCGGTGCTTAAAACATTTTACTACGAAATGAATATCGACAAACATTTATTCGTGTAGTACATATATAAAGTTCAAAATAAACTAGCTTTACATTTATGATAGTTCCAAAAATAACAAACAAGCAGAACTGGCAAGAAAGTCGCTGTCACTATTTTTATCGTCAAATTTCATTTTACAAGAGTCTTCGCTTACTAACACTCGTAATAGTGACAGTAAACAGACAATATATGAAGTTGGCCAAAAATGGTAATTAATCTTCGTCGACTTCGAATTAATGACAAAATTAAAAAAAAAAGGTAAAACGAAAGTTTGTAATAATGAAATGTTCAAGTGACAGCGACACGATTTTAGCAAATTAAATGTCTAATTCAGAAAGTTCAGTCCATTAACTATGAAAAACGAAGGAACGAACAGTTGGAAAAAAATATAAAATTTTTGTTGAGCTATAAATTAACCGGGTGAGCTTCGCAATCTGCATTAGCCGAGACGCACTTCTTTTCCGACGATTAAATAAAATTTCATGCCCGGTTGCCTACGGGAACTCACTGGACAAAGGAAATTTAAATTGAATGCTTTTAATCTTGTTTAGCTATTATAGATGTTTACTAATACACCCTTTTTTCCTTTGAGCGTGACTATGACGTCCCTAATCGATATCCTATTTACGGTGCCAATCTAAACGGCTTTATGTGAATAGAATATAGATAATTAATTGTTTATTCTGACTTTTGTATTTTATTATCAACAGTCGTTTTTAATTCAAACTGAAATGATACTGTAGAAGGGATTGTTAGCGAACGAAACTTGCTGTCAAATGTGAATTCCGAATTAAAAGAGGTTTTAAAGATCCGCTACACATAGTTACAAAGATATAGGATATAAAAAAAGAAAAATAAATGTGGTGTATGCAGTAAATAATTGGCGTAGCACTTGTGCTACGGCGTAGATATGCACTACGAATATTTCGTTTCAGGACTTATCTACGCGTACTTTTAATTTTAAAATTAATCTTTTATAAATCATACGTCGCTAATTATTATTAGTACTGTCTTTTAAATGCAATATTTTTGTTTATTACGTTATGTCCTTATTCATTTCAAATTTCCATAGATTGCCTGTATAATTTAATACATAATCTCCATGTGAAATACAAAAAAAGGGCATGTTGTCTGAGCTCATCCCCTTTTCTCCGCTAAAAGCAAAAACAATGTTGATGCTGTTTTCATCGTTAAAATTTGATAGGGATATAACTGAATTTTTAAAACGCCTCTGTCCGAACGCAAACACTAACTTTATGTTATTGGCTATTGGTTTACGTAATAACCCCATTACACCTGCGAGATTCACTCTAATAGGGATCGGGAACGGCCTATTTGCATTTATGTTGAATTTACTTTTAAATTAAACTTACTTTAAATATAAGCACGAAAGCCGTGCTATGGATTCCAATTATCCCATCCCATAATACCATGGTCGGCATTAGTATTTGAAATGAGTTCGAAAGACCGTTAATAATTAAACAATAATTATCGTACGTGTAAAGAAATGTCTCCGCCTCTCATATGTGATACACAAATCAATTGTAAATTGTAGGCAGAGCATTTAAAAACTAACTGGCATGGCGTTAACTACAAGTAACGTGCAAAAAAGTTGTATCAAAGGGTAGAGTATAGAATGATAAGTATGAAAAATACGTACTAAAAATGAAGAAGAATAAAAAGGTCATTACATGCTCAGCCAGTTGAAAAATAATACTAAACTTCTGTACATAAGATCAAGTGCCTTTGATGCACTGATTTTCAGAGTCTAACCCAAGTGACATGTCTTTACATTGACGTAGATACAACATTAATTAAAATAGGTATGTGGAAACCTATCACCTCGTCCCATAATGGTCTGTATTTGTATCATATTGGCTGTTTATGAGATTCGAGTCCAATTATCTCCGTACAAGCCACCCATTGATGGCTTATGTTATATAATCACACAATGATTTCATACCGCAGTCCACATAACAGACCAATCTAAGATTATGCTGAGTGCCTCAGTTGTCAATACAAAATAACGACCAATCACTTATACTTAACGTCCTCAGAAGGACTATATATTAAAAAATACCATGAAGCACAAAGGATATTTCCCTGGGGCCCCATTAATGTTCCGGTGGTGGCGTTCGTCCGTTCGACCGAATCTCTGGAAATTAAGGCAGGAAAAAGTCAATAAATCCAAGAAGCAAGCTGGGGCAGGATAACAAATGTCTCTGGAGCGACACAAAGCGGCAGGAGCGACACAGGACCGCGCTACATTAATGTGATACTAACATCGCCTCTGGGGAAGGGTATACCCGCACTAATACACTTTGTGTCAAATCTCAAAAGCTCTAATTTTAATGTTTTAAGAAGCGTTGATTATTTTACGCTCTACATATAGCTCGTTACTACATATATATATAGTTTTTTCCATTGCAAATTATCATTTAATGTGACGTATCTTACTTATCTATCGTTTTAAGAAATTTAATTTTAAGATTAGGAATACAATAATTAAATTAATTAAACTCATAAACTTATTAAGTGTTGCTGCATGGGAGTCTCGCGGAGACTACTTCCGTCCACTACTACAAGTTTCCGAACTAATCCAAGTTTTCCTTTACGAGCTAATGAGACGAGTTTGATTCGCATCTCCCGACGTTGGCAAATGGGCGTTCGCCTGTAATACATCCCACCTTACCACTAGTTTCATAAGAGAGCACCGGGATACATTGACAAACTTTATATCAACGGTCCGCGTTCGGGAAACCAGCTATTGTTAAGCACCATTTCTGCAAAATAGTATAACTAACTCAACTAACAGTGACTATATTCTTAGCAACAAATAGTCGAACTCATTTATTGTCTGTTATCAAAATTAAAATGTACATAATATTAGTATGTGTAAAGTAAACGTATTTTGAAGTAATCATCTTAGATAACCTTTTAAAAGCATATTCTTATATCTACCGAATACGTGTACCACTTAAGAATAATAAATTGAAAACACAAACAAGAAGTCAATTTCTTAACTTTTTATCCACATTAGAGGAAGCGTAATTTATCCCGCCAAGTTTCAACTAGCTTGCGCGCGAGCAAACAAAGCGTTCGAGTCCGTAATGGAAATTACACACCCCTGAGGTTGAAAATCAAATTGACAGAAGAGGTTAAACAAACGATGCGGCCGAGCTCAAGACCGAAGCCAGCCGAATATTAATCGGTCGGCAAATGCGCTTTTATTTGTTTTTGCCTTCCCACGTTACCGGCGTCGTCTGGTCAATTGATCAGACCAACACTTGGAAATAGATTAATGGCCCGGTCGATTCGACTGATTACCTACTTACTTACTATTCGTAGGGCTAACCGAGTGGAGATATAGCGCGGTGTGCGTGCTTCACTACAGAGTGGTGAATCATGAGAGAACTTAGAAGTTACATCGCAGCATATCCAGGATTTGATTATAAAATATCTTTTAATTATGTAAACGTAACTATATAAACTATAAGTAGAAGAAGAAAAATATAATAGTCACATTTACGCGCATTAGTAAAAATTAAAAAAATATATATACGATAAAAAAATACATTCCAACACACACGCTTTTCGTCTCAATAATGAATCGTGAAATCTACTAAGTTAGACTTTAATTCTGGTCTTAATCATGTTTTTGCGCACTCGGGCGTCGGGCCACTGACATCTCACTGAGAATTGGTCACTACTCCAACCCTATTCCTCACTAAAGTTTAATAAAGAAACGAGAACATTTGTATAACACGATATTTTACTAAATTTTCGCGGAACGTTTGTTATTCTTATTTACAAGTTCATTAAAATGATCTACGTATAATTTCGATTCAACAACACGGCTATAATAAATATTTATGCAGCGCGGAAATAAAATTCGTGTTTTAAAAATCCTTTTATTATTTGGTTTCAATATACCGATCCACTATCAACGTCCGACGGTATAAAAGCTTGATTAATGACATTTTCCTCTAGAAACCGTTTGCAATGAGTTATCAACTGCAACAATTTTATAAAATGTTTAAAATGTAAAACTGTAACTGGCGAAGCGATCTTATAAAAAAATGTCGCAGTTGTTCAAAAGTTTAAATCGTTACAATTTTGTTTAATAACTTTGAACTCAAACAATTTTTTTGAACATTTGAATTCAAAGTTACTACCATAGCTTATAGGACTTTACCTTCCTTCGGCCCTCTACATAAGCCTTAACCATTTTAACCATTTCGTAAGTTCTGGGTTCGAACCTTAGATAAACATAATAAAGTCTTAACAATCGAAAATAAATTGATTTTTTTTTTATTTCTTAAGCTGCAAAGCATAAGACATTGAACCTTAATACGCAAGTGTTAAAGGTTAAAATTACATTGCGCGAGAGGTGCATGTATCAATAAGTTGAAAAAATTCGACGATAACTCGGTAGCTCAATTGGTAGAGCAACAGCACGGAAAGCTGACGATGCCGGTTCAAGTCCTGCCCGAGTCGAAAATTTTTTTCAATTTATTTTCGATTTTTAAAATTATATAGTGCCTTCATGTGCAATAACATGTGAAAAATATTAATGTTTTCAAACGTAATAAAGTCTTTCTGCAGGTTTTACGTAATTTGACCTTTTAAAAACAATTTTAATAGTGTAACCTTCTTATGATGTTTCTTAACAACTGCATTAATCCTTTTTAGTTCCTGCTTTAAATGTGCACTTTCCTCAAAGTGCACTTCATTTGTAATCCACGAGTCGCCCTTGAAAATGATCGGTAAAACGTAGGGATGACCTGGAATATAAGATGCATAAAATTATAATAGTAGTAATAGCATTAATAATATTACCTGAAGAGGTGTTAATAATAAATACAGTCTGTCTTAAAATAGGAAATATATATAGATAAATAAAGTAGCATATAGTATTGTCCGTTTTTAACGTGCAAAGCTGTGTGAAATTAAAAAAAAAACACTAAACTGTTAAAAAGCGGAATATTTTATTTAACTTATTATTAATTTATTATGACTGAAGCATCCCAAACTCGAGCCGAAGTTTAAATTAAATAAATTAAAAGTGTTTTATTTTAACATCGTACTGTTTTACTAGTACCGTCTTATCGCTACAATAATGAATTAAGTATTAGGAGCTTGGTCAACGATACAGAACATTAGTAAGTAAACACACTTAAAACGCGATATATAACGTTACTATTAACATTACTAACGAAAACTTAAAAATAACCGTTTAAAACATGAAAACTAATAAAACTTGTTTTTCATTTACTTTAACTACGAACTAACATTTCGGATGCTTTGCAGCGGCGTGATCGTGTGGGGACTGACCATCATCGTTATATTTTTATCTCAATGTAGCACAATTAATTACGTTTAATCTTCATATTTTCATATGTAAGGTACCCAATAAAACTACTATCATATAATTACTCAATGTATGTAATCGTCGAACACGATTATGTACACTAACTGAATAATATTGACAATAGGGAGTCAATTGTCACTTTTATTATGCCATAAATAATGACATCGAATTTGTATTATTATTTATATATAGTCTGTTAGACTTGTATACATTATTTATGAAAGCTTAGACTATTTTTTTAATATCATTAATATTTTTAATGGATAATTTCAGTAACCTTTAGCTGTGCCTAAAGAACCGTTACTAATGACACCCATATTGCAGGCGACACTTATTTGAGCTTTCTTGTCTCGTGTCTTCCAAATTCCCCTCAAAGTCTTCGCAAATATGGCCGCCTTATATATACAGCCGTATGGGTTTTTAGATGCAGATGAAGCAACCTGGATATACCATTAAAGAAGTATTAAACCAAGTGGATATTTAAATCAAACACTTTCAACAGATTTAAATGTGAAAAATATTGGTCTCCCTATTTTTAACTACCTAATGCTGCGCATCATAGTTCCGTTTTTTTTATTTTCGCTCTATCATTAGTTCTAGGGTTCATGGAATCATCACGGCTTTTAACTATAGACCGTATTCGTATGTGCGAACTACATTTAAAACTACTCGAAGATAAAAAAAATACAAGTCTCAGTTAAAAACGAACTAAAACGTTACTACTACTTACTTCATTTTTGGTATCGTTTTTTAGTAAACAGTTTGAATTATTGTTCTGTTGAGTTTATTGAAATTTATATACAAACAGACAAATAGTGTTGCAATTAGCTTTTCTGTGGCAAGAAATTTTTAAACCGATTTTTACAGTTCTGACAATAATGGAAAATCCATAATACCTTCTCAACGAAATCCTTTTTCATCCAAGTAGCGTTCATTTGAGTCGGATCTAGATTCAGTGATTCCAAGAACTCTTTACCAACCATGCCAGGATCGCATCGAGAGTTTCCATCGACCTCGTCGTGAATAACTAAAGGTTTTTCCACTTCGAGATGAAACACTTCGTCGTTCGCCGCCCAGACGTGAACCTCGTTAATATCACAACAGTGGACCTTACAATAACCATTTATATAATTACTATAAATTCATGTGAGAATATATGTGTAATATATTCCACTAATAAGATTTTCTTGGAAGTCCTCCTCAACTAGACACTTGTAGTCTTCCTTCATATACAAATTAGTTTATGTAGAGGACTTGACGTTCCTCCTATGACGTAGAGATGTACTTATGGCATTGTTTACTACTTATTGCATTATGTTATTACTTATTAATTTATAATTTATTTTATTTATTCAAAATTTTACATTAATTTGTAACATACAAAAACTCGTTCGAGTATTTCCGTAACGCTGTCGACTCATTACACATATATGTATAAGTATATAATTGTATTACGAACAGTTTCACGCATTAAGAGGTATTTAAGGGAGTAATTTTTTTTTTCTTTGGGTTTTACATTTTTGTGGTAAGTGAATCTTTTATACTATTTGGTAGTAAATTAATTAATAACATAATTCAATAAGAAGTAAAATAAGTAATTTTCTACATTATATATGAGATCGCTAGATACAGAGTAGCCTAACTGCAATTTTATGACTTGACTTATTTATATTTTTATAGTCTAAAAATATTAATCTACAAGAGCACAGTGACCGAAAATTGTTCACATAATTCTATCACAAATTCATTTTCAAACATGTTAATTGCGCATTTTTATTTTCTTCCTAAGTGAAAGTGATGTTTTTTGTTATTAGACCACTCTGCTGTGAATGCACAGTAAAGTGTATCCTGTTACACTTTACTGTGCATTCTCATACTCACGTATTCATTCGCCTTTACCATTTCTGTATATAAACTTTACCTTTTATATTAATAATTAATCAGACTAAATTACATCATAAGTCTCATTACATTCTTTGCCAGTATGGCTGACAAATAACTCATTGCAATTAATAAACGATTAATTGTAAAGCTATCTCTATTGTTCCCAACACAGATGAACTAATCCTTGTCATAGCGTTTACAGTTTAGTAACAAAGAACATCTCACATTTAGGTATTCCGCTAATACTGATTTTCCGATTGCAGTAATTGGAGTGGGACAAAAGAATACATCTGATGGCATATTCCTCGATAATGAATTCAGGATGTCAATCGCGATTAGACCATCTGCGACGAAAATCGGTTTCCGCTTTTGTTTCGTATTTGGAGGTTGTTTCAGTTTACCAGGTACCTTTACTTCTTCCGGTTTGTTTTCATCCGGCCAGATAAAGTTATTAGCTAGTTTAGTTAGAAGATATATCGTGTCAAACCTTTCCTCAGTTTCGCCCTTATCAAATTCGAAGATATTGGGATTTTCAAAGCTTGTAATGAAGCAAAATACGTCACCGTCTGAAACACTTAACCCACCGTTTTTACCAATTTACATATATATTTTTTTCATTCTAGAATTAATTATTAATGAGATGTGTTTGAAGACATTTAAATAAAAATATTAATATCTTCACATATTTATAAACTACGCAATCTAAATAAGTTTTCAGGTCGTAAATATCACTGAAATTTGCATTTTTAAGCAATTCTTTAAATAGTTTTCTTTCTTTCTAGGTCATGATAATGATGAATACCTTGGCAAATCAGAAGACACCTTAATAGAGTTCGTGCATGAGAAAGCACAAGCTTCTACTTCAGCCCTTAATTTCTCTGCATTATCTATTTCGTTAGAGTAAACTATTATAAAAAGATCGATCAATTGAATTTCTCCAAATACTATGCCAGACATTATCTTAGTGATAATTAACTTGGCTGTTGGCGATAGCGCATTAAATATTAAGACTCTTAGCGGTTCATAAACAGGTCTGCATTGAAAGTTCATTGAAAACAGTTTAGTTGAAATGTTTTAATTTTTAAAGTCTTTCCAGTTTTAATGTAAAACAATTTTCAATAAAAATGACATTAAAGTTTTTTATATGACATAGACCCACAGCATATTCAGTGTAGTATACCTAGTTCACTATTTCTCAATTTCTTATTCTCTAATTATTCAATCAATGAATAAAAAATATCTTCTATACCTCTGTTTGAAGAAGATAAATATTGATGAAGATCATAGACAATTGTGAACACGCCGCTTTAGGTAGAACAGACACAACTGTCAAAAAATAATTTCGACGTATTTGGCACTTGACAATTGCAAATTGTCAGTTGCCATCTGTCAGCAATCAGCCGCGTATTCGCATCGAACGAAAACAGAGTTTATTTTATAATTTTCTGAAGAAATGTTGTTGGTAAACAGATAATAATGGCATCAAGTTCATCTAAAGACAACCCTGAAGGGTCCCCGACGACCTCCATATCTTCGTTGAAAAATCAAAAACAGGATAGGTCACCATCTGTATCATCATCAAAGGACGAAAGATGGCCGGAAATGTTGTTATCGAGACCAGAGAAATCATATTTTTACACTACGAAAAGTAAGTTTTTGTTTTAATGTCTTGAACTTTATTTACATTGACAATAAAATATACAATATGATGATTCCAATAAAAAAATAGTGACAAGTATTAAGACAAATAAATATTCAGTCAATGCCCTCTGACTCAATAAAAACACTGTATCAAATGAAATAGTGTTTTTATTCAGTGTATTTATTATTCTTATTGGTTTCTCAGAACATTATGTACCTAGTAACACATTGATAAAGTCACATGAAGAAAAAAAGAGCGACATGCTCCAGTTATTTTTGAGTAATTTTCAATAGTATTTGTGATTTATATACTTGTAGGATTTAGGTTTGGCCATTAGAAGTAACACCCAAATTGTACAACACAATATGTGATGAAGAAATAAATCTATGGACTCCATCATACTTATATTAGTAAAATTTCAGTATCATATGTAACGTGAGACAACTCATATACATAATGTTTAAGCAGTTTTATAATATTTTTGTAACAATATTTAGTATTTACTTTTGTTAATCATTTTAATCAAACTGCAAATAAAAAAAACTAATGCTAACTAATAAAAATGACATTCAATGGCAATACATCTTAATTTAACATTATTTGGCTGGGGAATTACACCATTAACAACTACAAGTTTTTAAATCTGAATTGGCATTAGAATCACAGTACAGTGTTCTTGACTACTATTATATTATGTTATTTATATAATATGTGCCTAAAACACTTTCAATCAGACATAAACTATTTGTAATAATTTGTTGATAAAATTCATTATGTTTATAGTTATTCTATATCCACTTGGTCAAAAGGGAATACATATAGTAAAAAGATGTAGGTATGTACAGTATTGTACTTTACACAGACATTCCTGGTTTATACCGACTAAAGTATGGTTTAAAAATAAATTTAACTGAGAAGATTGTTTGACCGCAACAAAGGAGTTTTTGACATTGAAGCCCCCAAAAAAATCTCTAAAATCTGTTTTTTACACATTTTTACATTATTTTTGAGATAGATGTATCTATTTTGTTATATTATGGATTTGTGTTTCTAACTCCTATAAAAAAATAATAATTGACTTCCAAGCCACCTTTTGTACATTGAGAAGACTTAACAGTTTTTGAACCTTTTACCTGGTGTAAAAATCAACCCTCTTCAAGTTTCCCGCTATTCCGACAGATGGCAGCGCGACGTGTGAGTATTGATTTTCCACTCCCGCCGCGGGCTGCCGGAAAATCAATATCCCCCGTGAACTCACTGGAAAAACCATTTTTGCGAAATACTCCGCAAGAAACTACTCGCAATCAAAATAACATTACGTGTTATTGGAATTAGCTCTTTAGCGGTGTAAACGTATCGCCATATATAATATGTTCATGGCGATAGCATAATTCAACGTGCAGTGTTTGTATTTTCGCTTCGCCGTTTATTTGCTGCTTTATTATGCGTTCTCTTGCCGCGGTCCGTGGGGTAGAGCCCTTGCCCGAGCTGGCGCTCCCGTCTGGTATCGAGGCCGACGGGAATTCCGATGCCGAAATGGCCGGAGCGCAGGACACCATATACCTGTGCAACTTCCGTGTGTCAGTCGACGGCGAGTGGCTGTGCCTGAAGGAGTTGCACGATATGGAGATGCAGGATTCCTACATACGCCCGTCAGATAATGGTGCGATAACGTCCCCGGGCGATCCAATGCATTCGTTGATGGGTAAATCTTTGTATGATCGATACGTAGTGTGTGTGTTGCGTGCTGGCACACTTTTTTTTCTCTAATTACTACGTTTTCAATAAACATTGTTTAGAACCTTTAGATGCATGATCATAGATTAGTTTCTGTACAAATATTTACCCTAGCATGATTTTATACGTTAAACTTCGAGCGCACTATACATATATAAAAAAAAAAAACAAAATTCCGATAGTTCTAATGTTTTTCCGATATCATACAATTTTTTTTCTTTATTTGATTACTTAGATATTAGTAAATATAAAACTTTTACTTTTTCTATATATAGAGTTTGTTTCAGCCCGAGACCCTGTGGTGATAGAACGGAGCAATCTCGTGAATATCTCGAAGCTGATTGTTAAGGAGCTAATTGAACAATCTCTTCGCTACGGCCGGATGCTTGACAGCGACCATTTGCCGCTACATCACTTCTTCATTGTTCTCGAGCATGTCATGCGTCACGGCCTCAAGCCTAAAAAGGTAACATGGGAAATCTTAATGGCTGAACTGACACATTTCTGTGTCCGCCTCACTGATTCTTCTTAATAATCAATGTAAAATCTCGCTTAGTTAAACATATTTGTTTATATGGCATATTAAACCATTAAATTGTTTTTTTTGTGTGCTACTCGCCTAAACTACAGACAGTATTTAAATTTAACACTATAACGGTTTAAAACGCGATATATTTTAGTTAAACTTGTTTGAAAATTATTTTAACTATGGCCCGACGTTTCGGATGCTTTGCAGCAGCCGTGGATATATTTTTTAAATATATCGCGTTTTAAACCGTTAAAGTGTTTTATTTAAATGTGTACTACTCGCGTAAACTACAGACAGTATTTAAATTTGTTAACCTAAGTAAAGTCGCGTTTCTTTTGTTAGTTAGGCATTACGGGGTAACTGAGTTGTTATGTCAGCGAAGTAAACTTATTTATAGCGGTTGTAGACGTCATGCGACGGTAACCATTCTGATGTAATTGTAGGGTCTTCTCGGCCCGAAGAAAGAGCTCTGGGATATTTTACAAATGGTTGAAAAGTATTCACCCGAAGCAGCTGATATTACAGCCAGTGTAAGAGATTTGCCGACAGTTAAGTAAGTAACATCATGACTTGTATAATGGTACAGTTTAAGTCTTCCGTCATTATCCCAAGCGATGTCAACAATATAGTTTCTGTTAGTCTTAACTCTAAGTAAACGATTGAGTCTTTTTTTTTCATTTGTAACAATGACGTAGTGTTGGGGCATTTATATAGAAGGCTTATTTTATAACACAAGTATATAATAACATAGTGTACTGGCGATCAAATTAGTAATACACTTATTACTAGCTCCGTCAACGACTTCGTCCGCGTGGAATAGTTATTTTGGACATCATCAAATTTGTTCTTTGTCATTTATTCTTCATCTTTATAAATTTAGCTGTTACCCTCGACAGCAGTCGCGTGACGCGTCCCATCGTTCTTGCAAGTTAATCTTAAAAGATAGACATATAGTGTCCGGGATCATATTTTAAGATCATTTAAAGAGAAATAATTCTTTCATACATATTTTTTGGGTATGTTGTAACCGTTTTCGCATCGTACGCATCGGAATTCCAGAGAGATGAATAATTTCCCTCGATTTTTTTTTCGTCTATTGTCTCAGCGCGATTCTTTTAGACTACAGCGCGTTGCTCGATAAATGTTCTACCTAACACAAAATAATTTTTCAATTCGAACCAGTAGTTCCTGAGATCAGTGTGTTCAAACAAACAAACAAACTATTCAGCTTTATATATTAGTATAGATATATCTTTATGTAAGGAGTTCTTGATTAAACTACATACTTTTATTTATTTCGTTAAAGTAGGATATTATCTTAGAAATAACACAATTATTCTCAGTTTAATTTCAGAACTTTTCTAATACTCACGGTATGTTCCAGGACCGCTATGGGTCGCGCTAGAGCTTGGCTTAGACTCGCGCTTATGCAAAAGAGGCTTGCTGATTACCTTAGGATTCTGCTAGAGCATCGCGAGGAAACGCTTGAGGAGTACTTCGAGCCCCATGCACTCATGTTAAACGAAGAGGCTGTTATTATTACGGGCTTATTGGTGGGGCTCAACGTTGTAGACTGCAATCTGTGTGTTAAGGTAATCATGCCAAGAGTCATAGAGCATTTTCTTGTTAAGATAGAGGAGGACGGATAAGCAAAGGGTTGACTTGATAGGGAGGAAATGCCCCAGCCAGAGAACATCTACATAAGATGTGCGCTGTCGACCTATTTTGGCTTTGGATATTCGGAAATCCACAGACTGAAACCAAAACGCCATTAAACTCCACGGCTTTTTCGGGCCAAATTCCGATATTCCTACCGTCCAAAAATCAGCATCGGTTCGTTCCTCGTATTCTAATGATACTACAACTGAACTGATATATCCTTATTTAAGACTTAGTTTTGAACGTGAAAAATTAAACGCCTATTACATTAAAGGTTTCCTGGGATTGGAACACGTACTTAACATTTGCTTTGATTAAGTTTTTAATTAGCTTGAGAAAAAATTTACAACACTAGAACTTAGAATAAAAAGTAGTTGTCGGAGTAATAATAAGAGGCCAATAAGTCTGATTATTAAACATAATTATAAATGAAAACTGCTTATGCAATCCTATTTTGTTAAATGTTTAAAAGGTTAGAAAACGCTAAGGCTCTTACAATTACGAAGAAACGCTATATTTTATCAAATATGATTTTTAATATTTATTTATTACTGCTTATTGTATCATTTATCATAAAAGAAAAAAGCCATTCATTCTACACATTGAATTCCAAACTTAATTAATAATAGTACGGTCTAACAAAATGTATTAATGCAGGAGGAAGACTTAGACAGCCAGCAAGGCGTAATTGACTTCTCTCTATATCTAAGAGGCAGCAACTCTTCCCACGACCTCGCAAACAACGCGAATAACGGGAACAATGAGCCAAAACAACGACACATCAACACAATGCTTGACCAAAAGAATTATATTGAGGAGCTGAATAGACATCTCAAGTAAGTGGTTTATTGTTCACAACACGTAACGTCTTTTTGGAGGAAGCCATTCGTTTTAGATACTTATTTTTATTCACGTCTACTTTAAAATTTTACTCACTTCGAATTATACCTACTTTTTTTCAGGACTTGTTTAATGTTAGTAGTTCATTCCGATTTTTTATATTATATCATTACTAGCTGCTGTGCCCGCGTCTTCGACCTCGTGGAATAGCTATTTTAGCCATCATTATTTATTTTTGCATATAAATTCCTCAGATTTGTAAGTTAATAGCACGACGTGTCCGGTTGTCTTTGATTCATTTAAAGAAGAATCATTCAATACATATTTTCCTGTTATATACACATTTTTCTCTTTTTCTTTGTTCCTATTGGCTAATAAATGGTCTAACCAACACAAATAGAATTTTTTTCAAATTGAATTAGTTGTTTTTCAGATTAGTTATTATAAATAGGCATGGAGATAATAGTATATGCTGTGGTTATAACCAACATATTATAATTACTGCTTTTGTGTATAATTGGAGTCACGAAAAAAATTATACAGAATAAACGTCACGGTTTTTCATGCGAAGTCATGTCCACGACTATCTCGTTTTTGATGCATACTAATAATATGAATTGAAAGTAGTTGTAATATAAGCCAGTTACCGCCTAAGGGTTTTAATCATTCGGTAGAAAGATCCCCCCATTATCTTTCAAATATCCATAGGTTTTTGACGTTCACGAATTTTGAATATACTGTATATAGTATTTACTCATTTATAACGTTAACCCGTTTGGTAGTTACATGGAAAGACAATTACAATGTAATGAAATTTAGATAACCTTCGCTTTGAAGGCTACTCTAAATTGTTACGTGTAATTTATTATCGTTAACCTTCGTCACGGAATATGAAAAATGTCTGACAGAACCTGTGTTTCAAATTCAAATTCGATGTGAAATACAAGATGACGATAACACTTTTAATTCTTATACCATGTTTGTCTCGATCATAACTTCAAAAAAATTAAGAGTTTGAAACATTAGAATTAGAAGAATTGTAATGGCTGTAGTTTACGCGAGTGATAAAGATTTTAATAAAACACTTTTAACGGTTTAAAACTCGAAGTGTATTCGTTAAGTTATATACAACTTATTTTAACTAAGGCTCGTCGTTTCGGATGCTTTGCACCAGCCGTGGTCACGGGGTTTCGAAAACAAGTTGGCTCATACATTTCGCGTTTGAAACCGTTAAAAGTGTTTTATTTAAATTTACCAATTGTATTGTTTCAGTGCTACCGTAGCGAATCTCCAGTCGAAAGTGGAAAGCCTCACAACTACCAACGCCCTCATGAAAGAGGACCTCGCCATCTCCAAAAATACAATGATTCAACTCGTCGAAGAGAATAATCAGTTGAAACATGCATTAGGTAAAACTACGGTTTAAGTTTAGTATCAATATCTAGAAAGCGATATCATAACAACGAAGATCTTCACTGAATGATTATACATACGTCCATACGTGGACGTTTATTCACATATGGAGCGTACATACAGTATTACTAGCCGTGTCAGCGACTTCGTCAGCGTAGAATAGTTACTTCGGGCATCTAAATTTGTTTTTGCAAACCTTTATAAATTTAAGCTGCCCGCGAGTCGCTTCCCGTCATTCTTGCAAGTTAATCTTAAAACATAGACATGTAGTTTCGCGGATTTTTAAGGTCATTTAAAAAGGAATCATTCTTTCATACATATTTTTTGGGTGTCTTGAACCGTTTTCCCAGAATACGCATCTGAAACCCACAGTTGTATCTTTGCATATACTAATCACAGTGCGATAATTTATAGCCTTCCTCGATAAATGCCCTAACGACACAAAAATAAATGTTTGAATTCGAACCCGTATTCCAAAGATTAGCGCTTCAAACAAACAAACTCTTCAGCTTTATATGTTAATATAGATTTGATAATTTAAACTTCAGTAAATGTAGTTAAACTGTGAATTTGGAATAAGTATGTTAAGTAGGGCTACTTATTCCGATTCAATGCTTTAATATAATATATGCTTTTGAATTTCGTATATAATATAACTAAACTCGTTCTCATTTGTAAGCTATTAAAGTACATATTTCAAGTTTATTAAAACTGTTATAATACCTAACTATGGCAAAAAACGTCAAAAAGTTCACAAAACAATCAGTATTTATTTTTTACTTTGCATAGTTAAATGTACCTGGCTGTATATATTGGAGTAATGTCTGCTATATTTTAAATTTAAAGATTTAAAAATTTAAAAGACAACACTGAAAAATGCTCTAATATACTGCTAGTGTACAGACACCGTTACTCTTCAGAGATAGCTGTGAAAATCGCACTGAGACGACAGTAGATAAGACACCTTGCGATACAATGAGTCACAGTTCTGTTGAAGTGTTGTTATGGATATCTATATCCGTAACCGGACTACTATCGGATATCTGATATAAATAAATACCCGTAACCGAATCAGAAATAAAAGTTTCGGATAGGGCGGAGTCTAACTAAATACGTCAATTCGTAAATTAACTGTCCGCTACCTAATGACGTCACAGCGCGAGGTGCACTGCTAATTGTCGGGTTAACTTTAAGAGTTTTGTTATGTATTTCTATATCCGTAACCGAAACTGTCGGAAAATCTGAAATATATAATATCTATTTACGGTATTATAGGTATTAATTTTAACGAAACCGATATTATATTTTACCAACATCCAAATCCGGATCCGAAATGAAATATCCATAACATCCCTGTTCTATTGTATAGTTATTCTCTTAGTACGCATTTGTATGCCGTAGGCGAATCACGTTGTATTAATATTAAACCGTTATGCGCTACCGGTGCCCGATGGGTAATACAAATACGAAAAGAAATAATTTTTGGAGATCGTGTGAGTGCCAGGAATAGTACAGCGCCGAAGTTATTTTCAGTGTGTTAATGGTTGTCTTTTTTCAGGTCAGGATATAACTAAAGATAGCAGGATCAAAGTGACTGAATTGCATTCGGAGGAAGAGGTGAGTGATTTAGTTGAATACGTGTTTAAAATGCCCTGACCCTTTGAAGGCACATGTGCGTTTATACGACATGAAAACGACACTTGACATCGAATGATAAGAAGTGAATAAGTTGGCTTAAACTTATCCATACAAATGTTAGTCCTATTTCTTCAATTAATTTTTTTTACGTTTAATAGCGCTACACTAAAAATATTTTAATATATTTTTTAATTTAATCAAAAAACTCAGGGTGAGTTGGAATAAATGTCTGTAAATATGATTGGAATTTCAGACTATTGAGTAAAATTTTGTTTAGTTAACGATAATGTTGATGAAAAACGTAGATATACATACTTGTTTTAGCCTGTGTGACTTAAGTAGAATAACGTTTTGTTTTTTTTTTTTGTCCGTCGATTCATTCAATACTTTTTATATTCCGAAAATTTCGAATTATCGCAGGTTGATGAATATAAGGCATTGTTTACAAAATGTTATTCATATACTAAAGCAATTTGTCAAATAGTTTGAGCACTTAACATCATGAAGTCGGAATCTTTATGCACATTTTTGTAAAGAAAATATCTATGAACCAACATGTCCTACAACCAAAAATTCAAACATATCTAATTAAGGTACCCAACCTACTCTAAATAAATGTTAGAGTAGATTGGGTACCATCATTAGCTATACTACTACAAAAAGGCACATACGAGTGCTAAACGAAACGAGTTATAAGTACTTAGAATATATTTACAAATGACAATACAATTAATATCGTACTTAATGATGCGAGGAATGATAGCATGACGTAATTTTTAAGGAAAAACGCAGCGTGAAAAGTACTTCGTCGGAGAAATCCAAAGGGGACAAAGACACGGAATCTGCCAAATGTTTGGAAGAAGAGAGGAAAAAGAATGCGGAACTACAGAAGGAACTCGATTTGCAAGTGAGTTTCGGTATCTGTGGCAGAAATAAATTTCAAAAAAATACTATTACTTTACCTACACATTTAAATCAAACACTGTAACGGTTTAAAACGCGATATATATTACAGTAACACTCGTAATATATAAAATAATTTTTAAATGAGTTTAACATATATATTATATCGCATTTTAAACCGTTAAAATGTTTTATTGTAAATAATTGCTAATAATTAAGAAGTATAATTAAATTAATAGATTACTATATCTATTAGGAAAATTATTATATTTAAGACAACGAGCTAATAAATTATAATGTTATAATACTAAAATATTTTGTCGTCATCTCATTATGTAAAATGTTAAGATACTTTGCATTAAATTCTTGTATTCCTCACTCTCACGCGTCCTCGTGAATTTTATACATTAGAGACTGTCTTTAGCGTTATTAAATTGTTACTAAGATTCACACGAACTAACTGAATATCGTATTTAACGGCTGTTTTAAGAATGAAGAAATCCACAGATTAAATATGGATTTTTCAAATGTTTTCTTGCATTACTATGTATAAATAAAAATAATTGTTAGAATTAATTGTAATATTTGTTTGTTCGTATGTTTTGCCGACTGTTAATAATTACGATTACGTCGCGAAAATTGGTTACGGTCAAGTAGAGCACTGAAGGTTGATCCAATTATTGCATCTCCTATGTTATTGTTTTCCTCTTAGTAAATTAGTATATAATTAAATTTAAAGATAGCTTATATATTAAAATAGTATTATGGATGGTCGTTTTTTTTAGATATCACTCAAAGCTGAGATGGAGGTAGCAATGAAATTGCTTGAAAAAGACATACACGATAAGCAAGATACTATAATCTCTCTTAGGCGGCAGCTGGACGACATCAAACTTATCAATTTGGAGATGTACAAAAAGTTGCAGGTAACACTGACTGCAATATTTGATTACCGATTTGAGATTGTACTAAAACGATACAACACATAATCTTGTATTAAAAATATAGTCTTAAGCTTGAAATTTTATTACTTGACGCTACCTGTCGTTTAGTACAATCTTAATAGACTAATGTAATTTGAGCATGTTTTGTATAGGATTTTGTACCCTTTACCTACCTTGACCGTGATGGCTTCGTAGACCTTGAGCGGTTTGGCCAAACTAATTTTACGTAACTTTGTTTGCTGTTGACGCTATCACTATTTTGTTCAAATTATTTACATTACATTAATTGACCTCTAAATCAGTGAGTCGTGTTGGTCAAGGTCATTGCATTATTGGTAATTACATGAAACCTCTTTATAGTGACGTAACCCAGTCCCCAATAATGTTGTAGGTTAAACGTGTAATAAGACATTTGCTCGTTGTTATTAATTAAATATACAGTTAAAGAAAATAAAAATATAAAGTTTTATGAAAAAAATATTTATTATAATTGAATTTTTACGTTATCATATATTATTTTTACAATTTATCATTCTTTCGTAATAATATTTTTTTTACTCGGAGACAACCGAAAACGCAAATATTTTCGTAATAAAATGTATTGGTCTATATTTATTTAAAAGTACATAGAAATTAGTATAACAATTTATAATTTCTCGACGTCTCATAGTTTCCACACGTAACTTTTAGTGTCTTTAGTTTTACTGCGACATAAGCGTGATTGTAAATAAACATAATGTAGTGTCATTGTACTGGGAAGGCCGCACGTCGTGTGTGGGAGATAATCCACCGCCCATGCATTCTCAAGTTAATTATCCATTACACCTTGCACTTATCGAATACATCTTTGTGTCAATTATACTCGTCATTTTCAATGTTCGTAATAGCTTCTGAAATAAAATCAATGTGAATAAGAATATTCTAAATTTAAAATCGTTTTAAATTGAAAAAAATTACGACCCGGGCAGAACTTGAACCGGTATTAACAAGATACCGTGCTCTTGCTTTAATCGATTGAGCTACCCGTCATCGTCAAATTTTTTAACCAACCAAAAATTTTTTAACCTATTATAACCTATAGGTGCACCTCTCGTGCAATGTAATTTCAACCGTTATACTGGCGTAACTATTAGTAAAATTCTAACATTTCTTAACTGTTAGAATTTTCTTAAAATCACACGGCTCGTGAACAAATCCGGTGAATTCAAATTCTGCTGGAGCCAAATACGTAGAAGGAATTGCTAGTACGTTTAAAAAAAATATTTTTATCAAAAATGTATAATATTAAATAAAACACTTTAACGGTTTAAAACGCGATATATTAGTTAAACTTATTTGAAAACGAGTCTCCCCGTGACCACGGCTGCTGCAAAGCATCCGAAACGTCGGGCCGAAGTTAAAAATCATTTCCAAATAAGTTAAATTTCGCGTACTACTCGCGTAAACTATAGACAGTAGTGTAATATATATAATCATGTAAAATACAGACAATATGTACTTGTACCGCCATATAAAATCAATTATCAGTCCGAACCAAGACTGTGCCCCTTGCCCCATCATTACGAACTTCTTTCATCCACCACTAAAACACAACTTCCGTTTTAATACAGCGCTTTACAGATTTGCATTATTTCCTATTAGTGCTTCTAAATGCAGCTTTTAGCCGATGTATATAACGCTTTGTAGTCAAATATTGTGATAAACATTTACTAATGCTATTGTATTCACCAATGCCGCGCTTTGATACGGAAGGAATGCGAGGTGGAACTCACGCAGAAAGGTGAAATGGTCTCCAGGCTTCAAGGGAAAGCAGAGCAAATTGGCAAAATTCTCCACAACTTAGAAAAGTACAATAATTTCCTTGGCCCCGATCACGATCTTGTCAAAGCTCTGAGGTCTCCCACGAACGAGACGTTCGGGGCCAAATTAGATATAAAAGCACAAAGTAGCGTTTCAAAGGGTACAAAGTCGAAAGATGAGGGACCGCCCAACAAAAAACTTAACCTACAGGAAATACCACCGTTTCGCAAAGGGCACAGTAGCAAAACGAGTACAATAATGGAGTGAATTAATTAGATTGTTTAATTAGCATTGGTGGTGTTTCCTTCAAATATTGAATAACTGTATCTATCGCATAGCAGAGGATAGTATGATGGTCTTAGCACAGAATACTGAACAATCCAAAATCCGGTCTGTAGTTTACGCGAGTACTACATATTTAAATAAAACACTTTTAACGCCTTAGTTAAACTTATTTAGCAGCTCATTTATTCGAAAGTCAGAGTTGAAACAAATGTAAATAAGGTAACTAATACATTTCGCGTTTTAAATCGTTTTAAAGTGTTTCAAATATAAGCCAGAGTCTGTCATTGCGAAAGCCAGTCTTTATTACTCCTAATTGGGGTAGTTGCAACGAATCAGGCAAACCAGTGTTGCAGACAGACATTTACCTTTTTAATATATCTATTTGAAAACTTTCATGTTATTCATATACAATGTCTTATTTTGACGCAATATTTATTACACATATCAAATTTTTTTGGACACAACACGCTACGTAAACTTGTAATTAAATCCCCTTATTGTATATTCAGTATTCTGTGGCTCTCAATAATATATCCAACATCCATCTTATTAGCTTCTATCACGTTATTAGCCGCTCACTAACACTAACGGCCAGTACTAACGAGCAACTTGTGTAATTCTAACCGAGTTTGGTGGCTTTGTTTTAGGAATGTGAAAGTTCCTTGAAACATAAAACAGAACTAATAGCCAAATTGGAAGCAAAGACTGAATCAATGGGCAGCACGATCCATCAACTTGATGAAAAGTAGGTTAAAATGTTCTATCTAAAACGCAGTGCCTAGATGTTTGCGAGTCGAACGGCTCGGCATATCAGTAATCGCACATAGGTGTGAGCGATGCACAGCTTAAAACTCTCTTCACACCAAATATAATAGCATATATTACCGCAGACTAATCTATACTAATATATAAGAGTTGACAAACAAACTCTTCAGCTTTCCCAGAAATCCAAACTTCAGAAATCCCAGGAACTACTGGTTAGCAATTAAAAAACAATTTTGTATTGGCTAGAGCATTTGTTAGAACTTTAGCCTATAAGACATCACGTCGTTACCACTAGGAGGAAAGAAGCAGTGGGAAAAACCAAGAAAAATTATTTATCTTTGAGGGTTCCGTTGCACGCTCTGCAAAAACGGTTCAAGATACCCAAAAAATATTCATGGAAGGAGGATTCCTCTTTAAATCATCCATATAAAAAAATGGACGTGACTATCTATCTTCATATCTATCTTTCACGATTAACTTGAAGAACAAAGCGGGGGGACGCACGTGGGGGGTAACAGTTTAGTTAAATTTATAAAATACGTAGTCTACACGGAATGATGTCTGATATAAAAATAGTGTAAAAGACAGTTTTAGGTTGTGACTGACAAAAAAAATCCTGTTAACCCCACATGAGACAAGGATCACTGACCATTTTTATTTACAGGCAAGTAGTTAATCAGACTCGTGTGCCCTGCTCGACCGAAACAATTTATAGGCAACACGTTTGTGTATAGCTACAGAGGCTGTTTGTATCTGTAACAAAGCGGTAATAATGTCACTAAATATTATTATGGAGCCGTTTACACTCGTTTGTACGATTTTTAGCGCGCTAACTATATGCTATTATATTATAGTGTAGTCTGAAGAGAGCCTAATTCGTTTGATATTGGCAAACCCACAATAAACCTTCGTGATTTAAATATTTTGATATAACTTTATTGGAAATTAATCTCATATAAGCAAGGCGCTGACTGCTTTGGCTTTGTTACTGTGGTTTTCGATTTAGCTTAATTTGTTACTAAATACTTTTTACAAATTTTATTTAATATTTGTAATATTTTAACTATGTTACTCGTAAGCAGCGACGTCTTCTTGTATCGAATAAAACTAAACCAAATATTTCAAAGTATTTTGTATTCTTTACCATTGATTGTAGTTTTACGATGTGATTAAAAATCTAAAATATCCCATTTCAATTGATCTCATACGATGTTATTACGTATATTCGATATAGTATAAATTAGAATGCGCAATACTATAATTGTAAGCGTTATCTAGCATTGAATGTATGAATTTTTCTTTTATAGTTTTGTAATTCAGAGCTCTAGTGTAATGCCTTCTTTATAATAAAGGTTATTCTAACATTAATTGTATTTCATTTATCAGTGACCACAGACTGTTTTTTTTGGTTTATCGAAGGTTTGCCATTATCATTTTTGCATGCTTTGTTACTGTTCCTGTGCCTAATTTTACAGACAACTTGTGTTTTGATTTATTTGGCAAAGCTTTAATTTCTAATCCCGCTCCTTAGGCTAAGCTTAATTAAAATCCCTACAATGTGTAATATTTTATCCCGAAGTCAGTTATACTTGTTATATAAATTAACGAAAGACAAAGACGAGAAATGCTACGTCAAGCGATCGAGCTGGAAACTAGGTAAAATGAAGTTTACAATTCAATCTGTGGACTTCCGAATATCCAAAAGTCAAAAAAGTTAGATGTTATATGGCTGGGGTATCACCTAGCATCAAGAGAAACCCACGTTTGTCTGTAAAAATACGAATGAACACCCTTTACCAACAAAAGGCGTGCTTATATTTGCAGTGTTATCTTTAAATGCTAATGCAAATCTTGAAACAATGAAATCGTACATAAGGTTAATGAACATCTCGATCACGAAATGATCAGGTTACAAGAAGATAAAGCAGTGAGAAAAAGCTTGGAAGAGAGTGCTCGTTCGTTGGGACAGAAAGCAGCCACCGCTGAAACTAGAGCTGTAGCCGCTGAGAGTGATCTTAGAATAGAAAGAGAATGGAGGATATCGCTACAGGTTTGTTCTGTATTTGAAGTGTGTTTACTCATTTTGGGGCCTTTTGAAGTTATGTTTTATTTTTAAAAATGACTCGACATTTTGCCATCATTAGTAGGTAGCACCTTCAGTTGTCGTTAACTGTACCTGAATTCTTCGAAGACTATTATTCATTAATCGAACCGTAACCGCTCGAAATACCACATAGTTTTACTTGGCTACTAGTAAAAGTTAAACATTGATATCATAGGTTTGTCTTAGGCAAGTTAGTTTATCAGACTTCAGGTCCCTTACGTAACCGAAACAACTGATTGTTTTTCCGCCATTCGAACCCAGACCTCCCACCTTAAAGAATGCTAGACAGCATGTTTAACCATTTAGCTACAGTTTCCTGTAGTACGCGAACTGAAATATTATATTTTTGTATTATTTGATTTTAAAATTTATAGTCACTTTATAAAAGTAATTATTTTATCATCTAATTTTAGGATTCAATGATACGAGATCGAGATAAAATATCAGCGTTGACTCAAGAAGTAGAATCTCTTAAATCTATTGGACAAGTAAGTTTCACATTCTATATTTACGATTTACGTTTAATTTAACTTTTTGAATGACAGAGGAGGATAGACAAGCATAGCGTTTAGTTGACGGTAGGTGAAAAGCATTTAAACAAGATGCTATAGGCTGGGGCTAATAGGCTGGGGTTTATTCAGTGACCGATTCGTAACGCGGGCGGAATTTCAGTATTCCTACCATCAATAGAAAAATAATAATTTGATTATAAAAACGTTGGACCAGGTGGGGATCGAACCCAACGATCCCATCAAAATATACATATTAAATAGCTTTATAACTTTTCTACAACCTAATGTTTTATTTTGATAACAACTGCACATTCTGTTTCCTATATTTCCAGAAATATATGTCTCTCCAAGAAGAACAACATCAACTTAAAGTTCAATACAGCGAAGCGCAGAAAACTCTAGAAGAAGTCGGTGCTACTTTGAGTGAGAACAAACTGCAATTAGCCGAACTGCTAGAGAGAGAGGCGAGGGCAGCACAAGACGACACTCCGAACTGGACTAGTGATAAGGACGCATCTGCCTGTGCGGCTTGTGCGAAGGAATTCACTATAGCCAGACGAAAAGTAAGATTAAGTGAAGTCCCAAGTTTAAACATTTCTGTCGACTCTAAAGAAATAAGTTGTATTAATTTACTTATATATTTTGAAATTGAAATAAAATTAGAATATAGGCAGACTTGAAGCCGCATCCACGGCGTTACGAGGAAAGTAATAAATAAATAAGTTTTCGTATTTTTCAGCATCACTGTAGAAGATGTGGCAACATATTCTGTGGAGCGTGTAGCGAAAAGACTGTAGCGTTAGCTGGCAACACTAAACCGGTGCGAGTGTGCGACGCCTGTTTTGCGGAAGTCCGACTCACATAGACAACGTAAGACTGAATATGACTTTAAAACGTTTAATAAAATACACAGGCCATCGATAAAAAAGCTTAAAATTTGTTCTAAAAATGTACCATTTGAATAATTCTACAAAATTCTCTATGAAACCTCAACTTTTAGTAGAAATAAATCTATTTGAAGATACATATAGCTCTCGAAATAGAATTGTAAACATATAACTAATCAACAATGCTGTAGAAATATCGTAAAATAATTTCAAAACAATTATAGTTATTGTAAAAATGAAACGTTCAATTATTTGTTATTATCGGATCTTGCGACATCAAGTATATATAATAGGGCCTAAATGTTGCTAGCTACAAAGTGTTCAAATACCCCAATATAGTATAATATGATTAATTAAAAAAAATATAATAATAAATGGAAAGTCTCAGTTTTGGGATGCTGGGTCCACACTAACAGTGGATTACATATAATCTTTCTCATATTACTTGATATTAAATATGCTGTGGTCATAAACTTTTTAAACTCTGTTTCTCAAAATACATTGACTGTCTGATCTGTCTGTCTATCTTGACTGTGAAATCACTTATAACGTCAAGTGCTGTCAAAAACTCCTTAATTGTCTATGAAGGATGAAATTTATTTTTAATTTAAATGCTCCGAATAATGTGAATAGTTACTGTTGTTATCAAACGTTTATGTAAATAAAATGATTTATTCTAATTTTATTAATTTTAAATTGAATATATTATTTTAATAATCTGTTTTTGTGTTTTATTTTGGCAGAATGACATATTAAATGACAATTGAAGGAAGCAAATCGTGTTTCACACGTTGTCTTGAGTCATGAACTTAAGTATGTGTTCCATAGCTGTTGGATTATCTTCAGGTACCTGCAAAACAATACCTTATAGCATAGCTAACATACTTTGTTAAACGTAATTAAGGATAGATAAAATAACGAAATTTTTTTAAAAATATTTTTATACACTAACTGAAAAATATTGAAAAGAGCAACAGAAAGTAATGACTGCCTAATTACTAGTAATCCCAGTCCTATTTCTGAGGTCTTTATTAGTAAAATCATTCCAAACTAATAAAAATAGGAGTACAGCCAAACGTTATTTAAAATTTCACTTCCAAAAAAAAAAAAAAAAAAAAAAAAAAAAAAAAAAAAAAAAAAAAAAAACCCCCCCAACAAAAAAAAAAAAACCCCCTTTTTTTTCCAAAAAAAACACAAAAAAAAAAAAAAAAAAACAAAAAAATTTTTAAAAAACATCTTTCCCCCAATTCCCCTCCCAAAACAGCCCCAAAGCTTTAGGTCCCAAACGTTTTGTAAAAACCGTTCCATTCTCCACGGATGGGCAGCCTTTTTGCGTTCATAAACTGTTCTGCTCCGTGCCATTTTAAATTGTGAACCCAATTAGATGCACCTATAATTATTGAGGTTTAAGTAAAATTCTTTAACGGTTTAAAACCCGATATATATTAGTTAGACAGAATATTTTATTAAAGCAAAACATCCAAAACGTCGGGCCGTAGTTAAAATGATTTCCCAATAAGTTTAACTAATTTATATCGCGTTTTAAACCGTTATATTTATTTTTATTTATCAACTAAAATTGTGGTTTATTTAAATGTGTACTACTCGCGTAAACCACAGACAGTAATATTTAAGCTTATTTTAAATGTACAGTTCGACAGATCTTTATTAGATGTAATAGGGAGCATCTTCAATCATATGTATTGAATCTTTATGCTTCTCTGACCGTCTCTGGCGTAAAACAAAACGAGAAATTATACCTGCTTACAAAAATACTTACCACACAAGGGCGTGACTGCATCCAAGTTCCCATTATAAACGACAACTTTCAAATTCGTATTGTTTAATAAGATTTCTACTGAAAAAGTACATATATACATTTTGATGATATTTCTGCAATCGTTTAGACGAAAGCTACAACGTGATATCTTCAAATTAGAAATTTATTTCGACGTCAATAAAATTTTTGTTATACAACCGAGATGCTGAAATTTATAGATTCTAAATTTTCTTTATTTTATTAAATTAAGGGCATAGCGTGAGAGACAACCATGTTTATTAGGGTAGCAATAATATTATTGTTGTGGATTCGATCACCGCCTTCGGGTCGAACCAACACTTTTCTAATCAATTTATAATTTTTCTCAAACATGTTAGACTTCAACTTCGGAATACTAGATATTTAATGGGTGGTAGGAATATCGAGTTTGTGAAAAACTTTAATCGAGTTCCCATTTTAGTCTGTGGATATTAGAATATCCAAAACCAAAACAAGTCGCCAGCGCATTTTATTGTTTGGAAGTTATATGGCTGGGTATTTTACTTCCCTCAAGTGGACCTCATGCTTGAATGTCCTCTAGCATAAAATATACTTACAGAACTTGATTCCAGGCACAACAAAACTATTTATAAGACTATAATACGCGTCGAACGATAAATGCACCCAGTTAATACTCTGGTTTACGTTCAAAGTTGGCTTAACGAACGCGTTCATATCGTGGTTTAATTTTTGCAGTGCGGCGTCGTAACTCGGTTGATTGACATTTTCCAAGTTTATATTTTGCTCTGTATCTTCAATAATCGCAGTGAACATAATATTGTCGAGCTGATTTGCCGTAAAAAAGTGTCTCGTATTTATCAAGTTGCTGATGTTTTTCGCAATTTTCGTAACCGTTTTGTATGTCCTAATATCTATTATGCCCTGCAATAAACATTATACAGTGTTAACCGTTAGCCGTACTCGGGTTATATCTCTGCCGGCTTTGTACCCTGAACAACCTAAGTAGTTGTGAATTGTAGCCAATCTCAGGAACTACTAGTTCGAATTGAAAAATCATTTTTAATTTGTGTGTTGGTTAGAGGATTTATCGAGGGTGGTTATATTTTATAAAACATCACACTGTGACTAATAAGAGCGGAGAGACAACGGGAAATTTGCAAAAAAAACAGGGAAAATTACTCATCTCTGTAGGTTTCAGATGCATACGATGCAAAAACGGTTCAAAAAAACCAAAAAATATGTATGAAGGAATAATTTGTCTTTAAACGATCTAAAAAATTTGTGCGACAGTATATGCCTATCTTTTAAAGTTAACTTTCATAAACCAAGGTACGCGACCGACGTCGTGGGTATGATAGAGTTTAACAGGAAGTTTACAAAAACAACCATTCTACGCGGACTAAACGCTGACACAGCTAGTCTTCTAATAACATACTTTCCTTCTATTGTTTTAGATATTTTTCTAAGAAACAGGTCTTTTAAATGCGTTTCTTCAAGCAGAGTTGTTTTGAATGTAAGTACGATTTTTTTATATGAATCTGCTGCACAATAAAGTAAATAAAGGTACTCACTATTGGATGTGCTTACCATATCATACAGGAAGCGTGGTTGCTGTATGTTACTTTCCTTAGTATCAATCCATCCACCACCAATTCCTATACCCTTGAAATTCATTTTCAAATGTTTTCTCTTTATTGCCTATAAAAGAGTTAAAATATAAATAGATATTTAGGCTAAAATTGTGTCAAGAACTTATCGTACAGTAAGGATTTTTAAAAAACTTAAGATTAACTAAAAAGAATACCTGTGTCAGGCGATATTTGGACAATGGATATGAGAAATAATATGTTGTTCCTACATTTAGCAATAAAATGTCGGTTTAAGCACTACATTCAAGGAATTAAAATACTTCGAGTGAGTCTTTTGATCTTAGTTTACTGTTAATTTCGTATGTCATAGTTATATATCTGGTAACAAAACTAATATGACACTTATACAAACGTACAATAAAATATACAACTAATTAACGTATTATTAATAATTATATATATCGTTAAAGGAACGAATGTTCACATTTGGCCTGACACACTACCAAAATAGAACACATTTGATAGTCTAAACGGAATGTTGGAGTAGAGTGCAAGCAAAACCTACCATATGTAGAAAATATCCTAATCTCGCTGTTATTTTTCCACCGTAGCTCTGACCAATAATGTACGTTGGCGTATTAGTGAACTCTTTATGGATCTTAAAGAATGCTTTAGTAAATCGTAAGAGATCCTTTGCTGAAACATACGAGTTGTTATAAGCAGTAGCGCTGTACAGTAGGTAGAAACTTATTGACTAAGCCGGTAAATAGGAATAACATGTATATATAGATAGATATGTTGTGATGGATGTGAATCGAGTTAAAAAGGTTTTTAGCTGTTGCCTTCTTCGCGATGTTTTCAGTCACCGGAGAGCATTTATCGGAGGATATAAGAGATTAATTATGATGCGCTACTAAGAATCGAACTTCCAACCTCTCGAACGTTATAGCACTTTAACATGGCCACTTAAGATGTCAACAGCAAGGACCTAAGAGACCTAAGGGTTATTTAAACTCACCCGCGTCTTTATCACTCGTTACATATAACGATTTATTGACAGCATAGCTGAAGCCAGTCCCAACGGGATGATCTATTAATAGCACGTTCCTGCCTTTGACCTGAAGTCAGAATTTTTCATACCAGCATGAATTGTTTAAGAAATAATAAATAATAGTAATATTTTAAGTGTAAGAGTAATTAATTCCCCTTTGAAAGAAATAGACACTTTTCCGTGTCTGTTTTTTTACTTCTTAATTTTATTTAAGAGCAAGCAATGACTTGATCAGAACTTTAATGTGTATCCGTGATTTGAATCCAATAACCTTAAATAATAAGGACACAATATATGTCCATATTATGTCTCCCACTTGTATTTTGAATATAATCCTAAATCAATAGATTTTTAGTATCAATTATTTTAAATATACTTTTATCAATGAACATAATGTAAAGGCTATTATTTATAACTGATAAACATTAAAGTAGTTGTATATACCCAAGTGTGATTCCGCGGTGTCATATCTTTATTGAAAGGCCCCAATTCGCAAAAATTCCCAATTCCACTAGCAGCATTCCCTGGCCCGCCTTGAATCCAAATTATCAAGGGTTTCGTCGCCGCGTCAGTCTTAGTTCCATCGGCATAATACAGCCAGTAAAATAGAAAAGCACCAGGCCGTACCTCGACATATCTGTGAACACTTTTCCAAGGTCTTTGTTGCAGGGCTTCTAAATACGGATTTGGATCTAGAATGGTAATTTTTTTTATTAGGTATTATTCTGAGATAAATTATAATTTTATCGCTCTATTGACGACATAGTACATGTTTTCTGGGACTGTGCAATTCTAGCAAGCTTAGTAATTTCTTCGTAGTTGGTAGATTGTGCTTTTGAATATGTATATTCCTTATTGTTTTTTTTTTATAAACACTTTCTGAATAATTCTGTAAATCGAATCCCAAATGCCCAAACAAACAAAAATGTATATAAGCTATGTTAAATTTAATTGAAAAAATAAAAGATGATTTCCCGTCTCCCCAGGTAGGCGTGGCGAAGACTTATTATTTCACTTAGGGATATATCAGTTTAGTATCTATTATGTTTCGGGTTTGAACCCGCAATCTTTCGCAGTTTTAACTATCTATTCTCGAAGGTGGTCAATTTGTAGCGTATAGGCTCACCATTATAAAAAGTAACTGTCGCTTACCTTCACATGCCGCTAACACCAATATATACAGCGCAATCAATATAATAAATCTAGTGCTCATAATAACTAAACATACAAGCACTCGTTAGCTTTGGCTCAAGGCGTTTGAGCACCGAATTTTCCCATTATGAACAAAACATAGTCCTGTGTTTAGTTGCTATTTGTATCACGTGTTTTCAGTTAAACACTGACAATGAGATAGTACTTCAGTCCACTTTAATAGCGTATTAACAGATATTCGCGTCATCAGTAAAATTGATCTGTTTACGCAGTTACTAAGGGTCAAAGAATATAATTATTTGGCTCAGTAACAACGTAGTTATACAGGAAAAAGACCGCTTGAAATAGTTGAATGCTTTTATTATAACATATTGATTTTCTGTGGATAAAATTTTGACTTGATTTATTTTATTTTATTTTGAGTTACCAATATTAAAACGCAAGGCCGGTGTGATCATCACCGGGACCAACATTTTTCTAATCAATTTTATGTTCTGAAATATGTTGGACTCAGTCTAGAAATGTGGATATGCAATACATGGTAGAATTAACGAAAATTCCGAACGGATCAAGAACCACCGTCCACAGATGAAGAAGCTGTAGTTTTATCGCGTTTCGGTTTTAGACGGACTTCCGAATACCCAAAGCCAAAAAAAAAAGGTCGGCAACACATCTTGCTGAGACGTTATATGGCTGGGGGTTGAAATGAAATGAAATGAAATATTATATACTTTACCATCCATCAAATTCACAATCAAACATTTTATTTTATATATTATATAATATAATTATCTTACTGCATCTATCTTGCGATAGGAACTAGTAGAAGAGGATTTGTATTCTGTGAAACGAGAAACAGTCACTGAACCATACATAAGTGAGAAGGGTTGCCTGGAAGAGATCGCTCTGTAGCGATAGGGCCGCCTATTGCACTCTATAACTGGTGAGAACAATGTATCTTTAAAAATTGTATTGTTAAGAATATTTTTAAGGAATCATGTCGGTATATATACTTTGTGTTGCAATGAAGAATAAAATAAAATAATTAAATAAATAAGTGTCTTTGCCCTCTATTACAAAAATAGTAGATTTTCTAATACATATTATTTATCCCTACAAATAATTAAAAACCGCGAGAATTGTTAGGCCCTATTATTATAAACGACAATTTCAAATGACATCAAGGCTAAATGGCTTAGGACAAAGGAAATGAAAGTTGTCCCAGTCAAACGCAACCAATATAATACTTGTAATTAACCTTAAATAATAATTAGAATAACAGATCGAAGAATGAACGAAAAACACCACTCTCTACGTTCCTTGTTTTTAGGTGTTTGTGAACTTGTTTTATTGGCTCCACACTCTGTGGGTGTATTTTGAGAACTTTGCTGTGTGACGGATGCCTCGTGGGTTTTATTTGGTGCATTCCTACTACGTGGCCGAGTGGTACACCGACTAGGCCGGGCCGGTACATCATTTGTGGTTCATGATGATCGTACTCTTGGACTGGTTTAAGGTTATCTGTAGAATAGATAATTATGATCAAGTATTGCAATTTTTTGACAAAGATGGTAAATAACCAGGAGGCAAATTTGATGGTATTGTAGTTACCTATATGCAGCAATAATTATAAAAACAAAATAAATGCATAGTTATACCAATAAACCTAAAAGAAAAAGTTTACCTATCCTAGATTAACCTACTTAACATTAAAATCGAAAGCCAGACAAACTGACACCGTAACGCGTTACGTAACAAATCAGCTCTACCCTCCCAGGAAAATTTAACTACATCAAAACTAGGTATTTTTTATAACAACCACAAAATAAATTGAAAAAATTTTCGAATTTTCGAGGTGCATGTATCAATAAGTTGAAAAAATTCGACGATGAGGTGTAGGACTCGGTAGCTCAATTGGTAGAGCAACAGCACGGAAAGCTGACGATCCGGTTCAATCCTCCCGAGTCGAAAATTTTTTCAATTTATTTTCGATTTTTAAATTATATAGTGCCTTCATGTGCAATAACATGTGAAGAATATTAATGTTTTCAAACGTTATAACTTTGTAATTTCATCTTCAATGATTTCTTAAGCTGCAAAGCATAAGACATTGAGCCTTAATACGCAAGTGTTAAAGGTAGAAATTACATTGCGCGAGAGGTGCATGTATCAATAGAGTTTGAAAAATTCGACGATGAGGTGTAGGACTCGGTAGCTCAATTGGTAGAGCAACAGCACGGAAAGCTGACGATGCCGGTTCAAGTCCTGCCCGAGTCGAAAATTTTTTCAATTTATTTTCGATTTTTAAATTATATAGTGCCTTCATGTGCAATAACATGTGAAAAATATTAATGTTTTCAATAGGTATTTTTTATAACACACCACAAAACAAAAACACATATATATAACAAAAGGTGGCCTTATCACTTAAGCACGATCTCTTCCAGACAAAAGTACAAAGTACAAGAGAAAAGAAATAGAGATAGTAGGTATTAATAATATTATATCTGCACAGCACTGAACATACATATCTATGTAAAAACAAATATTTCCTTTTTCCGACTTTAATTACATCAGTTACGGAAACGTTCATAATAAACGTTAAAAGGAAGTACTTATCATAATAATATAAGTTATATATTAATGCTAAATATAACTACAATGTCAACCTTGACTAAGTGAACGCACATAGAAATCATAAAGTGTTATTTTTTGTACCCAAACTGACCTAATTCTGCTTGTAATTAATTGATATTTAAGTATTTGTTCCTAGTAAGAGTTTCCACTTTTATTGCTAGAGATAAATGAGGTTAAAAGAGACATAACTATGTAACGTATTTTAAAATATATGTGTTAAACCTTGGGACAAGGTATAAGCTTTGTTTAATTGAATTCGCGTTGAAGTGAATAGGAAACAATATAAAGAATACTGTGTATAGATTACGAGAATAGTACACATTTAAATAAAACACTTTAACGGTTTAAAACGCGATATATTAGTTAAATTTATTCGTGTCTCCCCCGTGACCACGACTGCTGCAAAGCATCCAAAACGTCGGACCGAAGTTAAAAATCATTTTTTTAATAAGTTTAACTAGTATATCGCGTTTTTAACCGTTAAAGTGTTTTATTTAAAAATATAAAGAATTCACATCCGTCGCAGACAGTAATTAAAAAGGAAAACTAAATGAAACCATAACTGTAAAAAAATAAATAACAATATTGTTTAGTCACCTAACTACCAACCCACTTTTTTTTAAACAAACTTAACTTATTTTTCTATTTCTTACCCGTCTCCCCGTGTACAAGGCTAGTATAAAGGTACCTAATCAAAATTATTAACGGAGCTAAATGTAAACACAAATTATTTTTTTTTAATAGTGTTTTAATAGATTTTAAGCCCGTTATCCACCTTAAAATAACCAGTTTTTTAATCATTTCATGCGAAATTTAACGTACCTGATGGGTTAAGCTGCAGTTGTGGTCTATACGGATTCCCACTGAAATATCCACCTGGTGGGGGTCTGGTAGGCTGTCGGTACGGCTCTGGTCGTCTTGTGGTAGTCGGCTTATTAGTGCTCGGAGGACGGCCGAAGAAAAACCCGAACGGACCGTTGAATAGGGTTTTCTCGCCTTGTTTTCTTTGACTATCCCTTGTGACTAAAAAAAAGATGACTTGAATTTGGGGAAATTGTGATGATACATTCTATTCAGTCAGTGAGCCTAAAAATATTGAAAGCTTAGATAAAATACATGGTGACCTTGGAAGAGATACCTAACGAAATAAAGCCAATATGGCCGCTGATCCCCATAGTTTTTAAGAAGTTGGGGCATAGAACGAAATCATTTTTGTGTCCGTTTCAAGGCCTCTATAGCCAAGTGGTTTAACGTGTTGGCTAGCAAAACGTCAAGTGCGAGAAATCCTGGTTCGAATCCCGAGAAAACGATGGATTGTTTCCGTCGGACAGGGCGCAGAAGTCTGATCAACAATTTGCCTGTAAAAATAAATATACGTACATAATAATAAATGTTTCTAAGTTGAAAATTTTAATTTTAATTTCTACAACTGAACTTGAACTGGCATTCATAGCATACCGTGCTGCTGCTTTAACCAATTGACCTACAATGGCACGCTCGTCCTCATCGGATTTGTTTGATGCATGAGAAACATTTTTGTAGCTTCGGTTATTTACAGAAAAATTTCAATGCTTCAAATTCATATCCGGGCTACTAATATAAATTACTCTCTTGCAGTTTCGGCGTAGGGCATTAGTTTGCACTAAGAAATAGGCCTTACAATGTTCTTGAAAGTTAGTGAGGTCACGTGAATGTGCACACGGTAATCACCGGTGTTAATTTAAACATAAATAGGAAATTACTTAGAACCGCAAAAAGTTAAAGTAATTATTCTGACCCCAAAAATTTTATAAGTATGTCTTGGTACTTCTGTTACTCCTAACAGGCAAATGTAAAAGTCGCAAGCGAACACTGGTTTATGCTTTCAAAGATTCATACCGCATTACTAGCATAGGTCGTACCACAATATACCTAACCATACAATTACAAATATGTATTTTTTATTAACAAGATAATAAAAACAAATTAAAGTAGAAGATTAAATAATGCAAATAATTATAACTTTTAACGGTTTAAAATGTGTAAGATAGTGAAACTTTTGATTAACTAGATAATAGCAGCCGTGGCCGCGAAGGGACGGCGTCTTTATTTGAAAGAGCTATTAATCACATATAGAACGTGCTTCATACCTGAACTCAAATCGTTTTCATCATAATCTTCTATATCCCCGCAGTCTTCAGGATCATCTGCTTGTGGCTCTTCCTGTAAACCCGAATTGCCTTGGTCTCCATCAGCGAAGAGGCTATAAAAATGCCCAAAAGTCCTGCTCTGCGGGTTATTATGACGTGCTGATCGGCGATGTGGGGCAATTTTATTTGTGGGACACGGCTTCACTGTTATGGAAGTTACTTCCTCGATCACATAAAACACCTGTTGATATGTGAAAAGATTAAGTATTATTAAGTTAATCGTTATTTTATATGTAAAAACATATTGAAGTACGCACAAGCAACAACTTCACAATATAAAAATATGTGTACATTTTGCTTTCCTAATGCTTAACAATACATAACTCTCCGATTTCAAATTGATATCTGAATGTAAAATTTAATAACAGTAAAGCTCGCGGTTTCCCACGCGCACGGCGACGAAAATCCTTGGCCGACGACCGCTCCTTTTACGATACTGGAAACGGTTGTGTCCGAATAACGAAATTCAACTAAAACTCGAATAATTTAACGGGCTCGTCGGTCTAATGTAGCTATGTATGGCTAATAAAACGAATCGTGGGTTTGATCCTTACCGGATTCAGCGTGTACTTCTCATGGAAATTTTTTCGCCTGAAAGTCTGAATATTAATATCTAGATGGTAGGAATATCGCCAATTCTGTCCGTGTCACGAACCACTATTCGTGAAGTTAAATTGCGTTTCACGTTCAATCTGTGGATTTCCAAATATCCAAAGGCAAAATATAGCGCATCCTGTTGTGATGTTATAGGGCTGGGTTAAATCGATCACTTCAAACTGGTAGATCTCATTATTATAGATTATCTTATTAAACTATGACTATAAGTACTCTTTCTTTTTCAGTATCATCATCTAAAGTAAAAAAACGTGATCACTAACTAGATCGCCATTTTTTTACTTGGAAACTTCTGAGATAAATTATTGTGCAAACACTTCCAAACAGTCAGAGATAATCAATTCCCAAAAAGGACTTTTGTGGTGTAACACAACGAAGATGGATAAAACCGTCTTAAATAATGCATTCAACTGGTATTTCAAAAAAGTGTTGTAATATCTACCCACTTCCAGTTTCATAATGTATTTCTACTAAACGAGAATACTTATTTAAAACAAAAATGAAACGCATTTATAAATTATTATAATGTCTTACAGCTTCTAATTTTTCAATTTAGCTTTCCTTTTGTGGAAAATTGCATAACATAATATTGTCCTGTATAAGGAATGTAATTAATAAATTGCAAATTGGCAATTGATTTTAAAATTTTGAGAGACAACGTTGTAGTAAAAACTAAAAATCACAAATAAATATACCCGCGTTTAAGATCGTTACAAGTAGATATTATTTTACGTGTAGCACTCGTGAAATTTTCTGGCAATTAGATATCGATTAATGTATCGGCCACTAATAACAAAACTGGTTTAAACTTTAATCAATTTTATAAATATTTATATTAATAATATTTTTAATACATTCTTTATGTTAATATAAATTACATATAAGAATAATTAGTAATTATTAGAAAAGAAACATTTGCCCCTTGACATTAACAACCATAAGTGACAATTACAGAAGCTGTCAATCCATCCGCATGGCGCATTGACTCCTGTGCTAGTGTTATTGATTTTTCAAAAAATATTTACATTCATGAATTAAAATGGCAAAAAAACAAGGAAAAGTGTATTTAGGATATGAAGACGAAATTGTCAGTGATAAGAATAAAACACTTTTGAATTTCACCGTAAATAAAATCGGCGGATTACCGGTGGGCATATTTCTTCGTTCTCGTCTCGTCTTATTTAGTTATTTGTTTGTTTGTTGTTGTATTGATAATATTTATTCACAGGATTGGCCGTCAACTGAAAGTATACAATTCTCAAGCAAATGCCCGATTTGCAGTTTGCATAGATTATTAGTAATACAATGTTATGCGCCACTTGAAAATTCCATTTATTTTAGAACTCTGTATGTGTTTGCTTGTATAAATCCAAACTGCTGGAATCAATCGGAAAGGTATACAATATCATGCAAATAATATTTACTAAGTCAATATTACTATCATTGAATAAATAATAAAAAACAAGAAAAGGTTATTTCTATACTAATAGAATAGCTAATTAGGTAATGTGATTTGTCTCATTGAAGAATATATTATGTGTATTTATGATTTTGTCTTTTATATGATAGTTGGAGCTGTATTCGATGCCAGGTAAAAGATGAGTCAGCCAAAACAAGTGCAGTAGTTGCTATGCCTAGTGTTGAATCAAACTTGTCCTGGTGTACAGGATCAGACAACTGGGATGAAAATGACAATGGAGATTCCGCAAATGGAAATGTTATGAATGTAGACAATGCAATCAGCCCTAATATTCATAGGTAATTTTCAATTAATTATTAATATATCCTTGTAAATATTTGGAAACTACAATATAATGTTAAATGTGAATAAATGTCATAAATATATAATATAATAATGTAATAAATGAGAAAGTATGTTTAGCATAATGATTTAAATCATAAATAATTAAAATTTTATAAATAAATGTAATTATTGAATTAAATGTCCGCTTTATTTTGAAATAAAAATTTCTGGGCTGCGTATATTTTACAAAGACAATATTAATGTTTTTACAGAATTTCTGATGACGATGAAAGCAATTCATATGACTTAGATGCCATAGAGCAGGCACTGGGGAACATACAAATGTATGATGCACATAATGCCAACTTGTCTCCAATACAAGGTATTTTTTTTTGTTATTTTAGCTTAGATTATTTTCCAAGCAGAATGTTTGATTAATCACATTCTGTTTTTGTGTTTTAATCAAAGTCTACAAGTTGGACATGAAACTACTTCCAAGAACACAGTAGCTCAATTAGTAATTTACAATCAATTAGACAATTACAAATACTTTCTCAATTAACAACTCTTCACCTATATCTTAAATATTGAAGATGTTTAATTTTTAAAGTATTCAATGTTTTATTAAATATTTAAGGGGCAGTAGGTGCAATTGGTGTTCCTATACCCGCTGCCGAGCTTGAAGGTGGGGATGAACCTGGTTTAGTCACAGTTGAGACACCCACAGCACCTACCAACAACATTGAGGCTTTGTTACACCAAGTTTGTAAAATATTTTTGAATTGATAGTTTACCTTTGAGATAATTAGAAATTTTTAATAATTATTAATTAAATTTACATCATATTAAGATTTAACAATAAAAGCACGTTTAATGGTCATCCACTAAGTCTGAACTGGTAGGTACTCCTAAAATACATTGCATATAATTTTTTTTAATGTTTTCATCTCTTCACTTTAGACAGCTGAGCTACCAGGAGATTTAAGAAGTCGGCTGATGTGTGGCCCATTGCAATTTGTCCCAAAATACATTTTTGTGGAGGAGGAACTTCAAAAGGTTCCCTCTAATGATGACAGAGTTGCAGAATTGCTTAACAAATATGCAAAAGAATCAGGTTAGTAAGACCTTTACAATAATGCTAATAAAATTTTAGATATCAAGTCACGAGAACCAAACATTGTATAACATGTGTCTGCACTCTTCACCATGAACAGTGCAAATTATTTCATTTGTTGTGCTCCTGCAAGGTGAGTGACATGAAAATCCCCTTTTTTTTTCAGAAATAGATGTCAATGTAAAGGCTGATATAGGAGGTGGTGGAGATGATGAATTGTATGAAGAAGCAACACCCTTACATGGAGACAGATTGTTCCATGCTTTTATGACTCGTTTGCAAAATAACCCAGGACAAATACTGAGGTATTTTCTAGTACCTTTACAATTATAATATATATGTATTTTAATTCTAACCTTGCCTTTATGTATATCTCTAAAGTATAACATTCATCAAGCTGTAATATTTTTCACATGATGGCAAATTATAAATTTAAATTGTTATTCTTAACAGGTACACTCGTGATGAACCTCCAATACTTGGAGCACCTTTGCCTTCAGTAGATAGTGGATTATGTACACCAACAATCTGCACTCGATGTGGTTCCAGGCTAATTTGTGAACTTCAATTAGTACCTGGATTTGGGGACTCACTGCAAATTTTACCTGGCAATAATTCACTACCGTATTTGCATTTCTTGTCTGTTCTTATATTTACTTGTTCTCAAAGTTGCTGGCAACCCACTGATAACTTCGTTGCGGAAATCGTCGTATTTCAACCGGAAGTTATATAAATCTCCCAGTACATTCGTAGACGTCGGTTTTTGATAGTAGTAACTACGGTCCATAGATAATATGGTATTTTGTAGTAAAAAGTTTTTAATCAGAAATATACTTATTAAGCTATATTATATTATACATTTGTATATTTTTTGTTATACATTTTTAGTTGTATATTGTTTGTATACTTGAATTAATTATAAGTTTACCATGGAGTAAGTTGTAGACACTCTTCACTATTTTTTATATTTATTATGTCAGAATCTGTGATTTAAATTTTAAGTTATCAGAAGCCACAAAGGTGGACTAAGAGAATTGTTTGAAAGTTTGAATGAGTGATGTTTGGCTCTTAATTATTTCTATCGTTTTTAGCTTTTATCTTTCTAATATGCTAATACAAAGGCATTTTACATTTTGGACTTCAATAGAATTTAAAATGTCAGTAAATCAAAGTGTCCGCCTATAAGGTTTTTAACTTTTAACCAATACTTCTAACTTCTAAAGTATACCTTACTATTTTATGAAATCTTAGACAGTTTAGTAAGTTTGTAGTATGATGATACTATACCGATACCAAAAATAACTTAAAGATTTCAATTTAGTCTATCTGTTTTAAGTTTTATTGGAATAGTCACTGCTACTTAATATTAGTAATTATTCGTCATATGAATCAATGATTGGTATTTAATTGTTGTTGGTAATGTTTAAGTCCATTTGAAACCTGCCAAATGCATTAAGTAAATAGGGAAAAACTGCAATTAATCCTAGTAATATGTAATTAATAGTCATAGATGTGATATTTCCATAAAATTGTTCAAAACGAAGTAAAAAATATTGAGTATTTAATTTTGTTTAAATTAGTCAGTTTAAAGTGATACATGAATAGATGGACTTGCAAAAAAATAATTTTAACCACGAAGATTTTTTTATTCTGTCTAACCTTTATTATAAAATTATAAATGATTCCTTAACATTAACTATAATTAAATAAGCAATCAAAATTAGATTCAATGGGTTATAACCACAGACTCAGAAGTTCAGAACACAAAGCAATTGAATCCTATTTTTGTCGATGGTTTCTCGAAAACAATGACATATTTTCTATGGCAACTCAATGACAAGTGGTCTATGTGCTATAATGAATTAAGAATTTGCGGGTTGAAGAGTGCATGGAATTTTAATTATAACCGTGATTCCCCGTCGTAAAATTAGTTTAATCAATTATTTTATTTAGTGAACAAAGCTTGAATCTATTATTTTACACTTTTCTACAATGGCAAATGAAATAGCTGTTCCTCCTCCCGTCTTATGGGCACAACGCAAGGAAGACGTTTTTCTCACATTTAGCGTTGAATCGAAAGACCCGAATATAAAAATAGAAAAAGATTCAGTTTATTTTAAAGGGGTGAGTGCTCCGGACAACAAAAATTATGAAGTAACCATACTCTTATACGATGCGGTCGTTCCGGAGGTTAGCGGTTTTGTTAATAAGGGCCGGTGCATAGAAATGATTTTACGTAAAGAAAAGAAGGATGCCCCATACTGGCCGAACTTAACGAAGGATAAGAAGAAGCCTCATTACCTGAAGATAGACTTTAACAAATGGAAAGACGAGGATGATGAGGACGAAGGCGCTGGTGGTGGTGGTGGTGGTGACTATGATATTGAATCTATGCTGCGTTCGATGGGAGGCAACTATGGTAGCGGTGAAAATGCAGAGAAACCTTCGTTTGATGACTTAGAAAGTGATTCAGACGACGAAAACCTGCCAGATTTGGAGTAAACATTGGTAGTGCTATTACATTATATTAAGGTTTTTACAGTTATAATAAAATCTTTTTAAAATCATATTGTTTTATTGATATTAAATAATAAAAATTCTGACCCTAAATACCTAAATGTCATAGACTTCCAACAATAGAGGTTTTTGTTTAAAATTTTAAGATATACATCAATGTGACCATGGCGACAATGCAGTTGACACTTCTAATGATATTATTAGTAATAATAGTGGTTACATGAGCTAGTCAAGTAAAAGAAATGGTTGGTAACAGAAATGGCAAATAATGTAAACTCATCTTCTCTGTGTCCAAAATATAAAATAATAGAATATATGTGCAATAACTCGGTCAGTAGGCTATTCTCACTATATGTCCATGTTACAATTTTTGAAATAAAATTTAAATACAAATATTTTTTGTTAATTTAGAACTGCACACAATGGAAAAATTAAAATCATACACAATTGTAAAATTCTGACCTGTGTCTTATTGATTAAGTCTAGGTGATCAGCTTGGACATACTTTTTCTTTTTTCTACATTTATTTACGATTCAAACCTTTGACCTGCTGTGCCTGAGACAATGATGAGTAACAAGTTTTACTGCGAAGCCAGAGGCGTTCTTACTTATTCTATACATGCTATAGGTGATGTTTATAAAATTCTATTTGCTTATTCAGTGGGTCTGAAATGTATAATACTAGTAAGTGTTTTTGAATGACCCTTAGCTATCAAAACCATACATGTATTCAAGCTCTATAGAGCTGTGTTAAGACTATCACATTTATCTGGGTGGGATTAATGAATAACCTAACGTAGAAGATGAGAATGAAGACTCATTTCTTTCTTTATTTTTTCTTAAAACTTTTACTGATGAAGTAGAAAGAAAAGTAAGCTTTGAAGCAAGGCCTAATTAAATGTAGTTGACAGCATAGCACCATCAAGAAATAAGGTTTAACGTTTTCTATGGTATAAAGAAGAAAAAAAAGATGATATTAAAAAAGAACAAATCTATAACAGACAAAAAAAAACAGCTAGATGAATTTAAACAAGGGAAAATTAAACTAGAACTAGACGAAACTTAAAGGTAGTTTTTTTTATTTCGATTTCTCGGATAGTGTTACATTAACATTAAATAAATGGAATTGCTGGCCATGTCGCCTCGTGTTCAGGGTTATCGTAATGCAATAGATAAGGCGATTAAGACTCTCACATTTTAAAATATATGAGGCCCCTTGACCAGGACAAAACACGGGGGCACCATAACTTTGGCAGTCGAACATAAAGAAGGACGTGCCAGTCCTTCCAAACGCCAAATTTTTTGCAGGACTTATTAATATACCGAGAGAGTGCTTTTCAAAGAAATAAACCATAGCTTTACTCAAGTTGAACCGATCCGGTTGAAGATTATAAACAAAGCCAAATATGACTTTATCGAATTTAAATGAAAACGAGTATGGATACATTTCATCGTACTTCGAGTCTAGATAATCTAGGGTTAGTTCGTGATTTGGTTTTCCTGCCGCTTTGGCGTGACATTTCTTATGATAGTTGTGTCCATTTTCAACTATCCCATCAAGGAAACTTCCAGTCCATGCGCTGAGATTGCAAGCCTTCGTCATGACCAGCGCGACTACGCACGTAGCTAGATGCTGTTTGCCACGGAACATTTCGTCGAACTTCGAATCTTTAGGATGAACGGAACCCCAAAGCGAATACAAATCCCCTGGAAACTCAATATCCCAATCCTTCCACATGGCCTTCGGAGTCCTCCTTTCAAAGCCTAGATCATTGACGGGGCTCATTCGAGACCAAGGTATAGTCTCAATGTTCAACCAGTACATCTTTTCGTCAACTATTGGCCGTACACGTTTACGCTTCAAATATGGTGTGTTTGGATTTTCGTCGGCTTTGAAAAGTGGGCTTAGGCGGTAATTGAGAGCCGAGTGGCGTGGAGCCGTTTTGACGGATGTCAACTCAAAGGTATAGAACTCCGGTGAATTTGGGTCTGAAGCGATTTTCAGTAGCCGCGCTAGGAGAGAATCAAAGGAACGGTACAGGGTCCAGGCGGCTACCGAACTAGGCGTTTTAGGAGATGTTCCAGTCTCAGCAGCTTGCTTTTTCTCAGCCTCAGCTGGCTCAGTTTTCTCTGATGGTGGTGAATATGGATCAAACAAGTGGTAGTAACCTTCGCTTTGACAAATCACAAGACTGCACGCGGAAAACCTTATTATTACATAGCGAAGTCTTTTAAGAACGGCTCTCAAGTACTGGTCGAGACGTTTCTCTGGATTGTCGTTCACAACTAAAATTTTCTTGATATTAACGTTAATGAACTTCCCATCTAAAATGATGTTTTTGATTACTCTTTTCTCGCAAACGCTTTTGTTCGTCGCTTTTTCGAATATTTCGAGGCCCTTTTCTATACATGTATCAACAAGCAGATGATCCCAGGTCCTAATTGAATGCATAGTAGCCATCAGCATGGCGATCAAACAAACGAAATGACATGATTTTACATCTGAAGATGTCTTTTTATCTTTCAGCGATGTTGTACCTTCGATTCTATAAACACCGTTTATTAACTGATAACCAATGGCAGTTTCACTCTTCGGTTCTGATGAGTCTATCGAAGATTTCTTCTTATCCGATGATCCCTTTCCACTGTCTACGATGGAAAACCTGGATTTGTTGGATTTGGGCATTCCCGTTTCAAAATTGTAATCTTCCGGCAATTGCAGTCGTGGTTCGTTTAACAGTCTTCTAACAATGATTCTGCTTAGTACAAATTGTTGTTCTTGAGTCTTCCCATCTTTGTTGTATGAAATTCTGTAAGAAATTTAAAGTATTTATGTTAATTTTATCAAGTTAAATAACAACATCGCACATAAACATACAATATAGCTTAAAACAAATGAAGGAAGAAACTGTTTATTTTAACATAAAAGAAAAATTAGAAGAACGATACCAAATTTCACTATTGTTAGATGGAGTCAGTCTTACCTAGCAACCATGTCATGAAGGTTCCTAAACCTCAGAAGACAAGCTTTTCCCTTCCCAGATACATCTCTAAGTCCCATGGGATTGCAAGAACTGCCATCGTATAAATAGTAAAGACCATTTTTTCTAAAGAATGCACAACTATAAGTTGCTGTGGTGACCATGCCTCGATCGGTACGATTGAAAAACTTGCGATTCAAAATCTCTTCTAGTTGCCAAGTTGGGCCTTCGCTTACTACATCTATGTTTGCATTATAAGCCTGAAACAAATAGTTTATAATTAAGCTTGTTAAACAACAAGAACTTATATTATCGGTCTTGTATTATAAATAAAATATCTCAAAAAAGACACTCTTAAAATTTAAATATGTGGGCGAACAAATTTCTGTGTCTGTTTCACTGATGGGGTCTATGTACAAACAAACTTCTATTCCGGGCTTTTTGCAGTCTAATGACACACCATACATGTTTAAAAATTAATAGTACTATTCTTTTCTGAGATGAGAAGGTCTCTTACCTGATGCCCAATAGCAATTTTCGGTATAACATGGACTGGTGAAAGTTGAAATCTCTGTTGCTTATTGTCATACAGTTTTTTCGCTGTGTCCACCACAAAGTTGACTATACCAACTGTCCACGTATTGATACTGTACTTATATGACGTAACAATAGCCATTATAGCAGCGAATGGTAACATGTCTATCGTCTTCGCATCATTGATAGCTGAGGAGCCGCGTATAATCTGCGTGTTGTCTGGAAGGTTTTTGAAGTTACTGGGTTTAGCCAGCTCATCATCTGCGTTGACTTCTATTTGGTCCTCTGTTAGGGGTTGAGTCATTTTCTTGCGGAGTTGTCGTAATTTGGAACGATATCTCGCGTCTTCGGTTAACAGGATGTGGCGATCCACGTTAGCTGGTGGTAATGTCTGGACTTCGTCTTCCACCACTTCAGCGGGAGCCAGCTGTCAATTATAATTTTATTAATAGTTCTTTACTTAGACTTGAGTATTTGTTTTGGATATATGTAATAAATTACTTAATTTACTTAAATTCATGTAAAGAAATTGAAAAGTAATTTTTTTCTAAATCCTACTTTTTCTAAGACAAAACATCATTTAGGTAAGGTTGAGTGTGTTTTATTTTAATTTCTATCAAACTTAGCGTGACATAGACTAGTTTATTGATATAAAATTACTCAAAAATATTTAGTTACCGGAACTTCTGGCTCCGGTTGGGGTGAGGGGGGCGGCGGTGGCAGCGGTGGAGGCAACTCTTCAGCTTTTCTACGCGCTTCTTCCTCTTCTGCTTTCCTTCTCTCTTCCTCTTCCTTCTTTCTTTTCATTGTCTCTTCGTCTTCTTCCTCTTCACCCATTTCTTCCTCCTATTAATAAATATATATTTTTTTATTAGAGAGATGTCTCTTTCGTGGTTGGGGTGCTTAAATAGGATTAATAATTATGTATGTTGCGTAGTGTCATTAGTGACTATATATATTTTTTTAATGTATTTAAATAAATACTGTACTCTTGTAAACTACAAGAGTACAGATTTAAATAAACCTTAACGATTTGAAACGCGAACTACATTAGTTAAGTTATTAACAATTTAGTTTAACTACAGTCCAACATTTTGGATGCTTTGCAGCCGTGGCCTCGGGCGAAACCCCGGTTAACTAATATATATCGAGCAGTAAACCCTTAAGTATTTAATTTAAATGTATAAATAATTAAATTTATTCTGAACAAATCTCGTGTATGGAAAGGTTTCGCTTTATATTCGCTTAATTACAATGTATATTGACAAACCTCTTCTGCACCTCCCTCTGGTGGCTGAAACAAAGTAATACCATAAATACTACGACCTTGGAATAGACTACAAACTGCTGAGTCACTACAAAAAAAGAAAGCTACATAAAATATATCCAAGTTGGGTTTTCGAGTTGCTTGGCTGTCGTAATTAAGACTGATAATATCATCCAACCGTGAAGGCGGAACCGTAATCCGAATAAAATAAATAGAATACATTTTGTTTTACTACGTTAATGTTGGTAAAGGATTACCGGTGCTGGTGGTGGGGTAGGCGGTGGGGTTGGTTCTGGATCTGGATCCGGTTCGGGCAACTCGTTGCTCTTATCACGTGGCTTCGGCCACGGCGGCACCACTTGTGTTACGGATACCGTCGGAGAGTCCAAATTCACTTAAAAATATAATTATTTCTAAAATATTATAACAAGATAACAAAAAGTTTCTTTAATATACTGTCTGTAGTTTACGTCTCGTAGTCTGCCCATGACCACGGTTGCTGCAAAGCATCCGAAATGTAGGGCCGTAGTTAAAATAATTTTTAAATAAGTTTGACTAATATATTTTTTTATTTCGCGTGTTTTATTAAAAAGTTTCTGATATAAAGAGATAAAGTTAATGTTAAAAGAGCGATGCTAATTTAAGGACGTAAACGAACAATTGGTTACTTTTTTTTAAATTAAAATAATCGCTACTGAATTACCGAGAAATATTTGTCAGTGTTTACCTCCAGGCATTATGTATTGTGAATAAACGAAGATTCAGAAATATTAAACACATAGCATGCTCTTGAATTTAATTTACCATTGTGTACTAAATATATGATCATGTAAGTAGGGGTTATAGCTGACATACCAACTTTGTCTTCAAGAGGCTCCGGAGCGGCATTTTTATATCTCAACGGAATAGGTGGCAAGTAGTCTTCTTGTATGCTGTCCACTAGAGAAATTATATCGCCCATCTGTTCTTCGTCGACTTGAGGCTGGAGAAAACAGAAAAAATTTGTAATGTAGAGGTATGTAGGTAGATTGTGGATGTAATGTTAAATTATAACAATTTGGTTAACTTATAAAATTAAAGATGGGGGTCCTAAATACTATCCCAAAAAGAGAAGGTTTTCTAGTAATATGCTTACCCCTCCAGGTGTAGGTAGCTCAAAGTCCTCTCGCGGCAAAACATCATGAAATAGCTCTTTGCCGTCTCCATGAGCTTTACTCATCGGCAGCACCTTTCTCTTCTTCCCTTTTGCACCAGGTAATTGTTCATCACTCAAAGTGCAGACAATTTGAGCCTACGAGGCAAAATGTTAAGTTTTGATTCTAGGATTAATATTGATAAAATACATTTGGAAGGTTTAACAACCTTAGGTTCCTTCTTTTTCAACTTCAACACTTTGAATGCGTGTATGTAAAACTGCGTCGTGGCTGGCAAGTAGTCCCAATTTTTTGTAAACACAGCCGCCATTGTTTCCGGATTAAGGACCATCCAGCAACAGGCTCTCCCTACATTGACAGACCTCAAACCGTCATTAGTCCGAGGGTAGGGGTCAAATAAGTAATACATATCCTTTTGCCTCCATACAGCTAGCGCGTAGTTGTTGAAATCTAATATTCCGCTATTGTATTCATGACTGAAAAATTCTTCAAGACCAGATTTGATATTTAATATACATTCTTTTGTGGTAAATAGCTGTCCTTTTACTCTTTCTCTGTACATGATTATTTCGCAAGCATATGGGCCGACTATTATTTCGTTCGGTATGTTGTCAATTGTCATATCGATCATAACTTTTGGGTGCAAACAGTCCATGTATAATTTATTGCCCAGGCGCAAGACTTTGTCCAGCGTTTTTGAAAACCAAGTGTTTGGTGGGGATATCTTCGCATACGTCATCGCGACGACGGCTATCGGAATAGCTTGTCGAAATTTGGCTTCTTCAAAACACCTGTCCCCTAAATGCATATTCGCGTTAACAATAGCACAGTTCTCATTCAAAATTCTGTAACCCATCATAGCTTTTTCAGCCTGAGTTAGTTCTTTGTCCGATTCAAAGTCTTCGTCGCATTTTTCATCAATCATTTTCAATACTTTGACTGGGGCCAGCACAAACTTTTGGTCTTCAACGACACTACGAGCTAGAAGGACATCAGCGACTGCTTGAAGATCTTTAACGTTTATTAAAGCTGAACAACCGTTAGCAAAATTGGAATAAGCTCTAGAGTCTCTGCCGGCCGGATCAAATATGTAGAAGCAAACCTTGTCCTTCCATATCACGACTTTCATTACCCTAACAACAACAACGACATAATTATAGTAAAAACAAATAAAACTGACTACGTTAAAAACTATGTAAAAACCCGTGTCACTATCAAGTTGGGCAAGATAAAATATATCTTGCCCAACTTGATAGTGGCATGGGTAAGGGATAACTTATTATAGCTAGGAAGATAGGATAGATAGATAGATGGGAAAATACTAATTACTAATATATACCTTGTCAGGACGACTCCAGCGCGATTATCTTTAAAGAACGCTTTTAGACCACGGCACAAATTATAGACCGTAGGATCGAGGGACATGGTATATCCAACAACCTCGGGCTCACCAAGCAGCACCTGCATTCGCTTCCCATTTAAAACCAACGTTTGCTTCTTTCCGAATGGTAATACTTCGCATATTCCTTGCACTGCAGAATGATCGTGAACCTTGTCCAGACATTGGACATACCTGTGCATTTCATTCTTATCTTAATATTGACATTGCAAGAAGACAGGAAGCTTAAGAGCTAAAACCATTTCATAGCAAATATAATAATGAATACTAATATCAGGAACTACTGGTTCGAATTCAAAATTCTTTTCGTCTTTCGAGGGAGGCTTTAGGCGAAAATGTGGAAAAAAAGGGTGAATATATTTTTTGTCTTTAAGAGGCCCATTGCGTACGCTGCGAAAACGGTTCAAGAAACCAAAAAAATATGTATGATAGAATAATTCTTCTTTAGATTATCTAAAATAATGTGCATAACAGTCTATCTTTTAAAATTAACTCACAAGAACGACGTTGAGGAGGTTGTATGCAACATTAAATAATATGATGCCCAAATTCCACGCAGACGAAGTCGCGGGTACAGCTGGCCATTATTAAAGACCGTAACAGTACTTGTTAAGATAAATCAAAACTCCGTGTACACTACTTGTATCTTTACTAGTATTTTAAAGTAGCTGTATGTATGGAACATACTATTTACCATTGATCACCAGCCTCTATTAAATTATCAATTAATTTCATCGTCCACTGCTTAGGATGGTAATGAAAAGCTAAACAATAAGCCATTACACTCATAGTTAGAGCTTGTCTGCCTCTAGACCTTCCACCTAAAACAAACAATCTCTAAGTAATTTTAGGTAAATTAACACCAGTAACTAAATAAATTAGCATATTACCGAATTTCGGGTCATACATGTTGAAAGATCCTGTTAGTATGCCGTAATGAACGTCGGGTCTTCGCTCTTTCGTGCACGGTAGGACTGTTAATGAATGCGTTTCTAACGTCCCACGTTTCAAATTTGCCGGTATGTGTACCTGTTTTTCAAAAATTAAATGTGGGTAGGTGTGTTTATACTACCTAGCCAGGTAAAGCTATATTTCTTAAAAAAAATAAGCCTTTATTTCTCTTTTCCTTAGTACCCCTCGTGAATAGAGAAAATCAAGGCAAAGGATTTAAGATTTATACACATATTTCTTTTGGTGGTGTAGATGGCATAGAGTTTTTGACTCAAATTCAAAAACGAATTGCAATAATTATTTCTACGGATTGAAGCGGTATCTATTCCGGGAAAATTACTTAGTTATTATTTGATTCCGTGAGAAACAAATTTTCTTGCAGACGTTGTCTTGATTATTAACGTAAATACAGCTATAAATTAAAAAAAAATTTAAAAAAAAAAAAAAAAAAAAAAAAAAAAAAAAAAAAAAAAAAAAAAAAAAAAAAAAAGGGGGGGGGGGGGCCCGCCCCCCCCCCCCCCCCCCCCCCCCCCCCCCCCCCCGGGGGGGGGGGGGGGCCGGGTGCCGCCCCCCCCCGGGGGGATTTTTTTTTTATTTTTTTTTTTTTTTTTAAATTAAGTAGTGAGATCATACATGTTCAGGTTTAGGAATCTCATCTAGACCGCATACTGAGTCATCGTCTTTCATATGTTTCTGGGTGCCTTTGGCCCTCGGTTTACCGTCAGTTACACCTAAAGTCGTATACGGGATTTCAGACATCCTAGAAATATAAGTCAAATATAAGAATAGTTCGGGGCATTTGTAATCCATGCTAAATAAGAAACACTTACCTTCTACCCTTTTTACCCATTTGTTTTCTTCTCATGGCAGCTGCGTACCTTCTGTAAGGGCAAGTTATATAGATTACAAAATTTTTATTAAGAAATTACTTTATATAATTCACATGGTTATAAACATTAGTTTGTACATGGTATGTATGCAAAAAAAATGCGAATTAATTGTTTTTCTTAAATGTGGTTTATTCCTAAAAATTATACAGATTATTTAATTTTAATTCGCTTACCTGCATTTCTTTCTTGGACAATCCATTCTTAAGCAAAGCCTGTGTATGGAAATACTTAGATTAATTAAAATAACGAAAATATTTAAAACAATAAAAAAAATATTATAGTCTTACCCTCCTTTGCGGCACGGTTTTCGTGGTTTATCACTGAAAAAGAAAAAGTAGGTTTTCTTAAATGTTCTTGAAAAGCTTGTTAAATTTATAGCTTACCTCGGTATTTTTCTGGGTCCAGGGGCGTACACTGCATCGGGGACAAAAGATTTATCCCTGTTTATAACGATGGCACTGTGAGGTTTAAATAATCTGCAATGCATCATTGTTAGTTTACAACGACTGTTGTTGTTACAAACAATATTCAAATATTACAAATTTCACATGATAATGTATGAAAGTAAAAGATATACCCGGTAACTGGTGGGGTAATGGTCAGTTATTGTCAGTTTTTTCCCATTTCATTCAAAGAAAAATGTTGATAAAAATTAAAGAACAGAACACACAATTTATTTCTATTTCAAGCCAACAAACGCTACAATTTTATTTTTTAATTTATAAAGAATGAAAGATATGACGATAAAAAGTCCTTACTCATAACCGGCTTTAGGTGGTAAAGGGGGGCTTATAGTCTGTCGATTTGACGACAGCCTTTTGGGCTCTTATCACCTCACCACTCACTTTTGGACTTGCGACCTGCAAAAAAAATTGCAACTTACATTAACTAGTAGATTCAATTACAATAGAAATGTAGCTAAAAAAGAATAAGCTGACGACAACTTTAAAAACTTTATTTCACGATATTCTTCGCTGTACACTGTGCATTTTCGTTTAGCAACTCGGTACATTTTAATAGCACCAGGACTCAGGAAAATCCCGAAAACAGATCTATGAAATCGCTCCACTAACACGTTTTATTAAAGATGTATTTTTTACAAAATGTTTGTGGCTTTTTCTTATTTAAAAGATTCAGTTCCTATACCTATACTATACTATACCAGGAGACCCTCATTTCTAACAAGGGTTGTTGATGATCTTTCTGCGTGTGACATCTATAGGTATAGATATGACTAGTGGACTAATAATTAGTCTGTTGATTTAGCCTAGAAGCTGAAACGCGCTCAAATTTACTTACATTGAAAATTTCCTTATCAGACGTAGTATGCTTTACAACAGGTGGTGGCACAGGCATTGAAATATGAGCCGGTACCATATCCAAATAAGTTACTCTCTTTTTGCCGCTGTCTTTCCTTTTCTTCCCTTTTATAATGCCGCTGCCTTCGTCTGAAGACGATGCAAAATCAAAGCCCGGGTAGCCCTTTCTGCAAACATATTTTTATTGAAGAATTAGAAATGTTTAAATATATTTATTTAACACTTTGGACGGTTTAACAGGTCACACAATAATTTAAATTATATTTGTTAAATTATTTTTAATTTATTTTACACTTGGAGGCTTGCCTTTGAGACCACGATTGCTGCAAAGCATCCAAAGCAACATCCAAGCAAGTAAAATGTCAGATTTATTAAATAAGTACCTACTACTCAGGTACACACGATACTTAAATTAGAAATGTCATAGTGGGTACAGATTTCTCCCCAAATCTTTGCTGAAGCTAAAAAAATAAAAAAAAAACTGAATTGATATGCCAAAGAAAAAGATTGAAATCTTAAATATCGATAAAAACAATATAATGTTCAATCATTTGGTATATTACCTTTTAGGTGCTCCAGACCTCCTGCTCGGGGGATCATTTGAGCAATGGCCGATGTATCTTAATCTGAAAAGTATTTTGTTGTTAAATTTTCTATTCCATTCATTCGGGCGTTACACGTGTTACGTTAAGTTTAGTACTTAACGTAACACAGGTCTTATTTAAAGGTTTCGATTCCTGAGAAAACAATAAATTATATAGGTGGGGCAGGTCACTGAAGTCGTGATAGGTATTCACAAGACATTCGTAAGACAGAAGGCCATTGGTAGGCCCATGTCCCATTGGATAATAACGGGATTTCACTACTATTTACCTCGTATGCATAGAAGGAGCCATTGGAACACATGTATCCTTATAATGTCTTGGTTTAAAAGGCTTCGTTTTAAATGAAGGCGGCTTGGGCTTCTTCTGCGTTTTAGAACCTAAATAATAAAGATGCTTTTGTAAATCTTCAATATCTTGTGAGTTTTGAAGCTTTGAAGGATACTCAAAAAAAATGCCTTCTGGAAGTTGAAAATATACTGTCTTGTTTGTGGTCACTTAAATTCATTTTTAATTTTTCTCATACTACTGAATTGACTCAAAGTGAATAAAGAATTAGTAATAAGGCAAAATATATTTTGAATTAGAAGTATAAAACCCACTTCCTTTTTCATATTAGTTGTAAAAACAATATGTGGTAAAACTAGAAGAGGACTGGAAGTGTTTATTTTGTCCCACATTTAAATATTTAGGAAACGCTACGTGACATCCGATAGCCTACATTCCAAACCACCTACAGCCGATTTTATATTCACAATTGATTAGTGATAAAGACTTGACCACTAAACCCGTATGTAAGTACAAGCTTAAACAACTTTTAAGCTAATTATATAATCAAATAGTTCTTCCGATTAAATTGAAACTTACTTTCAGCTTGAAATGTAAGAGCCTCGATAATTTCTGCAACATCTTTGCAATCAGTAACATTAGGAGTCTGTTTACAAACTTTCTGCAGTTTTGGTGGGCACTTACAAACTCTGGAAAACATATACAACTATTATAATATATAAAAGAATATTAAAATAATTTACACATATATATATATATCAAATACTTACCGCTTTTTCACAGACATTTTGTTATTTTTTCATTTTTTTTACTTCAAAATGTTAATGTTTATTTTAAGCAATTTTATTTTTTCACTTACAATTTTAACAATATTTTGTTTATAATGACATATTCTATAAATAAATTTTGACTTTTGCAAGTCTAGATGACATTTATACAGTTTTATTTCTTAAGAAAAATCCAAGACAGTATTGCAAATATTCTGCTATTAAAAGTACCAATCTTATATACAAAAAACTGGTTGGTACTATTCATTGTTATATAGACACGTAAATAAAAAACTCAATATTATATTTTTCTAATATTTTATGATACACATAGTTATACCCACAGTGTTTAGACAGTTAAATTTTTGTACAACTTTAAAATTTTAAGTTACTGTGGAATCTTTTCTGTACAAAAGTTCTATAATATTACTGGAAAACAAGAAAAAAGTTATTTGTACCTTTTCATGATTTATTTAATTGTGTACATAAAAAAGGAGATATTTTAAATATGGAATGAATAATAAATAATACTTAGAAAACTCACATAGGTCTAAAATTTTACCCAAAACCATATTATATCTAGAGCTAGTAAATCAGCTAAACATAGAATTATGCAGAACTTCTAAATCTTCTTTTCTCTGTACAGCTCTTTTCTTTTCCTTTTTAAAAGCTTCATATGTTTCATCATCAGTAGGCAATTCATGTCGACAAAATGGACAGGAATTTGTCTAAAAAAGACAATCACATTATACTAATGATATAGATGAAAAAAATATGTAAGAGACCAGTTAGGTGAGTAGATTTTTTATATTTGGACATTAAATTTAACTATGTAGGATTATTTTCAAATTATAATGTATCTGAAGTACTACAGAGGATAGGAATATACAGAAAATATATATGACTTGTATACCTTTTCCAACCATGTTAATATACACACTGGATGAAATATGTGTTCACAAGGCATCTTTTTAGCCTTCTCACCTATTTCAAAGGTCTTCAGGCATATTGGGCAATTTTTGTCAGTTGTATCTATAGAAATATCAGGTAATTTATTTACAATTTCTTTTGATGCAGGAGGAGGTAATCTACAATTGAAAACATGTTATTTAATATCTTATATAGTATCTAATCTAATTGCTAATCCAGCAAATCGTATCTTTTATGCAACACTAGTTCTTGTTCTTGTTGTCTTACCTTGGCCATTCTCCTGTAAAATTATCGTCATAAATATTGTAATCCATCAAAAGTCTTGCCAAGTGAAGAAAGTGGTCAGGCTGTTCCCCATCTTGAAGTTCCCGCCATCCCATTTCTTGAAAATAGTCCGTCATGGTAGATGAATTTAATTTTTAAAATATCTTTTGAATTTTTTTGTTTATTTATAGTTTTGATTTTGACGGATGACTATACAAATTTTCATGGGTATATAGACAGAAGCAATACCACAGAACAGCGTAAACCGATAGAAGCTATTCTATAATCTGTTGTCAAATCTTTAACTACGACTAACGGTTCACAAACTTTTGATCAGATTTTTTTTGAATGAGGTGTTTTTTTACAATTTCAAACATAACGTTTCGGGGTAGAATTTTATTAGGATCGACTAGAAGACGTAATAATACAAAGAAATCGAAACTTAAGGCCATTTCAGTAGAATATTTCAGGTATAATGTAAACATGTTAATAGGTTACATACCTACCTATTTAAAAAACACACACCAAATTTACTTTGTTATAATATATCCTCCTATTTTATGTAAAAAGTCACAGTATGCAATATTTTTTATACATAAGAGCGGAGGAAGCCGCGGGTTAAATGAAAACTATTCTACATTAATACCTACCTATTTTTATGTTCTGTTTTCATTTATAATAAATATATATACCTATATAACATTCCTAGAATGGTCATATCTTTATTAGCTTATCGATAATAATCTTTCCAAAGAATTATCAAAATTAATTTGAAGGAAAAACTATTTATAGCCTATCATAAACAAGACGGACAAAAATAAGCATACAGCCACGCCTTTTCAAAGCTATGGACACAAACTCATAAAATATTGAGTTTTGGTCGATAGCTAGATAAATAAGTATGTCGTCTTAAAACCTGTTTCATTAAAGATGTAACCCTGCAGTACAACCAACGCATCATTTACGTTACCATCGCGTAGTAGCTAGATCACGCTTGGGCTTACTTTGCCGCAGACCGCAGTAAACATTCGAAATCGAAGCGACGCACGCGCATGCCGTATCACGCGCACCTACAAATTTGTAGTATATTATTTTCCACGCGCGTCGACGTAATCTAGTTCGGTAAGAGCTAATCATTCATATATTTTTTTATAATAAGTTTCGGTTATTATTATTCGCACAACATTTGTCATCGTTATCTAAAAAGTTCAGATAGCATTCTCATACATTCCTCACCCACGGTTGTTTATATTTACAGTAGCTACAGTAACTATGTTCCATTTTAGGTAAACGTGAAGTCATCAAGCCTGGTAGGGTCTTGATAACATTAGTGGTGGGAGACGATTTTTATTCACAAATTAAGATTTCCTGTACCTATTTCTGTTGCGCCATACAATTAGTATCGCCCTCATAAACATTTAACTCATTATTTTTAAATTACCTGACTACGATCTGACTATTAAAATTCAGTTCAACTAGACTTTGGAATATTAGCAAAGTAATGTTATTTAACTATTTTATTGTTGGTTCCTTCCTACAGTCGAGATAAGCGACTTAGTAAATGAGGCTAAAGAATGGAAAATCTTTTATAAACTATGGTTTTTGACTTAGCTATAAAGTGCATCAGTTTTTTATAGTAGCTTGTGTTATGTATTTGGTTAAGATAAGGTATCGTGATAACTCATACGAGAACAATACGTCGTATGCGTCATAGTATATTTTTTAAGAAAATTTTACTTTGCATACATTTTCCGATATTACCTAACGTGTTCTTTGGAATGTCTTTATGTACTTATGAGCTATTTCATATAGCTATCAGTAGTATTTTACACCCTTTGGAACCATATAAAAATAATGTATATTGGCAAGTCTTAATTACGAACTGCGATGACGAATTACTTATATAGCCGGCCGGTTGGAACGTAAGATAATGGTACAGATTGAATATGCATTAAGTATTTTAAATGAATATGAGACATACTTGCTAGTTGCTTAGCATCAAATAGAACTCAACGCGCTTACTAAATATATAAACACTGATCTTCTGATGCTTGACGAAGTAGTAGATCCGTATAAATTACTGTATTCGGACCAATGAACAGTTACTACCTTGAATAGGGATATAATATTTATATAAGAATGAAGCAATAGCGATATCTTTCAGATTATCCTACCGAACATAGATAGAGATTACAATTATATCTATACTAATATATAAAGCTGAAGAGTTTGTTTGAACGCGCTAATCTTAGGAACTAATGGTTCGAATTAAAAAGTTCTTTTTTTGTTTGTTAAAGCATTTATGGAGGTAGGCTATAGGCTATAGAACACATCGCTGTGCCCAATACAAGCGAAGATACGCTGCAAAAACGGTTGAAGATAGCCAAAAAGTATGTGTCAAAGAGTGATTCCTCTTTAAATGATCTAAAAAAAATCCGCGATGCTATATGTGTATCTTTTAAGATTAAGAACTTGTAAGAACGACGGGAAGGGAGCTTAAGTTTATAAGGATGAAGGGGTTTGCAAAAACGAATTTGGATGCTGAAAATAATAATTGTCGCGGACGAAATAAAGATTTACATAAAATTACATTTTTTATTGAACTATAATTAAAAATCTATTAAAGAGTCTTTAATTAATTCATAAATAAAGCCACAAATTGTTTTACGTATAACGAAGAGTTAAGGAAACTTATTATTTTTCAATGCCTGATCAATGAACATTATACAGTTTTTACATTTCTCAGTATCATATTAAACCAAAACACGATTAAAACGGTGTTATTTGTTAATGTGTTGCACATTGCATAATATAAGATCAGGTAGTCTTATTTCTATTCTTATAAAGCAGAGGTTACATAAAAGTTATATATACCTACTCGATTATAACTGCGCATGAGTGCAACGGTGACACAATCGACTTTTATTACGCGATGCGTGTTCGCTACTGTGCATTTACTGAATTCACCTTGACCGATTTTCTAGTTATTGATAATGAACTATTTTAGAGAAGCACTTAGCAACCTTACTTCAAAGACGAAATAATTGTTAAAACTTAGTGTTGATATAAACGCTATGATTTTGCCTTTTTTAGTATATGCTATTTATAATTTCTAAGAAATTTTGAGTTGAAACGCTGTAGCAACTACTCCTCGAAGATATCTTCTACCAACTATACACATAGGGATTTTTTTTATTACCACTTTATTGCACAATAAAAAGAAAATAATAACACAAACTAAAGAGTAGTAGGGTGAAAAGGAGCGGCCTTATCGCTAACAAGCAATATCTTCCAGGCTACCCAGAAAAACCATAATGGAGTGCGGATTGTAATCACGACGACTCTACCTTAGGGAGGTTTTATATTTTTTGTGACACGCTAGGCGTCAAATATTGTCTTTATATAGATTCACTTAGTATTAAATTAACTTTAATGATCCCTGTGTAAACGATACGGACTAACTAAATAAGGGTACTTTATAATTTTTAAATTCCTATATTTAGTTATAGCACTATTGTAGTCTATTTATTATTTTAAAACATTATTTACGACGAGATTGTACCTACTATTTATAACTATGTTTGTGATCTAGGACGCCGATTATATAGATAATGCATTAACAATTTTGTTTAATTTTCAGAAAATGGGCAACGTGATATTTTCAATCATTTGGCTGATCATCCTCATATTTATCGGGTTTTGGGTAGCGGGTATCGCTGCTGGAATATATATTATTGTTCTTCCATTCACTGTCTGCATAAATGCGCTATCAGTAAGTAACCAAACATATTTTTAAATATAAAAAGGTACTGCTTATTTAAAAAAAACATTATATTGGATATACACAGCAGATAGTGCCAGTAAATACATGGAATGTGATAAAATAAACTTAGAAAAGAATCTTCATCGGAACAACGAAAGTTTTTCCAATATGGGGCTTGGCTGTGTTTGCACTGTTGTGTGTACGGTTTGATTCTACTGTTTGATTAGAATGTGTGCTACCTGACCGATATTATTCCGAGTTTCCAATTCAGCTCATGTTTGGCGACATTTCATTGTAAATCCTAATTCTAAAACCTTAAAATAGCGAACACGTGGATTTCTATCAAGTTATTTATGATGTAAAGATAACTCTATGACACAAGCTTATCACATAGGTATTTTATATGGTCTTAACCTTTAAAATGTTTTTAGCTGGTATGCATCAACTAGAAATTTTAATTTATTTGGTAAATAAATTAATGAGAAAACTGACAGAGACATTATAACGTTTCCTTATTTTCAGGGTCTAACGGACTTCCTATTATCAGTAGTGCAGTTCCCAAAATACTGCGCCCAGGGGATCGTAGATGGCCGAGGATTCAATTAAAACGCCTAGTCAATACACTCAATGTTGTTATTAAGAGAATAAAACACAGTTCGTGCCATACAGCTGTTGTAATGGTAATTAAGAGATTATTTTACAAAACATATTTTTAAAATAAATGTTATAAAAACTCATCTTTTGTTATTACGATTAACTTCATAGATTTGTATTTGTGTTTTCGGTGTTATGGTCATCAGCCTGCTGCGCAGCTTCCATTATGAACTTAAGCATGTTTTGGAGGAAAATACCTTTCTCTTCAACGCAGTCCTTGATAAAACACCTAAAATTATTAAGATGTTTTTTTTAATTATAAAATTAATTTATTAGAATTCGAATTCCAACATTGCCGTTCATATATAGCTTCAAAAAAATTTACATATTAAAGTAATACTTACCTATAATATTCCATTTTCTTCTCAACGAAATCACTATTTTCAATTCCAAGTTTATTTACTATTTCTTTCCATCGATCTTGATCCGAGTTTAGTTCTCTTATGTGTATCCTGAAATAAACAACGCTTATTTATTAAAAATCTTTGACATGTATGATAAGTAATTAAAAAAGACCGCGAATTAGTTTTTTCGTGACTTCGCTTTAGACATTTAGAACTGCCAGCCATATTTTGCAAGGAGTTGACTGACTTGATGGAAATCAAGCCCACGAAACCACTGATTATTAGTCTATTTGGGTGGTTTTGTGTTCATTCCATTTTACATCTCATTACATATTTTAAATGAGTTACCTTTCAATATCAAAGAAAATAATATCGAATACTTTTAAAACTTCTTTGCTTTGCCGTATTATTAGATTTTTGTCAGCGCTATCACTCTTCAACTGATTCCACGCATCTTTACTGAAAGAATAAAACAAATTAGGCACTTTCACTATTGTAATGTAGTGTATTTTTAATCCTAGGTATCTTAATAAACTCGGTATAAAGACTGAGGTATAAAAAAATCAAACAGCACTGGCTGGTTCCATAACAAAACAGCAATTTTTTTTTAAATCTAAAACAAAATGTTCTAATTGTTGTGTTCAAATGAAGTACAAAGGCATTCAAATATATCGTACGAGAAAAAACTTAGTTATGCAAGTGACAAATCTGGGTTCATTCCAATTTGTAGTCGTGCACTCTTGGAGGAAAGACAAATTAAAGGAATTAGTGTGTGCGATCAGTTTTCTGTGTCCGACTTAACTGAAATTTATTCACGGTGTTGATGCATTTTATCGTGGTACTCATAAGAGAATAAGTAAAAAAAAACACTAAATTTGCTAGAAACACTGTGCAAAACTTACCAAAATAGGTAGACCAATTGAAAATTCTCAGTAACTTGATATATAACTCTATCAATGAACTGAGAATAGGCATTCGGTTCGCTCAGGTCATTATTTAGGAAACTCGAATCTGTGTCTTCTGAATACGATACGTTAGATCCGTCGAAGTTTTCCTCTTCGCTAAACTCATAAAAGAGATTATTAGAAGACTTCTTTTGTATTAGTTCTTCAAAGTCTGGGAATTTCGTAAATTGCCTAATAATTTTTGGCTCTGGCGCTTTGTTAAGCGAAGTTATAGAGATGTTACTTGGCGGAATCTCATTTTCTGCTAGGCTAGAAGTACTCGTATGATGCGAAATACTCCTCAATTCGAAGTTTGTCAAAAAACTGTCTTGTGGGGACAAATTTACGTACATCGGGGCATCGTCAATTTCTTCGTCCTGAAAGAAAGCGGTAGAAAATAAACTTCGCATAAAACTTCGTCATTAATTTCTCAGTTTGTTTCATTGATGCTTTAATTTACAGCTATGTTGGTAGTGTTTTATTTAAACGTGAGAACATAGCTGTAAAATAATTTTCAAATATGTTTAACTAATATATATCGCGTTTTAAACCGTTAAAGTGTTTTATTTAAATGTGTATTACTCGCGTAAACTACAGACAGTATCTAGTTATCACTTTACTAATAATTTGGGAACTGGCAATAAACTTAAATTACACAATACAGTTTTTCATTTTCAAATGGTTTGACGTTCATAAGTGTTCTTAGCTACGAAACGAAATGTTTACCCTTATTAATTCACCCCAAACTTTAGTATGCTAAACAAATTTAACCATTGGGCTACGGTGTCAAAATTGTAAACTGGAGAAAGATAAGGATGTGCTATGTAATACTTTCGACGTAAAGTTAATTTATAAAGAAATATAACAATACATGAATACAAGGCACATTGGATTAGTTAAGTAATAACCGCGTGAAACACGTTTTACGGTTAGTTTGCAATTTAACAGCTTTTCTTCGTTAGTTAAGCTTAAGTTACACTCAACCGAAAGTAAAACTCAGTGTTTCGTAGTTATGCAAATCACATTTATTTTATTGAGATTTAGACTTACCAAATTATTTTGCTGAGGACTTTTCCGTTTCCTCAGGAAATATTTACTCGGCGAGGCACTAGAAGTGGGAGGTGTTATTTTTTTCTGTTTAATCTCTGGTGACTTCAAAGGTGTCGCTCGCGAAGTTTCCTTCGTGCTTTGCGGAGGTGTTCGTATTAGAGGAGATTTCTTTTTAGTTGGAGTGACATTTGTATTACTTTGTTTGAAAACTGGTTCGTTTAAAGCCTCTAATTGTACGCAATCCACATCGGAAAGCGAATGAGATCTTCTTATTCGAACCGACGTGTTATCCACCTTTGTCCGCTCCTTCGAAACACCTAAAGAGAATTAATGGTATGAAATAAATAAATTTACTTGTTCCAAAACTAGAAAACATAAAAAAATTCACATGATATAATTTAGAAATCAATACACAAGACAAAAAAATTACGAAAATAATATATACGCAAGTGTTAAGGCTGAAGTTACCATGCGCGAAAGGTACATGTGTCAATAAGGTGTAGGACTCGACTAGCTCAATTGGTAGAGCAGTAGTGTTTTTTGTTTATTTAAATTGATCGACTAATAACTTTAAAAACATAAAGGTGCTATGTCGCTGGTGGTTCGGAGTCATCTGGAATGCTGTGCAGCTATCTGGAGCCCACACGAAGCAAGGTATAGCTTTATGTTAGAGGGAGTGCAAAATAAATTTACTCGATACATTTACATGATACGGCCCTTTTTATCCCCTTATGTTCCCGAGCTTATTTGTACTAGGGCTGTTAGGTTATGCTCAGTTAAGATTTAGACGCGAGTTGGCGCTTGCCACATATTTATTTAAGCTACAGCACCCTGAAATACTACAAAGGCTGTATCTCAGCGTTCGGGAGGCAATATTCTAAGAAGGAAAGCAACACTGCTAGTACGTCCGCACGCGCACACGAATCTGTTAAAGTATGCACCAGTGATAAGGGCTAAGAGGTGGGAATAAACTCGTTTGAAAGTCGATAGGTAAATACTATTGTAATCTTCAGAGTTACTTTTAATTGTCACTTTTATTAGTTCTTAGTCATTTTCATTGTATTAGTATTTTATAAGCTGTAAAAATGAAAATTGTAGAGAAAGAAGAAAGATGTAAATAAAATTAAATAAACAAATAACATTTATAATTATGATAAGTATATCAGGACACATAGGTTTTTTTTTTCTAAAATATCCATTCCTTACCTATATCGCTTGCACTAGTATTGTTCATCGATCTATCTAAATCAGTAAATAGGTCACAGTCACTCGCTCCAACGTGCGGGTCTTGTATGTCATTTAGTAGGGACCCTAAGGACTTTTCTGCTATCAACAGGTCTTCGTTGTTACTTAGCGGGACCTATAAACAAATGACCAAAGAATATGAGTAATATTTTTTTCTATTAAACCAATGGTAACAACGTAAATGTCTACCAGGTCCAATATGTTAAGATAAAAAAAAATAAAATTTTCTGAAACAAATTGAACTTTGTCAGGAAAATCTGGACATTTTATTAGTGATAGAAATATCGAAATTCCGTCCAAGTAACAAACCGTCAATCAAGTGAACACCAACTTTGCTGGCTGCTGTGATAAAACAGTAAAATTTCTACCATACCTGTAAAGAGTCAATCAGAGAAACACCAAAACTATACATCCTCATATATAACTCGGGTGTCACGTTTTTATTTATTTTACCTAAAACAAGGATAACGATTAGGTATTTAAACTTTGATCCTAGTATATTCTCTATATACATTTAATAATTCTTTATTTATTTTTACGCTGGGGAGTATAGGATATTGAACCTTCACACACATAGTTAAAGGTAAAATTATATTGCAACAGAGAAAGCGTTAAATGATTCAAAATTCAAATGACAGAACCGTCACGAGGACACTATAAAGTTGTGTATATGTTTTTTTTAATTTGAATTTCATAAAACATACCTCTCAAGCCTCCCGTATCGAACAACACATCGGCCAACTTATTTGCCGCATTAAAGACATCTTTATCATTAAATTTCTTTTTAATACACTGACACGCTTCGTATAAAGTCCATGGAGGTGGCATATCTGGCACATAGGGTTCGTGCTGTAAAACTTGACTTAACGCCTCCTCCATTATCTGAACGAACCGTGACACCCATTCATCTATCTTCGTTACTAGATATTCTTTCATTGCACTGCTGGAGACATCAAACATGACTATTTCATCATCTTTGTATGTTTTGGTGTCCTGTCCTTCTTTGTCTTCTTGTTCTATAGTTTCATTAATTCGATTGTTATTTTCATGATTTTGTTGAACTGAAAATATTGCATTTTCAAATTCGGTCTGCACTCCTACATCTGAAGACGATGTCATGTCAGTCTGTATGGACACATGTTGAATTTCTTTCTTACATTGATTTTTTATTAAATCGTTTATCATATCAGATCTTATTGTATTGCACTTCTTCAAGTTACTATGAATAAAAAATGATTTCAGTTCTTCAGTGGTAAACATGTGAAATGTGTTCATATCGTATGAGCATTTAATCTCACTTTCTGTTATGAGAACCTAAAAGATATCAAGTCACACATCATTTTAATTTTTAAAACTACATATGTATTTTTTCAAGTCAAATATAAACTTACCACTTTTTGATCGTATTTACTCAAATTTGCACAACATTGTAATATACTTTCATAGTATTCATCAGAGGGATAATTCTTGTTATCTGCAAAAGATTTTTTAAAGTAAAATATATTAAGTTAAGAGCTTATTATATTTTGCTTTTATTTACAATAGTCATGCATTGTTTTAAATTTATAAAAATCAAATGATAATACATACCTACAGTAGCCCGATTGTCACTCAAAAGTCTAGAAGTAAATAAACTTGCTAGAATAGATATCCTTTGTTCTGCCTTATCTATAGATGTGGTAGCTTGTTGTATGTTATTTAATACTATTTTGGGAAGAACCAAGCGACTCCTTATGTCTAAAATTTAAGTATTTAAGTAGAAGTTAATCTAAATTCTTCTACTATAGTCTAGTACTTAACTTCTTTTTTCTCACTGAACGCACAATTATTTTCTTTTTGAATTGTGAAAATCAAATACAAAACTTTTACCAAATCCAGAGTAAAATTAAGATTAATAATGTTGATTTATATGAAATCAAACATAATTATCAATAGATTTATCGACAGATCGGAACGACGTTGATGAGGATCAAGACCTTATTGACTTAATAAATATAAAACGTGTTATTATTATTATTATTATTTTCTATCGGGGACTTGACAGGAGTCCACGCTACTCGCCGACCACTTCACCCATTTCCCTATTTCCTCCTCGCAGAGGTTTTGGGTCATAAAACGTGATAGTAAAATATGATGACTACTTATACAATATGTAAAAAATAAATATACTTACCAACATTCATAATTTTGCTTATTAAATTTAAATTACTATACAGAACATGCTCATCTATAACCATAAACCAAACTTTCGTTCTTGTATTGAGACCAAACAGGCTGTTCAGAGTTTCTGCATTTAATCCCATTTCATAGTCCTGTAACAAAATGTTATTTTTACTATTCTCAACTCAGCATATTTGAAAAAACACATTTTAGATTGAAAACGAGAGACTCGAACCATCGACATCAGCGAACCCTTCTGTTGCTCCACCAGTTAAGCTATCATGTTAATGTCGTGATTTTAAATTACAAGATTTTCTATGTATATAGTGTAAAATCTCAAATCATCAATGTATAGTAATAGTCAAATTTTGCTATCTTATACATATGAAATCAATCAATATCTATCAATTCAATATAATAAAAAATAAAGCAAAAGCAAGTGTTGTAACCAATAATAAAGGTATGTTTCAAAAGTGAGAATAAATTTTCCATTTGAACGACATTGTTTTATGTGTCATGCAAGAGAGTATTGTTTTATGATGTATTGATATATATCTTGGTGCACCTTCCACAATGGCATGTTACAAAATTATTTTTTTGTGTCAGAGTAATATCAAAGGAATGATTTTCTAGGACACATTGTTAACAGTAAACAATTTTTTGGCTATTGAATTATAAGTGTTGAGGCCTTGACTCACTCGCTTTATTTCTTAAAACTAAGCTAAGTAAAGTAAGCTTATACCATTGCATCTGGTGTATATGACTGCTGAGATGTTGATGGTTTATTGTTTTTTGGAACATTTAAACCATCTTCTGTTGTTATACTAAAGTCATTCAATGAAAGATTATTATCACAGGTATCTGAAAACACAACAAAAGAAGATTTGTTATCTTTGATGCATTTATACTTATTTAAATTAAAGCAATCATATCTCTAAATGCTATGCCTCTGTACAAATAGAGTTAAAAGAATTGTTTCAGTATGGTATATTGTCTGCCTAAAAATAGAAACTTGTTCTTACCACTTAAATCGCTGGTATTCCTTATATTTCTATTGATGCTAATTTTTTTTCTCAAGTCAGTCAACTGGTTTTTAATATTACTTGTTTGATATACCTTTCTCTTGTTAAAATGTCTTCTATTCATCTTTGCAAATGCCGGTCTGGTTTTGTGTTGTACATATTTAAATCGTGTTGATAATGGCATAGATGTATTGAGGACCACATTTTGTTTTGAGTCATTACTATGCGTATAGCCACTGATTTCATTATTTACTTGTTGAGATACAAGAGGATTAGAAGGAATACTTATAACAGGATTGAAAGGTACACCCAAGCTAAATGTATTATAGTTATTGAGGGGAGCATATTGTGTAAAATTATTAATAGCAGCACATGGATAAGGTTGTCTTAAACATCTATTGTTTTTCTTCTCTTTTTGATATATCTTTTCATGTGGGGTGTTTGACCTGACTGTATTATCAATGGGAGATTCTGACGGTTCTGGAAAATCTGTGTTTATAATTGCAGACTGAGACTCAATTGTCTTCTGCTTCGCTTTCGCTATCTGTAAGAAAAAAAATCGTAACTATTTTTAATTCATGTTAACTGAATAAGAACTAAGAACAACAATCAGCAAATTTTTTAATGATTTGTATAATTATTTATGTTGATTAAACATACTTCAGGCTCACTTAAATTCCAGACAGCTTGCCCATTAACTGTATTAAAATAGTAAACACGTCCTGCATATGACTTTGACCTACAAACAATCCATGCATTTCCATAAGATGAAACCGAATTTAGAGTTTCTATTGCTTTGTCCATTTTTAAATTGTAAAAAATCTATCATTACAATAACAAATTAACATAACCTTATAATAAAAACAATTCAAGAATTTTGGCTATGCATTATCTGTGTTTTTCACAGACTAAACTCGACTGAAAAAACCAAAACAAAAAAAATTTTAAGGTAACACCACACTACCACAATATGATTGTGGTAGTGTGGTGTTACCAGTTACTGTTTTAGAAGTAAAATATCTTATTGTTTCTTGCAATATTAATTTAAGAAATAAGTCATGAATCATTACATCATTACAAATAACCAATTAACAATTAATTAAAGTGATCGGTACACTTTAAAGTATATATTATAAAATGTTTATAATAATGTTAAGAGTTAGCCTAATTTTTTAACAGTGGTTATTTTAATTATATAAAAAAATAAAAAAAAAAAAATGTATACTTCACAATATATTTATTTTTGGTTCTTTAGCATACAGTTATTTATACATAAAATTTAGATAGTTATTGCATTGTTTAAGGTAAGCAATATTTTAAAATTTATTATCTCTAAATCCAATATTTATACTCTTTTGACAACAAGATTCTAAAGAGAAATAAATAACTTTTTAATACATCATTTCTAATAGAGAGCTGAATTTTAACCATCCATTTTTAATTCGGCCTAAAATAAATTCGTCAAAGTCCATCACCACATATCATAACTGTACAAATATCATTTTTTCGTTATTTTTAAGAGAATTATATCTGAGCTCCTGTAGTTTATATGCTGTTGATCTTCAGGAATTTTTTCTATGTAAAAGAAGTCAGCCAATTTCTCATAAAAAGTTTTCCAAAGTTTTTTCTGAATTTCTGAATCTCTCAATTCTTGAGTTAGATATATAGTAGGTTTTTTATTTACTGCATTGTTCAGGCACTGTAGAGTCTCAATCAAGGGATCAACAGCCTGAAAAAATCATTATATAAATTAGTGTTGAGTGTTAATAGAAAATAGCATGCAGATTTCAAAAGTAATCACTGTATCAATAATTCTTATTTACATCTTCATAATAAATACAATCTGCTAATAATATCATATCAAATTCCTGTTTGTGAATATCAGAATTCTTGTCGCCCCAAACTAGGGATTCTGCAATTGCATATCCTCCCATGCTAGCAATTTTCGATTTATTTTCAGCTATATTTAAACGTAGTAAAGGAAGTGCTTCGGGTAAATCGGTTAGTGTAACTTGAGCCCTAAAAAAATTGTTAGTTAGGTATAAGCTCCGATATGTTTAATGTAATAGTCAATTTCGATTTTATTACCCAAGAGTGGCAGCAGTAAGTCCTACAACACCCAACCCAGAACCTAGTTCTAGCACTCGTACACCACTTAAAAAATCCGCTTTATGAAAACACATAGTCTCAAGATATTTAGCAAGAACTAAAGACGCATCCCAAACAACACAGTTCACATCACCTTCCAATTTTTGATATATTCTGAGAGTTTTTAAACACACTTCGATGTCTATTTCTCTAGGAAATAAATCATTAAGTTGGAAACTTGATCTATGCGACATTTATGCAGCTTCTTGATAAGCTTCTTCAGTTTTATTTCATTGATTAGATTAATTTAGAAAAAAATGTTTAATAAAAATGATTATGCTTATTATAAGTTACAAGGATATCAGTATTATTTCGTGCTTTAAAAATAAGGCCAACAACGTTAGACGAACCGTGATGATAAACACCTGCGGTAAACATTTAAAATTAGAATACTATGTCGGGTATCCGTATAATATTGTTTTTATTCGAACTTCCATTTCTTATTACCAAACACCGATAAATAATCGATAGTATAAAATTGAACCCCCCCTAAATCTGTTAAAGTTGATTGAATATTATATGGTATTATTATTCTTTTCATTGATCGATGATTTCACTGATGATTATTTTGATTAAAACACGAATTGTTAAATAAAGCTTTATGTTTTACAAAAAATACTCGATAACCAAAATATGATATGATCGATACGATACAATAATCCAACTTCACAACACTAGAGCTCACAAGATAATCAATAAATCAAATCATGAGTTGTGACGTTTTCTACGTTTAGAAACTAGGAATAACTGAAAAAGTTTATAATTACGTAATATTTTAATAAAAACACACCTTCCCCTCCAATAGTTTGAATATTTGTGGAAAATCAAGTTATTATTCTTACCTATTACTTTTTTTGCACTACTTATGGTTCAGCACTATAAAATATTATTACATAAACTATATTGCCATCTATCAAAATAATTGCGTATTATTTTCGAACGAAATAATTTAATGGTAACATCGAAATCATATGACAATCAGTCTTATTTTGTGGTGTTCGGGGGTGTAACATTTTAACAATGGCTCTGTTTTGGTTAACGCTTGTTTTAAGCGTAATTGGTAAGCAAAACTGAAATATACGTATTTTAAAGAAATATAAGATTCCTATACTGTATAATCATCCAACAGGAATCCATGCTGGTGGTGAATTCAGTGTAATACATAGCCCAAAATCTTTGAAGTTTTCGGGTTCTACCAAGACGTTAGAGAGCCTATTAAAAGAAGTTTTTTCAGCTTCTCTCGGTCTCTCCGTAGAGGAGGTAAGAAATGATAAGTTGATGCAGTAATTTTTTGCACGTGATTGTATTAATCCCTTCAAATTTCGTTACAGAACTCTGAATGGAATGGACTGTCTATTGTCGACCCTTTCGATACTCCTGAGGCCGTTGTTGAAGTTTACGTAGATGGTGTATCATCACTCGGAAGTTCAGTAAGGAACACTTATTCTTTTATAACAGCCCACGAAATTCAGGACTTTAAAAATATGATAAGACACCTCGCCTGCAAGCAAGGTGATTATTTTAAATCTTTCTACTTTCAGGCTAGTCTCAAGGCCAAGACGTACCCGTTAACTGTTGATGAATATGAACCTGATACATTTGATGCAGTCTCACACAGAATAAAACAACATTTTACAAATGGTGGAAACAAACTAGTTAATATCAGGTTATCTGAGCCTGAGGACGTAAGTAATTTTCACTGGGAAACATTTGAAAGAAAGTGCCAATAATATGTAATTTCTTTACTGTTGTGTTTTAGCTAACAGCATACTCTGAAGTCTTTGGTGTTATTCCACCACCAAAGGTTGGCAAACAGCTATTGCAACATTTGAAATATGACAACTATGATGAAGATTATCAGTTCCTCTTTGAATTGGAAACGTTGAAGGCTATTACTGCTAAGGTAATTAATTTAACATGTAACTAATGTTGGGTATTAAAACTTTATGTACATAACTCAAGAGCCTTTGTAGACACAATATTCAGAATGCAGTCATTTTTTTTGTCTGTATGCTACATATTTAATTGAGATGGTCTTATAAACAGAGTACAAAGCTTGTTGTATATGTACAACAAATTTTTTACTTTATAAGGTTTAAATAAAACACAGTACAAAATATATTAGTTAATTTATTTTAACTACAAGCAGCTTCTTAGAAGCTGTGGTTAATGGGTTGTCCCACAATTCATAATTATGCTCTTATTTTGTAATACATTAAATAGAAATGATGAGGCTAATATAATACTTATGTTATATTTTAGGTGCGGTCTGGCGCTATTTCTGCTGACAATGTTGTGGACTGCTACAACTTTAGATTCACCTCTCTTCATGCTCTATCAGACTTCCATGGACCCAACTCTCTGCAAACAAAGGAAGCTAAGAAACTCTTGGGTAAGTGCTATGGTGGCAAATTAATATAGAAATGTTAATCTTTTGTTAAAGATAAAGCTGAAACACATACATGTATTTTGCTTTGCACATCTCCCCCAAAAAAAATTTTTTTTAATTTTGTTAGAATTGACCTTGCAAATATGCCTGCCTAATTTTGTTTGTTGTTATTAATTGTAAGTATTGTTAAACTTATTTCTAAGGTACATAAATATTGTGATTCAATCAAGCCCATAATAGACCTACCTGGTCTAAAATTACATTATTCCTGATTATGTTTCTTCTAATTTCAGGTGATGCTCTCCAAGATCTGAGCAATGCTTTTGTTAAGGCTTATGATGGTTCAGTGCTGGTGACAGCTGTCACAACTGATGTTGCTCACACGAGGCGTGCAGTGCGCGAAGCTCCCGCCGATCCTGCTGTCAATCAGTTGAATCCTGTAAGTATACTATTTATAGAAATAATGAAATGTATTACCTCTGAGCATCATGAAAACATTGTCCATGACTTTTTCAACTTGGCCAATTTTATGTTATGAATCCAGTATACTATTCAATTCCAGATCTTTTGTTATATCAATTGAATCACTAATATATAATATACTTGCATTTTTTAAACACTATGAGAAAACTTTATTTTCCTGAAACATACAATTATTTTTATTGCTTTTATATTAGCGTCAACTAAGATTTTAAAAATTAAATTAATAGCTTAAACATGGTCATGTGCTTTCCTCCAATATTACTACTGGTGGAGATGATCCTAATGCAGTCCATGGTTCCGAAGCTGGAAATGTGAGGATCACAGCTGGTTCTATATATATCTTGGCAGATAAGATTACAGTGCTAGTATAATAGAACTTTGTAATTCAGTGTAATAGTTGACAGTCCAGCCAGTTCATTCTAGTATAATCAGATATGTAAGTGTATTTTTTACATCTATGTTTGTGATCAAGTGTGGTTCAAAACGACAAGATCAACACATAGAAACAACAGTGAGAGTCACGTAACAACTACCCACAGTAGTTATGTTAAAGTTAAAATTATGAATTGTTTGTAGCTATTTTGTGTAAACTGTATTTAATTATTTATAGGTATATAATTTTCTTAAAACTTATGATGTTCATGTAAGTATGATAGTTATATTGTGTCTTGAAGATGTATTCTTAAGGAATAATAGATTTTTTCTGTTGTAAATTATAATATAGAAATTGCTCAATGTGTATGGTGAGTCTCAAATATTTAGGTGTCTTGTCTCAGTTTATGGCTCCAGGTTAATACTCAATAAATAACTTTAAGTTATTTTGACTGACTAATAACTGTTTGTTTTTAGGCTGATGACCACTACACAGCTGATTACGCCGCCATATTCAACATTATCCTTTGGTTTGGCGTGGTGTTCGCGTTCACTCTTATTGCCATCGTATACGCCATAATGGATATGGACCCCGGTAGGGATTCTATCATCTATCGTATGACAAGCACGAGGATGAAGAAAGATAACTAGAAGTATTATCAGTGGTAGACGAAAGTCCCCATGTGCATAGGGCAAATTATATTTTAAATTTCCAATCGCTTTGCGGTTCCACATGTTCCGTTATTGTGCAGAATATTAATTTGTAAAATTGTTAGAGAAACTGTGTTAACTTATTGTATGTAATAAGTGTAAAATAGTGTTACTATTAAAGTTATGTTCTTGAGTGTTTTTTTTATTATTTTAAAGAAAAATAATACAATAGCAGTTAGTTTTGAAAAAATATCTTAATAAATAGGCACATGATGAAAATAATGAGAAAACTTAAAAATGAAATGAATTTGTTCCTAACACTTTCCCTTTCACAAGCAATTATGAATCATCTAGCAATTAAATATGTATAATTTTTTTTTTTTTCAAAAAGATTGTCAGTTGCTAAACATGAAGACACTGATTTCTACATTAGACCTTGGAACTTTATTCACATTGATACATTGCAATTATTGACAAATTGTTTGTGCAAATTTATGTAACCTTTTCTGAAATTAATTTACCCAAGCTTTAAAGCTGTCCAGGCTAAAGGAAAAGAAGTAATACAATAATATTTTCATGAACGAGTAAGAATATCAGAGAGAAGTTAGAGAAAGAGTGTAGAAAAAAAAACTACTTCAGTTAAATATGAGTTTTTATTAAATCAATACAAAATAATTATTTTTAAATATATCTTACCATAAATTATAGGCACATTAGTTTCAAATGCTAGTATTTGTTATAAACCTAAGAATAATTGTTAATATCTTACAATAGAATTGTATAAATTATTTTAAACATTTTAGAAAGATTTCAAGGTAAATACACATATTTCCTTTCATGTATATACACATGACTTAACATATGGTGACAGGCAGGTTGAAACAATATGCGCAATATATAGAATATAAATCTTGGATCTAAAACTTTTGGCAATTTACTTTTGATAAAATGCTTGTATATAATAGGGTAATTTTCGATAAACACGAAGGTTGAAGGACGCTGTTAAGCATAGTGAAACATAAATTTATACTTAATAAGAGATTACTTAATATATTTTACATTTTAACCGTTATTATGTTATGTTTTATGGGCTTCGCTAGCGTAAGCTATATAATATATAGTTATATATATACAGTTAAAGGCACTTATGGCGTGACAACATATTTAATCTATTGTATTAGCAATCTGGATTTAATAAATCTTTACTTTAAATGTTGTATTAAGGTGCACATGTACTATACTAGTACTTTGAACAAAATCTCTTTTTTTCATAAAGCCTGTTCAATTTTTAATTCCTGCGCACAGTGTAGTGATGTGCTCGACGCAAGCGCCTGCGCAGCTCAGCCGGGAATCGTTCATAACAGCGGCGACACGCTGGTCTCTCGTCATACTCGTAGAACTTGCTACGCGTACTCAATGCCGTGTCACAAACTGAACAGGCAAAGTGGTGAACGCACCATGCCTTATTCAACGCCGTGAAGACTGCACAAGAGAAAAAAATAATCAAAACGAAGATAATTTATCAGTAAAATAGTATTTCTTCTTTAAAAAAAAAGGAAGTAAGTATTTTCATAAATCTTTTTTTTTTAGCACTGTATAGTGCGTCAGTCGTGTTTATAATACTATCAAAATTGGCAGTTTATGGCATCTAAGTCGGGCATCAATTTACGGCTAGTGTTAACTAAAGAGTCATTTAAAAACAAGAATGGAAGAATCTTACCGTCTCCAGCTATAACTTGGTTGCAGACATAACAGAGGTTACCAAAAAGCTGGTGATAGTGTTGCTCACAGTATGCCAAGCCCTTCTTCTCATAGTGACGGTGCCCGTGGAACGGCTTCTCACATTTGGCACATACAAAGTGCTGAAAGAAATTGTATTTGTGTGACACTTCAATGACACAACAAAGGTAAAAAAAAAACAGTTTTAAAAAGTTACATTTTATTATATATTCTCATTTTTTACAATTTACAGTTCTCCAAACTTTTTGGCCGCCATCTTGTGCATAGTACTGTCAATTTTAAGCAAAAGGTTTTTGGGTCTGCGCGCCTGGCGCTAAGTTAGCAGCCGAAGGCCAAAAAGTTTGTAGAGCACTGAACATGATAATGATAAATGAAATATCAATAGTTTTCACATTGCGCCCACCATAGGTTATACTATTTATTGTATTTGTTTGATACCTGTAGGTACATAATCACTAATTTGTATGCACAAAATCTAGAAGTACATATATAATAAAAGAACTAGGTATTTACCTCAACATGCCAATGCTTCCCGAGCGCAGTCACAATCCTCTCCTCAATGGGACGACGACACGCACCGCAAATCGGAATACCCATTTTGTCGTGGCATCGAAGGCAAAATAAGTTGTTCTGTAGGTAAAATAAAATAAGAAATATAAACACTTATTTTAATATGATATTAAAAAAAATAAAAACTTCCCGCTTCAAGTCGATTATGTAATTCAATTCCGATGTTCATAGTTTACATAGTTTAATATATTGTCTGGTCTACAATAACAAGTACTTTACTTAATTTGTACGCGCCGCCCCCCGTCCCTTACACTTTGATTAGCCTCCCCCATTTATCATCCGAATGCTGACCTAAACTAAATCATCTATTAAGTGTCTACTTACAACATCGTTAGCAGCGTATCCGGGTCGGTTCTTGACTTCTCTCGCTGTGTGATCCAACTCAACACCACATGTTGCGCACATGAAATGATATCCGTGGTATACTTCGCCACGGTAACGTAGAGGCTCGCCGTCTATAACACCGCTGTAAGCAAATACTTAAATTTATTGACAGGAATTTAAAACAACGACATACATTTTCTACAAACACCATCTTTACTCTGATCATCTAGAAGGAGTATATTTACTTACTGGCACTTATGGCATATGTAATTCTGCAAGCCATCAGCCTTGATACGCGCATTGCACCCATGGCAGAGAGCACGACCAGCATTCTTAATAAATCCAGCATCAGCTAGCTCCATGTTACATTCCTCGCAACGGAAGCATGCTGGGTGCCAATTCGAATTCATAGCCTTTATGACCCTTCCAATCACAAATTCACCTAAAACAGGTTTAGTTAAAGTAAATGGTTTATACAATTACCATAGTTAAAAAACCTTAAAGAGTTTTGTAAAAAAAACTAAAATTAAGAAACATTAAAGTTGTGTGCAAGGAACGTTGACTATATGAAATAGCAACATTGGTCTAATCATATAAATTTATGGGTTATAATCAAAGCGTCGTGGGTTCGATCACCTCCAGCCCCAACATGTATTTCTAATCAATTTATACATTTTGTAAATATTTTGGAACTTGTCTCAAAGTCGCAGCCAAGATTAATCACATATCAGTTTCAGTCTGTTGATTTCCGAATATCCATAGTCACAATAAATAGACAGTGCATCTTGTTTAGATGTTACATGGCTAGGGTATTTCACCTTTGATCAAATGAACCCCCATTTTCTTAACTTCTAATAAAAACCATTTATATAGGAATATAATCTTGTAGATTAATAATTATATTTGATAGAAAAAGATTTTCTTTTTGTTTTCTCCGCTATATGTATATCTTTACAAATTTTTTTGGAATGTTACACGCGATTAATACTAGTTTATATTGTTGATTTTAATACATTTACTAATAAAAGTTACATAACATACGACATTTGCCGCAGCATGGCGCAAAGAGCACTTGGAAATCGCGTTCGCAGTACTTTCGTCCTTCAAAGTCATAGTACACTCCATCTGGAAATACTCGAAAACATTGTGCGCACCTATAAAAATAAAATAAGGTTATTAGACACCTAGTATCAAACAGGAGATTATAGTTATTAGCCTAAACCCTAGGAGGATATTTATTTAAACCATTTTATTAACAGGTAAGTATTCAGCTTGCTATGCAAGTAATTTTTAGTTAAATAGCTTGTTACCCCAAGCTACATTTGTTATTTAATTATTTTAAACTATATTTACGTAAACAAAAAGATTGCACCATTAAATCGTCAAGACTGCCAACTACTGAAAACCACCAAAAAGAAAATACTTACACGAAGCAATTAGTGTGCCACAATTCTCCATTTGAGTTGACAATTTTCTCATTCGGTTCAAATCCATCTCCACATCTAGTGCAGAACATGTTATCGAGAGACATCTTCCCTAATCTATTAAAAGAATTTATAATTATGTTAAATACAATATAGGAAACCTTGAGGCACATAAATTAATCTTACAAGGAAAAAAATACTTTAGATGAATTTTAACACGATTAAGGCCAGAACGTTATTAATTAAAATATATGAATATATCAGTTAATTAAGGCTTTATATTATTCATACTTTCCTATAATTAAGAAAGTTTAAAAATGTCTATTTCATAGAAGATAACAATAAACATTTTTTTTATAAATATAACAAGAGCTGAGTATTGATTGATTCATATTGATATAACATTGACAGAACACAAAAAAAAAACAAAACACTGAAATTAAAGGTTTATTAAGACATAAGGATAATGTTTACCATGTTACATGAGATTAGAGATTTCACTGTGAAGTTGAATAGCTGGTGCACATATATATATATATATAGTAAAAAATATAAACAAGTTTCCTAGGTATAAAGAAAAGCTTTCTAGATTCGGGTCAAGGATTAACATCATATGGCATGGTGAAGTACAAAAACATAGTTATGAGACTTTATGAGTAGGTTAAATTATGACTCAATGTATTGATCCCATTAGTAGGTATAAGAACGAGTAAAAGAACGTGGGACCACTCCCACCTACTCATATTGCTTACCCAGGCATTTTCACCAATATTACAATATATCGATAAAATTATGGGAGTCGTTCACAAAACTCTGTCAAAAGGAAAATAATACAGCTTAAGGACTTATCCAAACAAGGTATTTTCGACCACAAATGATGTAATGCAAACAAAAATAGATCCCAGTAGGTCAAAAACTACTCACTTCGAAATGAAATTCCTGCCAAATAACACACGACAATTACATATAACGAGTGAAAAGTGAGCAAAGATTTTGCTGTGGCGTATATATATAATATCCTTTTAGTAATTTTTGAATAATAAAAAATAATGACTTTAAAATAAAGCTTTACGAGCCCTCTCCTACATAATTAAAAATTGACAACCACTGACAACACTGAGCAAGTAAGCTGACAATAACTAAGAAGTTGTCAGTAATTGAAACATCATTGTCATTGACGTTATTCCTTAACAATCTAACTATTCTATTTCTAATAGTCTATAGTAGTGTTTTAAATTAAAATTACTTTAGTCGATAAAATTGAATAACTATCAACATAATTATAAATAAAGTTATGTTGAACTTTATTTATTTGTATTTTGCGTATGTCATGTAAAACTACTTTAAATCTTCAGACCGACCAAAACGGAAGCTAAATTACCAACACAATGAAGACTAATGAAGTCAATTCGTCCAACCTGAACAGTTTAAAGGATATGATTTTAGATGAAGAAAAGTTAGTCACATATTTATCATTATCTAAAGATCTTTGTATTCATATAAACAACAGCAAAACATTATTGAATAACTTTATTCAATCTATTCGATCTGAGCATCCTAAGTTAGAACTAAACGTAAATTATTTGATATCGGGTTTAGTTGATAATAACCAAGTGAGAGTAAGCGTTTGCACTGAGGATAAATTAGAAGATGTGAAGAAGTCATTGAAAGTAGTATTTTTCATCCATATTTATAGTATAAACAAGGGCAGATCACAGGAAAACACTGCTGCGTTTGTTGCGCTAACCAAGTATGACGATCTTACCTTATGTCCAGGAATAATAAAAAGTTCTGACAGTGTCAAAAGATCTAATGGTGAAATTAATAACTTTAAGAATAGTAGGAACAAGGCTATTGAAGATACAAAACCCAATTTGCTACAGAAAAATGTATCTAAAGCAGGTTCAGCAAAAACATCTAAGTCCGAAATTAGTGCTCCTGTTAAAAGTGAACTGAAATTGGAAAAAGAAATAAAAAAGGAGGTGATATCGCCACCTAAAGAACAAAATAAAAATGACACAAGTAGAAATAACAAAGGCATAGCTGGGTTCTTTAATAAACAAAATGGGAATCCAAGAAAAGAAAAAAAGGTTGCTCCACCACTAAAAACTATTGCTCCAAAGGTTGAAGAGGATGACAGTCAGAAAATGGATGTTGACATTGATGATGTTGAAGCTGAGGTTAAAAAGGATAAAAGAGTTAACTTAAACCGTAATAAAGTCTCAAACCAAATAAAGGCAAACTCCAAAGTTGACAAGAAGCGGAAAAGGGTATGTCAGATTTCTGATAGTGATAGTGAAGAAGAGAATGATCCATTTGTAGCTGATCATAAAAATTTAAATCTCCCTGAATCTGATGATGAAATTCCCCCAACACCAGCCGTAAGCACTTTAAAAATTACTACAGGGATTGTTAATCCTCGAAAGAAACGGAAAGTTGTTGACAAAACTTATATGAGTGATGATGGATACATTATAACTAAAAGAGAAGAGGTTTATGAAAGCTGTTCAGATACAGAGAGTAATACAGAGGTGAAACCTGAAAAACAAGAAATAAAAGAGGAGAAATCAAAACAAAGTAATAAAATTAAATCTTCACCTCAAGCAAAGAAAAAGGTTTCACCTCCACAAAAAGGGAAGCAGGCTACTTTAATGAACTTTTTTAAAAAGAAGTAGATAAAAAAGGTATATGTTCAATTATATTATTGTTTGATATAGTGCCTCCATCATGTTGAAATATTTTTGATAATACAGATACTTGTTTACTGTTACTACTAATACAATATAGGTTCTGTATAGTAACTATTGTGTTTTGATACTTGTTATTAGTTAAATAGTATTTTAAATTGCATCATGTCAAATATTTTCATTACATATGTTGTTAAATGGGACCTAAATAAAATATGAGAATCTAAAAATTCCTTTATTTATTATTTTTTATTCTAATGAAAGTTATCTATATTCACTTTTTAGTCCCAATAGCTACCATCCAGTCTGGATGGACTTGGATATCAACAAGATATGCACATTTGGTGTTATATGTAGATGTAGAGTTATCTTGACTAGATACCTGTCTGAAACAAGGAAATATAATCATCATACATCATTTTTGGTAACATTTTTGTAACCAGAAAACTATAGCTAAGTTTTATTTTTTAAATTAATAACAAGCTAGTATGCAAGACAGAAACTGGTCTATGAAGATAAAATTAAAAAGGCAACTTCATAAAATTCACTTACTTGTTTTTTAATTGACTGTCCCACACAACTTTAACGACACCATCCATGCCAGCAGAGCACAATATAGAATTATCTGCGTTTATATCACTTAATTCTGATGATACTCTATTTGTCAAGTTGGGCTTTCCAACTGCTGACCAGTCCAATGCAGTAATTTTTCCATAATGCCCTCGGTACTCATGTATGCATGAACATGCGGCTAAATCCCATATTTTAATTTTCTTATCATCACCTGCAAATTTAATAAAAAATGTAAATTATGTAAAATTTACAAACAGAAACGGAACGGTTGATTGTGTATTCTCAATTTTTCAAAGATTTATAAACTTAGTAATGTAAATAAAAACCAAAAATAATTAAAAATACCTGCGCTAGCTAAATGTGACCCAGTTGGTGCAAAGGCAAGGGCTCGGACGGGACCGCGGTGCGAGCACAACACCCGTACAAGCCGCGCGTCACAAACGCTCCACAAACGTACGGTGCGGTCCGCACCCCCGGTCGCTATGTAGGCTTCGTTGGGATGAAATTTTACACACTGAAATACAATTACAAGTTACTTATTACTAAAAATAAATTCTGATATATAGACCATATCAGAATAATACGAAAGAATTGTGTTCATTAGTTGGTTGATTGGTGCACAACATCTTGTTTTTTTTGTGTATTGTGGTTTGAACTTATAATTTGTATCTTATAAAATACTGGTGCACAGAATACGGCCCGCCGTTCGAATATTGGTGGCCCGACGACAGCAAAAATAATACTCAAATTAATAATGTATTTTTCAATTTTAATACATTATTATCAATTCATAATTTGCTCTAGTGGCCCCTAGCCTTAATAAGTCATCCCTGTAAGCCTTGTAAAATTATACAAACCGTAACATCAGACATATGCCCAACGAAGATTCTCACGGGGAACGTCCTGTCTAGGGACCACAACTTCGCTGTTCTATCGTGCGATCCAGTCACAATAAACAGGCCATTTTTCGATACGTCCAAACACCAAATCGGATAGTTGTGTCCTCTAAAACCAATAGGTAATATAATTTCATTTATTTATTTATTATTATTACATTTAAATTAAAACATTAATAAATAGTTCTTAAGGATATAAAAAATAGTGTTCAAGGCCTGAAAAGTTTTTAGTTTACTTTAGAAAAAGACAAAAGAAATTGTTGCATTAGATCTGTTATACATAACAGCTCACCTACAGGTGATAAAAAATAGTGCCTTTAAACTACTAAGTTCACCTGTAAATAGAAGCACATGAGTAGTCCGAGATTCTCCAAGCCCTCATCGTGTTATCATGGGAGGCAGAGAGAACTAGCTCTTCTCTTGACAAAATGCTGACTGCTTGCACTGGTCCAGAGTGACCTCTTAATGGTATTCCAGTACCTATTTGCCTAAAATGTCACACAAGAGTTATTGGCTGCAGTTTACAGGACTAAATATATAAATAAATCACTTGTAATGGTTTAATACACGAAATATATATTATTTTTTTTTTTTTTTTTTTTTTTTTTTTTTTTTTTTTTTTTTATTTAGGGGGGGGGGGGGGGGGGGGGGGGGGGGGGGGGGGGGGGGGGGGGGGGGGGGGGGGGGAAAAAAAAAAAAAAAAAAAAATATTAAATCTCCCCCCCCCCCCCCCCCCCCCCGGGGGGGGGGGGGGGGGGGGGGGGGGGGGGGGGGGGGGGGGGGGGGGGGGGGGGGGGGGGGGGGGGGGGGGGGGGGGGGGGGGGGGGGGGGGGGGGGGGGGGGGGGGGGGGGGGGGGGGGGTTTTTTTTTTTTGGGGGGGGGGGGGGGGGGGGGGGGGGGGGGGGGGGTTTTTTTTAAAAAAAAAAAAAAAAAAAAATTTTTTTTATTAAAAAAAAAAATCACCCCGGGGGGGAAAAAACCCCCCCCCCCCCCCCCCCCTTTTTCCCCCCCCCCCCCCGGGGGGGGGGGTTGGGGGGGGGGGGGGGGGGGGGGGGGGGTTTTTTTTTGGGAAAAAATTTTTTTTTTTTGCGCCCCCCCCCCCCCCCCCCCCCCCCGAAAGGGGGGCGGGGGGGGGGGGGGGAAAAAAGGGGGGGGGGGGGGGGGGGGGGGTTTTTTGGGCCCCCCGGGGGGGGGGGAAAAACCCCCCCCCTTGGGGGGGGTTTTTTCCCCGGGGTTTTTCCAATTAAGTTTTTTTTTTTTTAAAAGACCAAGGGGGGGGGGGGGGGGGGTTTGGCCGGCTTTCGGGCGGGTGGGGGGGTTTTTTTTGCCGCCATGCATACATTTCACACTTTGGTAGTTGGTACACTCAAGATACAGATACTTAGAAAATGAAATGAAATTTTACAATTAAAGAGTGCACCGGGCGTCCTTATAGCGATCTCTTCCAGGCAATCTGAGTTAGTTCGTTATTTTAAATTAAATTTAAGTGGGTGATGTTTGCATGTTATAATAGAGAATTAAAGTACCTTGTATTATCTGTGATATCTTCTGGTTCAGGTGGAACACAGCAGGCAAGTTCTATTTCGGAAATATTTCGATTCATCCTTCTGTTAGCATTATTCTGACCAAGGTCCCAAAGCCTTATCTCGGAATTGCCAAATCCTCCACACAACACATTGCAGTATTGGTCAGTTTTTGCACATATTAAACTGAAAATGTTTAGAAGACATTGAAATTTAAGTATTATTGTTTTTCTCATTAAGTGAATATTCTAAGAGAAAATAAATTCTTTAAACCGAAGAGAATATGAGAATATAGCAATTATGAAACAGTTCAGGTAATGTCTAATCTATACTAATTATATAAAACTGCTGTGACTAATAGTAGCAAAGAAAAGCGAGCAATGTAAAAAAAGCGGAATAATTATTTAGTCTCTGTGGGGTCCGATAAGTACACTGTAAAAAGTTTAAGATACCCAAAAATATATAAAAGATTGATTGTTTAAATGATCTATGCGGACGAAGTCACTGAACACCTAGTATATAATAACAATAATAAATCAGTAATTTTGAATTTATCTGTCAACTAAAATTTAATGTTTTTATTTAATTAACTTATACATTATATAAAAAAGAGTATTTCTCCATTTTATAAAAGTTATTCGTACTTAGTATCAGGAGCAGCTATCTTGTACAACTTCAATGGTGCCAAGGATTCTCTAACACCTTTAATAGCATCCTGCAGGTCTCGTAATTCTTTATCCACTGATTGATATTCAGCATGTCCATTGCATGTAGAGAAAACATCTGAAAAGTAGTACAGTTTACGTAAGACATTCGCGTTTTAGCTTGTAGGTATTCGAAATGTTTGGCTATGTGTAATAAATTTCACAAATATTAATGACTAGCTGTTGCAGCGAATTCGTCCGGTAAGAATATTTATTTTGGGCACCCAAATTCGTTTTTGCAAACCTATCTTGTATCTTGAACCGTTTCTGCAGTGTACGCCTCGGAAACCCATAATGATAAATAATTTTCCCACATTGTTTGACATTTCCCGCTGTATCTTCCCTTGTATTAATAACAGGGCGATGTTTTATACCCTATAGCCTTCCTCGATAAATGTTCTAACGAACACAAAAAGATTTATCACTTAAAATTAAGTAGTTCTTACTGTTACATAAAAAAGCAATATTTTTACCAGGTTTAATATCAGCCATAATATTGAGTTCAAACTTGATTTTTTCCTTTGAATCTTCTTCTTCATCTTCCTACAATAAAAATATTTGTGATAAAAAATACTTAAATTTCTTGTCATATACATTAAATTATAATTTTCTATACTCACCCCATTACTTTTGCTATTCTCTCCATTTACATCAATGTGAAACCATGTCTGCAAAACTTGTATTAACAAGACATGTCCATGTTTAGCTAAATAGGCTTTAAGCATATTCAGCGCATCTTGTGATAAGTTAATATCAAATTTGCAGGATCTAAGAATAAGTTGACAATGATTAATTATATTTAAAAAAACAGTCAAGTTAAATAATATCAACAATATATCATCCAAATTACATACCTAAATGCAGCAATAGTTGGTCTTGATTCAATTTCTTGCAAGGTATATACTGAACCAATATCATCAAGCAATTGATTCATGTAATCCTTTTCAGGTGTTTCATTGTCAATAGTGCCATTTTGAATAGAGTTAAACAGTTGTTCTAAACTATTTGGCCGATAGAGAGCCGATGGCAAGTTCCCATCAATTGGTTGATGATATGATAAATCTTTTTGGGGTAAAGTTGCTGAATGTCTTTTTAGAAACATTTGTGCTGGACCACTGTGGCCCCCTCTCAACATTTCCAGGTACAAATGACAGAGAAGTGGTGTTAATAATCCTAGGAGTTCATTTTTGACCCTCTCAATTTTTATATCTTTTATAAAGTTCAATAACCTGTAGATAGATAAGGTTTTGTTAGAATTATAGTTTTTTATATAAATTCTTCTTCTCTTTTGGAGTAAGATAATTGCTTTAAATTTTATAAAAAATATAACATAAATTAGCATGTGCAATGGTTTCAATTACATTTAATATTTAAGTTTCTTACCTAGTATATTGGATATCATACTGCCCAGGGTCATTATTTATACAAGAAAATAAAATTGAATTAGCACGGCTAGATTCACACTGAACAATAGTGGCTACAGCCATTTCTTCAGCACTTTTGCTTATAGAATTACTGTTATTAAAAATATCAATGTCCTGAAATTAAAAAAACAACTTATCATATTACAGTTTTAAACCTAAGAATTACTAATTATCATATGAACTATTAAATTGTAACTAGTCTATACAAATATATAACTCACTGGATAATTTCTGCGTTCTAAGTAAGAAGTAACCACAGCTTTAATAGCGTCATTTTTATTTCTTTTCATTGGGTAAAGTACTGAAAATCTAAAGCACTTAATCCGACTTTTAAAGCTGATTTAAGCTGAAAAGATAAATTACACCGAAATGTAGCGTTACTTAGAACTAATAAAGAATACTGTAGTTGTGTTTAAAAAAAAAAAATTGACAATATTGAGTTATTTTAAATTTAAAAATACGATTCACTGAACTACACTGAACAACAAAACAATAACAAGACACAAGTGTAGTTAAGCTTTGGCACACGTTTGTTTTTTTTATACAACAAATGTTTGCACATAAGGTTTTGACAATGAACTACCAACTGTCAAGTATAAACCACAGATATGTTTAATCTTAGCAATTATACAACATAACAATGCGCATGCTCACTTAACAGATTCCACACACACTTTCTATTTGATTAATCTCCAAAAAAAATAATTTAAGTTAAGCCATCCTCAATTAAAGCTTAAGGGTCAATGATGTTAACATTAAAAAATAATAGTTTTTTTCTAATTTTAGCTCGCATTTTTGTATATTTCGGAATCTAAAAACTAAAATGTTTGATATCGCCTTTTCTTTAAGCTCAATATTACCTACTTATATTGAGATATTCCCATTTCAGAGGCAATTTGGTTTTGTTTCTTCAGCTAATCAGCAAAGTTAAGTATATTCAACGCGGCGACTGCAGGTATTCACCTTCGCGCAGATGCGCCTGCGGGAGGTGTCAGGGGTTGCGGCCCGTTAATACGGGGGGATCATCTGGTCTGTCGGAGCAGAGTTTGCGTCATGGTTAGGTGATGTGGGGCACAGGGGGGGCGACGCGTTTCAAGGCGCGCGGCACAGTCCCGCCGGGTGAGACCCCCGTGTCAATAACCTTACAAGGTTATTACATTGACTTACACCCCGTACACACTAGAGATTTTTTAACACACATTAGAAAAGTGTTAAAATATAACAAGTGCATTCCCAAGTATTTGTTCACACGACAGCGCTTTTAAATTGCGAAGCTATTTTATCGCGCAGTATTCGATTTTTAATATATGGGTGTTGGAAATAGATTATATGAAAATTAGTACACACTGGCGCTAAAAAGCGTGGACGCAAAAACATTTATTGCGTTTCAGTATTAGTTCGTGGATTCCTGAATTTCAAAGGCAAAATAGGTTGACGGTGTAACTTTCAGTGTTATATGGCTGGGTATTTCACCTTTCATCGAGTGAACGATATACTTGTCTGTTCTCCTCTATCACAAAATTTTCCTTCCGTACAAACCGCTATGGTTAGTTGTTTAGCGTTAATCGCGCTAACGCGCGACGAAATAAGGGTTATGAAAACGTCACTTCGTTCACTGAATGACGCAAATAATAAAAAGTAAAGAGTCTGATAATATGTTGATACAAATGATATCTTTTATAATATACAAATATTATACCTTAAAGTTTAGACAATGGAAGTTTAAGACAATCGGCGCGACCCATCATAGACCTATGATCTGACATTTACCTAAGAAACTGATATTTATTTTGAACCAGTGTTAAAATCTGCAGGTTTTTTATGATCGTCTATGGGTAAATTGTTAATTTTATTCCGAATTACTTCCAAGGCATAAGTATAATTAAATTAGAGGAAGGAAACTATCAGAAAAGTAGTAATGTTAATAAATACATAATAGTTTAAAGGAATGTTAGTACCTACTGTTTTATTTTATTTTAGATAACAAGCAAGTCAAAAAACTTGATAAATTAATTAATAGCATTTTTAATCATTCAGTGTACAATTAAAAATGAGAAACTCTATATCATTAGAACTATTACCAATTATCATATCATCTATACTAATATATAAATTTGAAGAGTTTGTTTGAAGGCGCAAATCTCAAGAACTGAATTAAAAAAAAAATGTTGTATTGGTTAGACCATTTATTGAGGAAGGCTTTAAAGTTTAAGCTATAAAATAACATGCCGCGACCAATAGGAGCCGAGGAGAAGTGGGAAATATGAAAAAAAAAACCATTCATGTTTGAGGATTTCCGGTGCGTGTGCTGTAAAAGCGCTTAATGTTACTTAAAAAGTAAGTTTAAAATAATGATTCCTCTTTAAATGATCTTATAAAATTTCCGCGACAGTAGATGCCTTATAAGATGAACTTGTATTACCGAAGGGACGCGATCGGCGTCGTGGGTAACTATAATTTAAAAAGGTGGGGAGGTTTGCAAAAACAAATTTGACGCCTAACATAACTTATTTACGCAGACGAAGTCACTGGCACAGCTATTATACAATCCTTATCATACATATTAATTTCCTGTACAGTATGTACCTACAACAATGTTTGGTTATTTTAACTCATATACTGAATGGTCTTATAATTTGAGGTCATTCTAATAAACATTACAGCTTCCATTACATCAATTTTATCAGTCGTTTGTCGCGTTGAGTACCTAACGGAATATATTGTTCTCAAAGACTGTTATAAAATGCAGAAAATACTTATTCAAAGTCTAATAATATATTTTTCTAGTGTTATTGGTAACCCAATAAACCTAAATGGACTTTTATTACCTGGAGAGTATGAATACATAGACCTAACAAATCCATTCGACGAAAATACAATTTACTGGCCGGGAATACAGAAATTTGAATTTACGAAAAAAGTTACAATACAAAGTGGAAATTTGTGAGTATTTAGAATGTGACACCTAATTAAACATTATTAAAGTTTTATGACTTGGTAAGACGCCTTTGATGAGTTAAGGTGTTCGATAACGTACGTTCGTTATACTAATGATATTATTCTGTTCAAGATACGCTGCAAATGAATTTGCAACGGCAGAACATGGAGGCACACATTTAGATGCACCAGCTCACTTTGACATAAATGGTAAATTTGTAGCAGACATTCCCATATCAAAACTGATAGTTCCACGTAAGTTATTATTACTAATAATCACTTTAATTTATAAACCATACATAATTTATGCTTAGTACGTGAGTAACATTAAAAAAATTGGAAAAAATTATCGATCGAATCACGGAATGCCATCGAATCGATGGCATTCCGTGCTGTTGCTCTAACGAATTGAGCTACAGTGTCTTACACGGGTCTAGCCCGTGTCATATTTTTTTAAATTTATATAGTGTTATCATGTGAAAAATATTAAAGTTTTTAAACGCGACGAGTGTTTACTTGTACAAAAATTGTGTGAAAACAGAGTACTAACCATTGGCACGTCGTACATACATGTAATGTATATTACAATGAATGTACGACGAATCTTGCAACTTTAGTATTGTTACTGTGTAAGTTAGTATTAAAAGTGTTTTTAAATTTAAAAACAATATTCATAGACATGCAAATAGGTATGGTTGTGTCCACTTTTGTAATTACTATTTTGTAACGTAGCTACATCGTGAATAAGGTTTTGTTTCAGGATATATTATGTAGATACGGCGGTTTCCTTCTATTCCTTTCCTTGTATGTGGTTTGCTTAATGCGACAATTATAAAGTATATCAGACGTTGTACCTACTGCCATATTTTTTTTTTTAATAACCGACTTCAAAAAAGTAGGTTATCCATTCGATTTGTGTTTGGTACGCTCATCGAGTTCAGGAAGAGGTGCAGGCCTTGAAATTAGATCAGATATGTGTCATAGAAAGGTTTGGTCTAACAAGTATGAAATATCTTGCAGTTATAATTGCTGATGTTAGCTCAATCGTGAATGACAATCCTGACTTTGTTTTACATAAACATCATTTAGATCATATGATAAATGATAATTTTGGAAAACCATGTTTGCTTGTCTTCAAATTTGGTTGGAGTAAATATTACAATAATAGACAGAAATATCTAGGACATCAACAACACATTAAATTTTCCGGGTGAGTTAACTATTTTGTTATAAGTAGACATGTACTTAAAGATAAGAATAAACAGCTTTTAATATCATATGTATGTATGTATGAAAGTATAGGTAAAGTACCTTCTATAAAATGAAAATTGTCTGGTTTTTGGAAAATGAGCAAAGCATTTAATAGACCTTTTCACCGGTTGTAACGACGACTTTGAACTTCAAGTCATTAGTAAAAGTAGTGAAATTAAAAATAATTTTAAGTTGGCAGACACATTAGTTAAATTGGTTTAACAGCCGGAAAGGAATGCTGTACGACTACAAGTCTGACTACGGTTCGTATAACTCGCATTGTAAAATAAAAAATATTTTATAATGAATACATCTAGGCTTGAGCGGCGAAGTCATGGAATGGATAACGACGTCATATAAAAATGTGGTGGGCGTTGGTGTGGACACATCTTCAATCGACCCTGGTTCATCTACAGAGTTCCCTGCCCATAGAATAGGATCAGCTGCTGGACTGTATAATATAGAAAGCATAAATTTATCGCGGCCTATACAGGGTGAGTGTTTTATAATGCGTAGATTTTTTTTTTTTTTACGATGAAACTCAATATGAAACCCACCTTATTCTCTTTAACAAAAAAGATTTCCTGTTATATAATAGTTTGCAGTTTTTTTGGAACAACAATTATATATACATAGTAATATTAACAATTAATAATAAACATAGTTAATCTCAATTGAATTAGGTACATTTTACTTAGGTGGGTACTTAATATATCCTCACATATAAATTTCTGTTTCAGAATACGGCTGCACTGCTCTTGTGATGCCTATGAAAATCTCCCAAGGAACTGGTGCGCCCGTGCGAATTGTAGCTATTTGCCCTAAAAAACCTCCAACTGAATTTTAGTTTCACTACGGTCAACAAAGATAAATAATACCTAACAATATATACGTATTAACAAAAATTCTTCAACTAATAAGTAGTTGTTAATTGTCCCAATTATAATGATTAATTTATAATTAACGTTGTAAAACGACTGAACCAAATGACGCAAAAAACGCTGTATTTGCTCAGAGACTGAAAAGACCTGTACCTATACAAGTATAGTGAATATGTACTTTGTTATGAAACAACTTCTTAGACGTCATGATCAAAATAATTTCAAAAAAACACCACATGATGATATTGAACAAACAGTTGACAAATACGTTCTAGGCACGACTTACGATGGTTTATTTATATAATATGACGGCTTAAGACGCTCGTTTGTAGCCGAATATTCTTTTAAGAGAAATGCTTGTATTATATTAATTATAGTTTAAAGCTCCATATAGTTTTGGAAAAATCCTATATTATGCTGAAACGCACAAAAACAAAAAAATACAAAATAAAAAATATATATTCTGGAACATATCGTAATACATCACTATCAGTAGGTTTTTGACTAATAAGAAAGTAAAAAAGTTATAGATTTGAAATCAGTATATCTTAAAGCTTTTAATGCATTTGCTTCACTGATTCGTAAGTCAATATACTGCTTTGAATTTTTGATTCTTATAACTTATCGCACTTTGTGTTTCATTAATTCTTATCGTCTTATATAGAAATCAGACTTATTGAAAAGTTATATCCTTAAAAAATAGTTCTTATCATATAAGCTTTTATAAACAGTTTCGTGAGAATCATTTTTCAGTTCCACTACAGCTATATCATCATCATAGTCTACTATTTTTGCGTAAAATTGTCCATCTAAGAATAATTCGTAAAGTTCACGTACAATGACCGAAGCGTCCACTTTGGAATTGATAGCAACGTCGTGTAATTTAGCAGATACGGTAGCTGGGGGAAGTTCGATGAACGTATCGTCGATTTCTCTCACATCAGCTAGTGACACAACATCTTCGTTGCCATAGTCGACGTATTTCACTTTGACTAGCGCCTTATCCTTGCTATATTGCAGGATAATGGCTCTGTACCATTCCCCGTCTTCGGGAAAGATAGCTGCGCAGGCTTTGTTTTCAAAAGCACCATTTAATGGACACATATCAGCAGCATTCAACTGAAGTTTCTGAAACATTGCATCGTATACAGCATTTTTTTCATCGTCGAATATTATACTCAATTCGAATTTGTTAGGACCTTTGATTTGCGAAACATTACATAGAAATTCCGTTTCAGTGTTCTTTGGGAAAGCGATAAAATCTAGAAACTCTTCTAATGAATCTCTCTCTGCGTCATCGTCTTCGATCATTTTGTTCCAATCTTTGTACACTAACTTTTCTGCCACTTCTGACAATTCTGTCAGTGATATCTCACTGCTTTCAACAATGTAATCAGGTCCGGAATCGTATTCTTCTTGCACATCGTTTGTACTTATAATATTTGTATTCGGCACAAACATTCTTACTACTGGTTTTGACCCGTCTGTATATTCTGCCATTTCAAAATCAACTAAATGATCATTTATCCAAAGTTTATCAAACTTCAGATCAATCGGAGTGATGTCATCTATGGGTTCACCGGTGACCTTGACAAAACATTCCTTTTCTACTACCGATTTGTGAATATAGTCTAACGTTAGCCTGTCCCATTGTTTACCGATTGGTTTGATTCGATCCAAAACGCATTTGTGTGCTTGAATAGGTAATTGATAAAGTGCAATACTCTTTCTAAGATTTTCAAATGAACACTCTTCCTCATTGCCGTAATCAACATAGTGAATGAGGCAGGTGGAAGTTTCTTTATTTACTTGAATGACGCGTCCTCTGTAGAACTGATTGTCTAAATAGAATAGGGCAACGCACGGTTCTCCGACAGACCACTTCGCATATTTTGCTTTGGGATCTGGTTTTTTAAAGCGAACTTGGAGTGCTTTTTTAATCAAATCCAAAGTGTCCTGCTGGGCGATATCGTGTAAGTAGACAACGCCATCATTGTTAAGGTAACTGAAAATTATATAGTTAGGTATAATGTAGATAATTCATATATTGCATTTTGATAAGAGCGGGGTAGCTGTATTAACGTTAATATATTTACTTTAGGAAGTTAACGTAATAAGAAGAAAAAACTAAATATCTATTAGTGACGACATAAATTAAAAGACGATAAAAAATCAGATTGTAGTAACGTCGCAATGAGCATCATGTACAAGGGAAAGCAAGAAATATTTACTCACGTAGGCATCCCTAAAAACTCCTTGCTTTGAAACGGTTCTGGGGGCAACCAATCCGATATAAGTTCTGTTTTAGAACCAGACAGCACAGAATCAATGTTGGAGTCAACATCTTCCACCGGTGAACTGCTTGGTTCCGGGTTTAAGACTAAGGGCTTCGTCGGTAAAGGTTCTAAATGTAGCCAGTCTTGCACTGATCCAGCCAAATTTAGAAACGAGAGGTTATCACAGTCATTTTCTGGCGTTTGCGGTACCTGAAAAATTAATTAATATTTTAGTAGAGACCTATCCAGCTCTTTTGGTACTTTTTCGTAAAAAAATATAACTAGCGGCAAGTGTATCTACCTTCTCAGACTTATCCGGTATTGCTAAACCCTTTTCAATTATCTTGTGGTTAAGGCATCGCCATTCAGAGATGTTAGGCTCGAGTGCACTACCAGGTGTAGTATGGTACACCCACAGTTCTACCGGCATACTTTTGCCTTTGAATTGCCCCGTTTTAGTTATGTATATTCTTTGGTACTTCTCGAGAGAAACCTCTAGATATTCTTTAGTGAGAGTTGGCCATTGATCCCCAACAGCTGGTACAACGCCAAACAGGTGACACATAATGGCGCCGTCTCCAAAAGTAACGAACTCTTGTGGAAGCTCTTTTAAACTGTTTCGGGGGACAGTCTCGACAAAGGCAAAGTCCGAGTAAAACAACATAGCCTCGTTATTAGATAACTCTAAAATGGTAGCGCGTCGCCACGTCTTCGATTGTGTACACAGTGTACAACATCTGTCGCCAACCTCCCAATTTTCTCTGGGCTCAGAATTCTCGTTTTCCGCATAATATTTCTGAATTTTCTCGTAAAACTCTTGATACGCCTGCTTTTGTTGAACCAACGAGACATAGAACAGCGAAGGTGAATTGTAGCTTAATACCGTCACTTCTAATCGCAGAGGTCCTTTGTCTATTGCTCCTAAGTTTTCATTTTTGGTCTTTAAGCTTTCTGAGTTACTGGCGATTTGTTTGGGGCGGGTTTGTATTTCAATTTTCTCTTTATTTTGTTTGCTGTTACTTTTCTCAGGTTGTTTGTTGAAGCCTGCAAGCTTATCTGTTCCGAAGTTTTTATTGAATGTGTATATCCTGCAATTATATTTTTTTACATTAATATATTCATATGTATGACGTGAGCGAAAAGAGGTCCGTCATCAGGAGAGCTCCTCGATTGCTCGAAGAATTAATTTGTAATTATTCGAGCAATTGAGGAGCTAACATCTTCTGATGATGCCCGCACGTGGTGGCGAAACGTCGACAACCTCATGCTTAACGGTGAAAATCTTACACAATTTATAATGTGTAAGATTATGTAAAAAAATATCCCAGAAAGTTGTCTAAATGTTTAGTTACAGAAACTAACCCGAATGTGACAGCGTATTTATGTTTGATCATAAGCTCATTGATGCAGACGGTGTTGTCATCAACAGTGTCACAGAGTGTGACCGAGATAGAACCGTGCTGCCGCACTTCATCTATGTGCAGCTGAAGAACTCGATCCATATATTTTTTCAAAAGTAACACAGATCCGGGACTCCACTGCTTGTTTATGGGCGTTACTCCCGCCAAGTGGCACTCAGTCGCCTACAAAATAACATATATTAATTTGTTGTGTGAAATGCCGTTTCCCCCTCGTGGGGCATGGGGCGAACACATTTCTGTGTACGTTTTATTGATCGATATTTTTTACAGGCAAGTAGTTGATCAGACTTCTGTGCCCTTCCCGACCGGAATTGTATTTATTTATTATTATATTAATTGTATTTTTGTTCCCCTGGGAACCTGGGTTCGAGGACCTCTTGCGCGTAACGCAATGCTAGGCAATACATTTAACCATTTGGCTACAGGGGCGGTCGGCGGCGAATATATTAATTGCTTACTCAAAAAATATTTTGATAAACATTTTTTCTCTTATTATGTAGTTTATATAAGTCGAAATATTATTTTATCTTTCTTTCTTTAATTATATATTAGTTACTACATTTCTTTAATTAAAGAGCAATTGTAGTATTTAAAAAATGTAATCCGTAAAACGTATTCTAAGAACAGATTTTTAGATCGCGTACAAACACTATTCTACAGCTAAAATACGAAATAAAAGTTAATGTACTGACAGTCTTTAGGATTTGAATTCATTAAAAGATTTTACAAAGTATACAGGAGAATATATTCATATATGAGAACGTAACGGCTAAAATGTATAAAGATAAGGATGAGATTTGTAACAAGAATTTTGTTGCCCAAAATAACTATTCTACGCGGACGAACTTGCGACCATAGCTAGTAATATCTATAGAGATTAATATAGGATAAAAACAGTATAGACTTAAATATTGTTAAAAATATACTGACCAGGGCTTTTTGTACGGTAAACTGCTTATGTATCCTCCGGACTGATTTCCAGTGCACCAGTAGGGATATACCAATATCAAGAAGTAGTACGCGTACGCGTCCGCGTCCCGGCATTTCTATTATACGAGCCCGCGCCCACTTCCCGTACGCGCTTACGCCGTATTTCTCGACGTTTACGACGCAATACATATCTGCAACCATATTAAACATAATAGCATTATTAATCCCATTACATATCGTTGTTGTAAATAGATATTAAAGGTTAGAATCAGATGTTACAAAAATAAGAAAGATTGAGCTATTTTGATCTTACTTTTTTCCGGAAGGTAGATAGTTCCAGTTTGAGTGTGCTGGTTATAACATAGATCCAATTTTTCGCATAAATTTTCATACACGTCTTGAAGTTGACGCTGTAAGTAAAGAGGGACATTAATTTTATTATTGGGCTGTGTTGTAGGTATTTTTTTCTTAGAAATTTTGAGGACAGATTGCAAATTATTATATAAAACTTAGAAATAATCACTCAGTTCAATTCATTCATAATTTCAATTATTCAATTTTTCTAGAATACATAATTATCGCCTCAATTTACTATTTCAGTAAAACGCAAAGGTACTGATTTCTTGTACGAACTTAAATGTGTTACTACAATAAGAATATACAAAACACTTAAATTTCTACTTACCATTCGAACGTAAAAGTGATCAGGGCTGAGAACGTGTGTCATGTATACTTCTTCGTCGGCATTTGGTTTAAAATGATTGTTATTGTCAAATATCTTCAGTTTTTCAGTCAATCCAGTCATTTTAGGATACTGAAACAACACTCAGTATTCAGTAGTTTTCGGTGTATACACACGCATTATCGAGACATTGAATTTTTGACATAAAATTTAAGTTTATTCTTTAAGTTACAACGCCAGTTTAATTAGGTAACTATACTTTGAGGACTGAAAGCATTGCGATGTTTTCGTTTTTGAAGTTGTTTTTTTTCTTTAATATATTATGGTTCTTATGTTTTGCACTTTTTATATAGGTATCTACATATATCCATAAATTTATCGTAATAATACAATATAAGCTCAAAACTTAAGGGGTAACAAGGTGAGTTGTTCGTGGATATTTATATCTCTTTTGTGTGTTAGTCCCATTGCCTATTAGTATACACAGCTAACAGCCGACAAAACAATGCTAAGAATATACTTACTGGTAATTTTTCTGGCATGAAAGCCCTCGAGTGAAATACCAGCGCGTGCGCAAGGCTCACTCCGTATTCGAAAGTAGTCACGTCAACTTCCAGCATGAGGTCATTATACGGCGAAGACCGTATACGACGTATGTGAATCACGGCTTGTTTACTAAAACAATAATTTATTTGTTTATAAAAAACTTAACAAAATTATATTTCACAAGCTACTTATTCTATGCTACATTCCTTTTAATCATTATCAATATAATATTATTGATAATCGCCAGTAATTATACCCCTTAGTGTAAATAACTTACTTGTCTACAATATTCTGTATAAGAAAGGCATCGTTACTAGTCCAAGTTCCATTTGACGGTTGACAGTTGGCAAGCGAACAGTGTATTGCAAATGGCGCCGGAGAATGCGCACGCGCAGGTGGTATGAGACGCAATCTTTAAGCAAAAAAGAATAATGACATTACATAAGAGGGGTATACTTTATACTAACTGTGCCAGCGACTTCGTCCGCGTAGGATAGTTAATTTGTTTTTGCAAAACTCCCCTTATCTTTTTAAATTATAACCGTTATCCACGGCGTTGGTTCTTGGAAGTTAATCTTAAAAAACAGACATATACTGTCGCGGGCATTTTTTTAGATCATTTAAAGAGGGATCATTCCTACATACATAACTTTTGGGTATCTTGAACCGATTTCGCAGTCCACGAAACGGGAACCCTCGAAGATATTTTTCCTACATTTTCCACTGTTTCTTTGCACCTATTGGTTGCATTGTATTGTTAGCCTCGTCGATAAATGCTTTAACCATAACATAAATATTTTTTTCTTTCGAACCAATTTTTTCTGAGATGACCGCGCTCAAACAAACTTTTCAGCTTTAAAATATTAGTAAAGATAAAAAAAAGAGTACTCTTAAATCGTGTATACTCACTTGTCAATTGTGAGGACCTCCGTGCCTCCGAAGTCAATGCAAAACACTAGGTACTTAACTTTGTTGGGGTTCTTTCGGTCGATGTTTTCGATACGGCATCGCAGCCATAGATTGTCCGCTTGGTTGTGCATCAGATAGATTTTACCTGTGCCAAAATTAAAAATTCACTGTAGAAAATCATATTTGTAGCTAGTTCGTAGATTAACAGGACACCTCAATAATAAAAAATATTTGCCGGTGCAATTTACGAGCTTATGCTATACTACAATTACAAATCCAAAAATTGAATCTACACGTAAATTTGCTGCACCTACATAACTCCTTATATCAGAACAGGCGCTAGAGAATATATATATAACAACCGAACAATACTTATTATAATTAATTCCCCTTTCCAGTCCAACCAATACCTAATGGTTAAAAAACCTATTTTGATTTTATTAAAAGGCATGTATTTAATCAGACTTCTGTGCCCAACCGAAACATTTTATAGTTTCCCCGAGATTCGAATCGAGGGCCTCTTGTTGATGTCATGTAAATGTCTTTGGAAGGCGATCAACGTACATATTATAGGATTTGACATTTGTTAAGATAAGTTTCATTTATCCAGAGGACGAAGGTCACTCGTGGTTGTGGAGCACTACAGCTTGTTGCATCTTAACAGTAAACAAAAATATTACGTTTGAACAGTTGTTTGTGTGGTCGCCCTTATAATTTCGCAGTAACATATATATTATGTAGAATTTGGCTGTCAAAACAGCTCGCGGCAAGACGCTTTGATGTTTTTTATACGACGGGGTCACTGACCTTTAACTATGTGTTGTGCGTTGGGCCGTGGCAGGGACACTGCGTTGCGAAACTCTTTGAGTATTTCATCGACTGGCAACTGATGGCAAGCACGTTGCACGAAGAAGTTGTGAGGATCGACGATGTGCGATATGTAGATGAGCTCTTGACTGTCTGAGGTTCGATATCCAGCAGGTTAATGATAAGAATACAATTCAACTACTATTTTTAAAACTAAAATATTATTTATATAAATCATTAAATTTATATTACAATTATTTTAAACATTACCTTCTTGCAAAGTTGGATAGTATGAACTTTCTTCATTAGTCTTGAGTGATTCACCTGTACAAAAGTAATTGGTGTGTTATAAATGAATCAAAATGACAATTTTCACTTCGAATACTATATTTCTATATAAATTTATTTCAGTCAACTTTAAACCCAGAACTCTGTTTATTGGAAGAGCATACAGAGAAAACAATACACAGTTATTGGTTAGAGCAGCAAAAAGGATTCAGATGCCGGTTCAAGTCTCGCCCGTGTCGTAATTTATTTGCAATCTAAATAGTTTTTATTTATACAATGTTATCATGTGGAATAACATATATAAAATATTAAAGATTAAGGCATCACTTGCAAATCTAATTTGTTTGTTATCATATTTTGTACGTAGTAGCTGCAGACATTAATAGACAAATATCTTTATCATCAATACAGGCAGTCATAAATTTAGTTTAAAGTATAATTAATAATTTAATACTTACTAGACACATCACTATCATCATTGTTAGCAGAGCTGATCAATGAAGACGACCCACTCCTGCTGTGATACGAGGGTGCCTCCTTGTACAAGGCCTTTGGTTTTGCTACTTCCTTAACTTTCTTTATCGCTGATTCACGTACATCTAGAAAAACAAACATACATATTAACAAATATTTGAAGTTAAATGGATAGGTGGTGAAATATCCCCGTCATTTTACATATAAATAAGTTACGCTGTCAACATATTGTGACTTTGGAAATTCGGATACAAACACGCTATTATACTGTAGTGGTGGAATTTTCGGCCACTATGCCCTAAATTCTTAATTATAGTAGTGTTACTTATACCTTTAACCATTATAGGTGGATGAACTGGGGCTGAAGGTGCAGTAGGAATCTCAATATCCTTCTCTTGCAGGTCATTCAATGTATACAACTTGTATGCACAACTGCTGGTACCTTCTAGTTGAATGTAGTCCTGTACTTTGTCACATATATCTTCATTTATAGTCAACCTATAAAAATATATGTTAAAACCTGTTTAACATCTTTAGCTTATTTATAAGGCTTAAATATGATAGCAGAAAGGACCATATTTTGGTGGATAGTAAACCCTAAAGAAAATGGCTGGAGGCAAACAAATAAACAAAGGTCTACTAACAAATAAAAAAAACACATTTCACTGATCCGGTCTTTAACAGGCACGTTGCAGCAAGTTAATCAGACATCTGTGCTCTGCCCGACAGAATCAATTTTCTGTTTCCCTGGGATTCCAACCCAGGACCTCTCGCGCTCAACTCAATATGTTTAACCATTTAGCTACAGAAGCAGTCATTTTATATTATTTATTTATGTGCACATTTAAATTTCGGTGATGTATTAAAAAAAAAATTACTTGAGATGATCATCAGGTTCATCTTTGCATAAATACCAAGGAATCTCCATAATCTTTTTGGCATCTTCAAGGATGACAGATAAATTGGCCTGAAACCGAAAATATATAGATTATTTATGGGCAGCTGTCCTTGGCTTGATTGAAAGACGCGTTACATTGCATTATGCGCCGAAGATTTTGGGTTAGAATCCCTAGCAAACATAATATGTATAAATATGTTGATTAAAAATTTATTTTAACTCAAAGTAAATCGATTAGTGAAATGAACCCAGCAAAACCACCCCTTGGCCCATGTTGGGTAAATAGACATCTACTTTATGGCAGAGAACAAAGTTAAGTGGACATACCTTTTGCATTGCGCTAATATTTTTAATGTCATTCAGGAATTTTCTAGACACTTTTAAACCGTTACCAATGCAATTCTTTGCTGAGAGCAAAGAATTTTTTTCGCTTTCTTTCATATGTATTATAGTATCGGTTATATCTGCTTTATGTACTTGTATTTGCAACATTAGTCTTGAGTATTGTTGTTCCACATTATTCAGCATTGTGGTTAGATCTAATGGTCCAGAATCATTTTGCAACTTGAGAAGGTTATTGCCAATATCCTAAAATTATAAAGATTAAGGTTTTAAAAATAAGAATTTCTTCCCTAACAGAATCAACCAAGAAATAAGAGAATCACCGTTTTTGTATTAATTTATGCTAATTCAATAACATACAATTGGAGACAACACAATAAAAATTTCATTTTATCATGAACAACCAGGCGATACTTTTTTATTTACAAAAAGTAACCAGTTGACATAGTGACAAGATATAATATACACATATTATATCTTGTCACCATGTCAATTGGTATACACGAACATGCAAATACTCACTACTGCAGTTTTGGTAAATCTTCTGTACATCTCATCAATTTTAGGTGTTATTTCCTTTAATTCATTTGTAAATGTTTCATTCTGAAATTGTTATGGTAACACTGTTAATGATTAAATTACTTTATTTTACAAGTATTATTAAACTTTTATAAAAAGTGTCTTTAACATTAAAATACTTACCATGTCCTGAATTGTGACTACATTATGAGTTTTGCATGATTTTTCACCACCAACCATAGAACAATCCATACACACAGATTTCTGACATGTCTTGCAATAGTAGTCAATTGGCTTATTTTTATGGGTTGAGCACATACTAGGAAATTTCATATCTATAACATAAATTAAGTGACCTTAAAATCAATTTTAGATTGAAGAAAAATTACGACAAGGGAGGGATGAACAGGCAACTACAGAGTTCTGCTGACCTTTACGACTTAGAGATATTAGAACTATAATAATTTACCAATGTTCTGAAGCATATGGCTCTTGAATATTATAAAGTTCTTGTGACTTTTGTTGAAGCAGGGAACACAAAGTATGATGGAGCATTCATTGCACATTCGGTTGGTTGGACTTTTGCACTCCATACAATACCCTGTAAAATAACATTAATAAATATTATAAAAAGGGATGATAATAAAGAAGTCATATCAAATTCGTATAGTTTAATTCAATTCAAACTTTATTAAATTAATTAAACTTTTCTGCAGCGTCTTATAAAAGCACAATATATTTAGATAACATTCCTTAAGAAAGAAAATAAATTCTTTTGATGAATGAAGAAACTAGATTCTTTTCATTATCTATTAAAATAATCCCATAAAAAAATAAGTTACCTTCATCTGACTGTAGAGTTTTATCAATCCATTCGAGATCTATGAAACAAGGTTCCTCTTCAATTTGATTTTTACTTTTGGACTGTTACAAAACAAAATAATATTTTTAAAACATTTACAAATAAATAGAACATTATTTGAGCAATTATTATACCTGAATAATATAGCGTTGTGCTAGTTCTCCAAGAATAAACACATTAATCGGGAATATTTTATAGAATTTCGCTTTATCTCCTAGTATGAGGGGCAGGTTTTTGGTATCAACTGTCATATCTTGTTGGCAAATTTTGCAGCTTATAGGCTCCTCAAACTTCACAATATTACTTATGCAGGTCTCGCACATTGAGTGCCCACAGGAAAGGAACAGCGGTATATTTCCATAGCCTTTGGGCGCCAAAGCTGGAATAAAGTATATATAAGCATTGGATTAGAATATACAAAACAAAAAAAAAACAAAGCCAATAACATTCATATAACTGTCAATTAGTTTGAAAAATTGAGATAAAATATTAATTTTATACTTTGTACATGTTTAAACATGTCCAATGCGCAATGCTCAAATACTCGTCCCCCTAATATTTTTATTTAAAAGTTAAAATGAAATTTAAACTTACCTATCAATTGATAAGCTTGTGAGCAATTCGGGCAGCATTTTTTAATTTTATCATTCATATTATGTTCTTTGGAGTACTGACATAGTTTAATAACAAATCATTTATACAAAGCTCAACTCAGCAAGAAAATAATTACTTGATTAAGGCCCAAAATCTGGACATACGCAAAATTTCTGAACACGAAATATGAGTAAAACAAAACTTAGCGTTTTTTTTTTCCATTTGTGGCAAGAAGAATTAACTATTTGCCAGTGTCAAGTTAAAAACTTAGCGTTTATAACGACAATATTATATTGACAGTTTGAGCAGACAGTGTTGCAAGATATTAATGTCGTGCTCCCCTAAGACCTACTTTTAATAATAATAATAATAATAATAATTTATTTGTCAGACCATAGATCCATACATTATTTTAAAATAATACATAATTAATTAATTTAATGTCTTATTGTTAGTAACTTTTTGTCACGGTGACTGTTTCTCTGGTCAAGTCCGTGAATATGTATGGAGGTGCGCGCATGTAACAATTGGGTGACATTTATGTACGCCGACCGGCGAACAAGCCTGTGACGAAACTGTCATCGCCGCTACGGGTTTTCATAGCAATGCGCGCACTGGCGGCAAATTTGGCACTTTATTCGGTGATCGTCTGCCATTTGCATTTTGACTACCGACTTTAGCGCGCGCAAAATGGCGTCACCATCTACGCAAAACCTAATAAAAAATCGTGAAGACGATATTGATAACTTGTCGCTCTACAAAAACCGTTGTTAACTTAAGACACTGTAATCTATAGCATTCTTATTTAATTATTATTATTGATAATAATTATTAAAAATCATTATTTATAATAATATAATAGTTTAAATATTATTAAAATAAGAATTATTTATATTTTGTAATTTTATATTTTCATATATTTAGGTTCTAAAGTGCGTAAGAATTCATCAAAGCGCTCATTCTGAAATATCTAAAAAAATCCTTAGGATGTTCTCAAAGTTTATAATACATAGTGTAGAACTTTCCACGTAGAAGCCTGTCACTCCAAAGAAAACGAAGAGAATACTAGGTACGGGGTGTACCTAGTGTGTTTTCTTTTTCTTCTGAGTCCCAAGAGTTCATAGAGAACGACCATCTCTTCGAAATTCATGGTAGCAAATGACACTCCCGATTTCGAAAATGTTTTGTCACTGTCGCTACTCGTGCGCGCACTGCACTTTGGAAACGTGACGTGACAATGACAAAAATTTTAAAGTCACAGTGACAAAAGTCACCAGTGCGCTAGCGCGAGTGATGTTAAACCTTTGCAAAAAAATAAATATTTTTTAAACACTTCACTCATAAACTGGAATTATGGCAATTGTAGAGAAATGAAAAATATATAAAGTTTAGGTTTTAAGTGACGAAAAGTTTGTTGGTTCGCCAATTTGCCCACTTGCGAAAAAATTACTATAGATGAGACTAACAATAAAAAAAAAATTGAATTTATTTTTGTTTTATTATACTGGCTTTATATTTTTACCACTTAGAGTTTTACCTTAAGATGTCTTCCTTAGGTGTCTTCTTCATATGTCTGCTTACTAAAAATCTGAAAACTTTATCTTAATTTTTGCATTCTTTCTGTAGTTACTGTTTTACCTAACAGAAAATTGTTTATTCTCTCTGTTGGCATAACATTTCGTTGATTGATATTCAATGATCATTTTTCTAAAGTACTTCCGCCTAAGTGCTAGTACCTTAAAAAAAGAAAAAGAAGTGTAGCTACGGTAATGGTATTTTGATAAATAGATATTAAAATGTACTTGTACATAATATAGCAGTTTCACTACTGTAATAAAAAAAATACTCTTTCAAACAAACAAATTGAGTGAGCACATCACTCAAATAAAAACCTAACGAACACACATACCAAACTAATAGGACGAATGCGAATATCGTTACAATTAATTAATTACTTCAGAAATTCTTTAAAAATAATATATCATTAATTACTCGTGACTAATGCTGGAAGCTTTTTATTTTTTGGATTAGCGTGTATCGCTGGCTTTAAACTACACGCAGCACATTGCGCGGTTGTCTGTCCTCCAAACAGCACGCGAGTACCCTGTTGTTACGTAACGCGCTGCAACCACGGTTGGTCAGTATTCAACGAACATTCTTTCTCAAATTCAATGTTTAAAGAACTTCTTTATCAGGGATCTCTTTGTAAATCTTGTTGTCTATGGTTGTGAATTTTAAAAATCGAAAACGTCAAGATGATTACTAGAAAGCTCTTATTTTTGGCGGCTATTGTATCTTTGTCGGGTAAGTTGAAGCGTTCTGATACTAAAATGATTGTACATGAGTTAGATAAATAAAGGTGTGATTTTTTGGCGAAATAATAATAAGAAATTCTACACTGGTCTTAGCTATCATACAAAACTAGTGCATTCAGTGTAATTATTATTATTATTTTATTGTATTATTTTATTATATTATAATATATATATTACAGTGTATATATTATATTATTTTATTTTATAGAATGTCTCTGTAGAATTACGGCGAATGGACAGACAAACATATTTTTTTTTTCGTTACGAATCAAAATATTTTTTATAATTGTATAGAGAATAAAGTACTTTTTATTTTATAATTAGGCAATAATTTAACTAAGCATAGATAAGCGAATAACACTACAACTGTAGAGCCGTTACAAAAATACGCAAACGTAACAGAGACGAAATAGTACCTATTGTTATTGCCAAATGCTACTTCTTCGTAAAGTGGGTAAAACATTTTTAATAGCTATAACTTCACCATAACTATCAAAATGATTACCTGTAAATATACACGTGACGATATTAAATTTTTCCGTAAACAAAAATGCTGAAGGCTTAACTAAGGCTTAAGATTTAGAATATTTTTTCTTTGTGAACTAAAACCGTACATTAAACACGTAATCTTGATTTATGCCATGATTTATATTTCCTTGGTGCGTACAGGATGTTCGGAAGATGGTGCTCGAAGGAAACGCGTAAGAGCTGATAGCGCAGCTGTAAGGGACCCATCACAAGCTCTGGACGCCCCAGAACCCGAACCACACACAGTGCCAGTGCCCGCCGCCTTCCTCAGCCCTTCAGTTAAGGAATACCTTGAACTTGGAATGGCCATACCCGGTAAGTAGTTCGACCGCTTGCTTTATATCGCTGAATAAAGGTCACCTAGGTTTTTATTTTTCATACGTTTTAGAGCTTGTTTACCCGTGGCTGTAGACCCGTGGTTCTCAAACGTTATTTTCTATTGCTCCCTTAACAAAGAAACTTTAGTGTTGAACAATAGTGATGACGAAGTTAAATGTCTTACTATTTAAATAAAAAACTTTAACGGTTTAAAACGCGATATATATTAGATAAATTATTTGAACATTATTTTAACTACGGTCCGACGTTTCGGATGCTTTGCCTCTCCCCGTGACCACGACTGCTACAAATTCAAATAAATTAACGCGTTTTAGACCGTTAGTGTTTTATTTAAATGTGTACTGCTCGCGTAAGTTACGGACAGTATTTATCTTATAGATTAGTAGCATTGAACATCAATACGATACAGTAATACAAAATATAGGATCAAAATGTTAATGTAAAGATGCAACTTGATATGTTATATAATCAATTCAAATGCCATGATCGAATTTAATTGATACAGGAAATCGTTATCATGACCGTTGAAATTCATATTGCATTTTCAATGACCTATACAAGATAACCTTAGCTAATTTATTTGTGAGTGATATAGATGTGTTCTAATAAAAGTGCTAGTCGGTTCGCGCTCGAAGAGTTCCGTACTGTTTTTCGTAGAGTACTATTTGTTGTAAGTGCTTAGTCAGCAAAAGAGGGTAAAAATCGCGTTTCTGTATGAGAGGCCCCTTAAATATATATTTTAATTTGTTTTTTAACATTAATTTGTACATATACACTATTTGTAAAAATTTAAATAGCGCGCTTCTTGCAACGCCCGATCACAGTTAGCAATGCTTTAGTAATGACATCGATAAATAAAAAGTATTCCGCTTTGGAAACGAAACCAGAAAGAAAAAGCATTACCTATTTTTACATTTGTATTTTATTTCAAGGTTAGAAAATGTTAACTTTTGAAATGGGTCCAAATTAATAAATAAGAAAGGCACCTAAAAAGTAAAATTTGGCAATGTAAATTACTAAATATAAATACGTAAATACTGTCTATAGTTTACGCGAGTAGTACACATTTAAATATAACACTGTAACGGTTTAAAACGCGATATATTAGGTGAACTTATTTGAAAATGATTTTTAACTTCGGCCCGACGTTTCGGATGCTTTGCAGCAGCCGTGGTCGCGGGGAGACTCATTTTCAAATAAGTTTAACTAATATATCGCGTTTTAAACCGTTAAAGTGTTTTATTTAAATACTAAAAGGTATTTTTTTAATATTAGCTAAATTATAGCAGTGCCTAATAGCACTGTAATTTTAACGATTTAAAGTACGGCTAATTATAGTGCTTGTGCGTATATTATGTTCCTATATTAAGAGCTTGCCACTTATAACTATAAAAGGATACAAGTGTGACCTTACCCAAAGACGCTTCTTGATATTTTATGAACTCATCTCTAATTTTGTTCGTGTTTGAATGTATAAGGTTTCCATAACATTACGTACAAAGCTAAACTTTGCTAGGCAACTTAGGAATAGCTATTCATTTGTTTTTTTACCAACAATCCAAATCCACCTAAAAATATTAGATTCTTAAACTAAATCTCGTGTAACACTTACAGTTGAGTTATATCTATTTAATTTGGGGTACCTATATTATATGTTAGTCACTAATATTGATACCTAGGTTTATCATCTGACGTGTTTGCGTAGGCGACGATCTCTGACTTAGTTAGTTTGTGTTTAATTTTCCAATAACTTGATGATTAAAAGAATAAATAAATGTGTTATTAAATTTAAATCCTATTATTTTACATTAAAAAAAAAAACCAGGAATAAAATTTAGCTTATTTAGCGCATTAGAATTTAGGATCACAGTGGAGAGTATTGTTGCTCTAGCAATTGAGTTACAGTGTGAATAATCAATAACATGTTTAAAATAATAAACTAGTATAGTACGGGCGTATTAAAAGAGTAGCAATTAATCGGTTTTGACCTTACTAATGCTTTGACTTTGTATCGCCTTTGCCGCTTAGCACGGTGTAACCTTTAATCTATTTGCACACACTATAGATGATAGATATTATTTGTATGTGCGTTAGCCACCGCACCCACGAATACTATCCTTGAGCTAGGTATCTTGGATAAAGCTTGATTGAGCTTACAATCGTCTCTGACGATCTTAAGTTACATACTATTTTAATGGTGCGCTATGTCAGTGTCACAAAACAAAATATGTTGTAATGATAGACACACTTATCGCCAAGGTAATGTGACCGACAAAAAAGCATAGATTTGTTAGTCGGTTTACCGTCTTATTTACTTTGCGTATATGAAATTACTGTTGCTTTAAGGCACGTATTAAAACTTATTTCATTTGTTAATACGTAGCATGCATTTACTGCTTGCATAATAATAAAAAAAATGTGAAGATTAAAATACCGATTACACCTTCGTTTTGTCATGCACCTTAGCCAACGATGTACAGAGTGGAGACAATAAAACTTTGACAATTCAACATACATACTTAGAAACTATAGAATTAAGTGTATAGATTCGGTAAGGTTTCATTAAGAAATTATTTATTTAAAATATACTTACTCTCTTTGACATTAATTAAATAAAAAAATAGTTAAACAGTCCTAAAAACGATAATATAAAAAAGTTTATAAAGGTGATTTTTTCTTCTCACTTACGGATTACTTAATATTATAACGTGTTTTAATTCGTTCGACATAATTTATCTTTAAACAGAATATAACGCTTGTGCATTCATAGAACATAGACCTCCTCGACATATTTATAGGTTGTATTGAGAGAAGGGAGAGATTATACGGCAATAGACATTTTCCTCACGTTACCGGCCCTACCAGAGGCGCTCATGCATTATATCAAAGAATAATAACGAACGTCTTCATTGCGAAAGTATTTCAAGTTCATTGCAGCATTACACATCTTTCGCTAAGTAAATGCATCGTCAGTTCTGTAACCGTATATATGTACGTGTACGAAAGTAGGTATTTGCGATAGTACACAAATGGTTAAGAAATAGTTATTGGCAACGACCGATGGCTTTTCGATGATAAGTTGTGTGCTTCCGTAATGGCCTGTTAACTCTGACTGTGGTTAGGGGTGGAGGGTGAACTATCTTTATCAACGTGGCTGAATGTTTTTTTTAAACACAGGCAGCTGTATAAATAATCTATGTTTAAGTTTTCGCTGAAACTGTAAACCTTTCGATGTGTTTACTTACTTTCTTACTCTCCTGGTGCAGCGACTAAAAGTGAGTCTTGGACTCCGAAACTGAAGAGGGCATTTTTTATTTTTGCACGGCTGTACTATGGCTTTTGAATTCCACTTCTATTTGACTCTTATTTATTTTGTTATAAAAGTTTGAAGTGGATTATTATTATTTATATTAGATATATGCTCTACACACACTAACCATATTATATTAACATTAATAAATAATTTAATATTTTTAATTAATTATTTCATTAATTACATTATTAATTAAACATAATGTTTCAATATATTCTTCCTTACTTTTATGTAGACAGATCTTTTTTCTATGATTCACGAAGTATACACGTTCTTCTTACTGGATGAGAAGTTGATCGCTGCATTTTTTCCAAAGTGTGGGAAGATGATATTTCTCACTGACGTAATTCTAGATTAGGTTGATTCATTTGGAATCAATCAATTAGGACGAATGCTTCTTATTCTATAAAAGGCTTAGATTATAATGTTATTGACGACGACTTATGCTCTGTTTAGCGGTTTTGTATCTTGGCATAAAATAAATATTTTATTATAAAATGTGGGTCCTTATATTGACTGATGTTTTTGACATTTAAAAGTAGCCTCTGAAACTTATCATCTTTGATTTATTTTTTAATTAATATTATCCGGCATATTAAACATTTTAAAACACTTTACATATATTATAATGCTAATTAACCCAATTAACGCTTTATTACAGATTCTAATGTTTTAATCCATGCTGAATTGCCGAGTTGGGTTATAAAATTTTTGGTGAATTGCTGCCACAGTTTACAAGAAATCAGATAATCTTTAGGTGGCGTTTTACCCTACATCTATCATTTGTTAAGCGCTGAGTTGCAAAGATATTACACAGTATTTGTTGACTCATACTTGAGACTAGAAGCGACCGCGGTGTCACCCGCTTTATTTTTTAAATTCCAAGTTATATTTTTAATTATTGAATATTGACGTGCCCCACGGTTTTATTTTAGTCTAGTCTATGCATATGTTTATAATTCCCACGACTGTATCTCTTTTATTATTTTTTGGTTTTTAGTACATTTATCTTAAACATTGCAATGTATGGTTAACATAAAACCGTTTAACTTAAAAAGTTTTTTTACCTATTTTTATTTTATTACGCTGTCATATAGAACTGTTGATAGGTTGACTGATTAGATTGCTGTTAAGGGATTTTTTTTTGGAATATCCTTACGAATCCTGTCAGAGAATACAACCCCAAGTTTCAGGTCTTTACATCGGTTTTAAACAGTTCATTGTTAATCTATAAGTTGTTAGGACAATTTATTTTACATGTACAGAGTATAAATCTCTAAGTATAATGTAGCATAACGTAAGAAGTAACCTACTCGCTTTTCCGCTTTTTAAAATATTGAAATATTATTGCGTTAATTGCGTGAAATATTGGCATTTTTCTTTATTTTTATCAACAAGGTCTGTCTGTCAACCTTGCCACACGTCTATTGATTTTTAGCATATTCATCATAACTATTTTCTTTATATCCGGATTTTGTCTTTAAAAAACGAAGTTTCTAGTATTATGTATGTGTGTACATATAAGTTAAAATTGATTTCAAATTGACACGAAAGCCCAATTAGTTAGAGCAAAGCACGAAATGCTGTGGGTGTCGTTTTAAAAAAAAAATCTAAAATCGATTTTTAATTTATATATTGCCATTATATCCAAAAGCATATGAAACATATTAAAGTAATTTTATTTAAAGAAACATATTAAAGTTACTTTATTTAGCAAATTTGATATGAAAAATGTTTTATTCAAATATTAGATCAAATATGTCGATGAGTTAAACAACGGCCCAGAAACACAAAAAGAAAAGGTTTTACTTTACATGTATTTAGTTATAACCTAGAGGTTTTAAAATATTTTTTGTCCCTTCGAATATAATGTGCATATGCACATGGGAAAATTAATTGTCAAATGTGAGAAACCGCCGCTCGCCGAAGTTCGCCGTCCGTAGGTTGAATTGATTGTTTCATAACGCAACGTTACATAACGCTGATAGATTACTCGGGAGACTTTTTGCATTTTACGTGATGACATGATCTAACAGTACAACAGATTGTGTGTTTTGTTAAAGGATTAATACTTGATGGGTAAAAATTCAAACAATGGATTGCGTTGCATTTACAATGATTAATTATGAGTTAATCACTAAACACAAGGAAAAGTAATCACACTTAGAAAGCATTACATACGTTTAAGTAGTTATGGTTCATAGCACTGTAACTTTCATATAAGTTGTACTCAAATTTATATGATATGATCTGGATCTGTATTCTAGGAGTAATAAAGAAGCACAGTCATAATATATCTGCAAAAAATACAGACGGCAAAATTCTTGGTCCAGAAGATTATGAGCTAGAAAATCATAAATCTATTTTTATGCGATGACACCCTATTAAAGCCGCTGGCCTTTGCAAAGCCTAAGACGCATCCGCCTCTTTATATTTGAAATATTAAAGTTTTTTTGTTACGTTAAAAGTTATGTTGAGTTTTTATGTGCAATATTTGAGATAAAGCCACGTATCTTACGCTGTTACTGACTTCGTAATTGTAGAATTATATTTTAATGTAAAACCATTAATTTTTTACAAAACATTTACTTATGTGTTTTAATGACTTGAAGTGCTGATATAAACTAATTCGTAATTGTTTATTTATTGACCAATTTAAATCGGGCAATACAATCGAAAAACTAGTTTTCAAAGCACAATGAACTCAAAAAAAAATCTACAATTTCGTTTGAAATACACAGTCTATTCATTTCTTTACTTTTACGGATCGAATCAAATCCTTCGTTTTATAAATCTCAATAAATTAATTTCGTTAAATGAATGGAAAGTTTTGGTACGCAAATTATTCATATAGTGTTCCATAATACACTTTATGTTATATAATAATATGCATATTTACGTATAATATTCTAACAATTAAGCTAAACACGAATTTTGTAGTTACAATATGTTCGCTAGCTTGCAACACGCTTTAACATAACGCGTTTGCAACATAAACTCTATCTATTAATAATAACAAAGACACAACTTGTGAACAAAATTCTGACCTTAATTATAATTACAGATATATGTATTTTTTAATACGATCACGACATTCAAATAAAAATCACAGTATTTTATAGAATAATGCAAATTGAGATAAACATGAAAATTGCCGATCCGGTTGAGTAGGTTGTTTTGAAGATGTCCAATCTGGGATTACTTATTATTATTGGCTTGTAAACTTGTTTTTGCGGCAATTATTGGAGCCTTGAAATATTTACCCATTACATAGACTGGCTAGGAATCGAAACACTTGAATACTTAAATTTTTTACACGATAATGCACTTGAAAGGTTAGAAGAGAATTTTAAAGAACTTTTATTGTTAAACGATTATTGAAAGATTATTTGTCTTATTCTGTTCTGTGTATGTATGCTTCTCGGCGTTACTAATCATAGTAAAAGTATCTTTCTCGAAATTGAACATTACTAGAAGCTGTTCAAAAGAATATTTTGCGTAACATGTAGCCCGGCAAGTGAGAGATTATGCAACGGTGATATGAACACACGACAAGGTTACTGACGTCTTATGCTTGGTACTAGCGTATTTTTGTTTATAAGCGTTCAGTATTATTTGGTTATAATCAGGGAGACCGTCAAATCGTTGTAAAAACATCCGTCCCGTGGCCTAGTGCTTAAACAGACCCTGATGTCGTAGATTCGAATTCCGGTGAAACTTATCAGGAAGTTTCAGTCGGGAAGGGCATAATAATTTTTATGAATCATCTTTTTACTTGTTGAACGTATATATCTGCATACTCGTATCGGAAAGGGCGATTAATTTTTAAGAAATTAAAATGCAAATAATTTAATCAGTTGATTATATATTTTTTTCAATCAATTTAGACTTGTCTTAATGACTGTAGCAGCTTGTACACCCACCCTATTATTTCGGTATCACGTTAAAAATCATTTATTTCATTGTCAATGTTAACAATAATAATATAAAACGAATTACCATGTCATCTCAAATTATTACATAAACGTGTCAGTGGTGACCTTGTATTGCCTCTCAGTCGACCTTAGCTTTTGTTGGGTCATTTTTATTATACTTTTGTCGATCTATTATTCCAACTCGGGCAAGTTTTTCATGAAGGTGCATGTGGGTAACATTTAATTGATCTTAAAATGCTAGAACATTAAAGATTTAAAGCCGAATAAATGGTATATTCACCGTTTGACGGAGACTTGGATCTCTGGTTGTGGTCTAAAACACTGGTGAAATAAAACAATGTGACAAATAGCATGTTCGAATACCAAAATTTAACATATCATATGTCACATACATGTGACCAGCGTGATCGATTGATTTGTTTTTTTTTTATAGATTTTATGATTAATAGAGACTCTAATTATGAAATTATTGCCACTATAGTTACATTATCAAAGTTAATTACAATCAACTTATAAAACACTCCCCTCTTAATTACATTGGCCGATTGTTGTACGGTTTCGTTGCAAAATATTCATTGCGACATTTATATTTTATTGATCGTATAATATCGGTAGAAAGGAGAGGATGCTAGGTAAAGTTACGAAAAACACCTCGCTTCACAAATCGATTTCAAATATGCGAATGCAAAGACGATCTTAATATTTGGCATAACTATTAAATTTAATAATTAGTAATTTAACTTTATAATTGATTGCCCAGTAAAGTAATATATAATCGTTAATACGGCGTAAAATAATCAAAACAATATCTATAATGTAATTTGGTAGAGAAAACGTGTAATCCGTAGTTCGTACATAGATTGTTTTAACGTATAAGTGTTCCACTGGGTACTTGCAACGTACTGATAACACTAATATTTAACGAAAATATAAATCCTCGGTACTTCGTAATCTGCCTTTAAATTCATTTACCAATAGACCAACGAAGCAAAAAATCAATAATACAAACGTGAAAAGTGGTTAAACAAAAATATATACCATACAGCTACAATTAATTTTCAAGTTTTTAAATTATGACAGATCAAACTAATCCAAATTTTAAATCAACGAATCTAATATATCATTTTTAATTATTAGTCAATATATCGAGTAACTTTGAATTAAATGTTATGTAACTAAGGTCATTTGAATAGGTCGTTTCGCCTCTCGTACTTGAGGTCAAAGGTTACGCTAACTTTCTTCAATCGCCGCGAGCTTAAAAAGACTTACCTGCATATTAGTGGTTGTATTAGTCATTCAGGTATTCGTGGATAAGAAAACGTTAAAAAAACCCAAATATTCAAATTGTCTATTTCATTTCATTGTCATAATACTTTCTATGTTCGTTTGTTATTTGATATTTTCGTTCTTTTGTTAATGTTATAATTATAATCAAGAACATTTTATCATTTTACCTTTCTTTAAAATATGTAACATTTAGGAATTACCTTCTGCTGCTACCTAAGGAAACATAAGCAATGTGTACTTAAAACAGTTTTTGTTAGTGGGTGCCTCTGCGTCTGATATTTAAGCGGTCACTTAAGTGAAAGTAACTTCAAGTGAACTTTCCTTATCACTGCAATGGTTTACTTGTTTGTTATAAATATACGGTTAGGTAAGGTGTATGTACACCATACCCATACCATATATACACCATACCTACACCATTTAAGAAAAAAATTGGAATTGTTTTGTACGTAAATATAAATAAAATCAAATAAACTTTTCTTATTAAAATAAGTATCGTTTTAAAGCTATAATTATATTCAATAAACATAGTTTTTAATGTTACTTATTTTAATGCTTCATAAAATGTTAATGGAGGAAACTATAAACAATTATTCGAATTATATATGTAGTACAAAATGTATGTTTTAATACATATGTTATTTATTATTTTAATTTTATTATGAAATTTTACCTCATTTGTATCAACGTGATTTTTACGCACGAAGCTAACTTACCCATACAAAAGACATCAACGCGTCTTGTTCGTAACATGAACAAGACGCGAAGACATTTTGAATTAGTCTTTATAAGTGTATACAGTTTCATTACATTTACATGTATGTTGAGTGAAAACGTATTATTTTTGTTACTTTCAGGTAAACCAGGAACTGATTATCCAGTATTGGGTGCAGTTCCGTATACCAACTTTTACTGTGACGACCAGGCTTACCCTGGCTTCTTTGCTGATATGGAAACACGTTGCCAAGGTAAATTATTAATATCTATGTACCATTATATATGCCATTAATTATAGACGTGATATTTTAGACATAGATGTGAATTATTATAAATTTAAAAGAATATTCTTTCTACAAATAAACTTTGTCGATGTCTTTGTTTAGTTTTATTAAACACTAGTAAAACTTGAAACAAAAGTTTTAAGGACAATATAATCAACGTAAACGTGGATATTATGTCAGATTATTGTTTCCTGTCTATTAAATACGTACATAACCTTGACATTATTAACTAATAGTTTTAGTTATAGTCGAAACAAAACTGTAACGCATATCCAACTTTGATTAATGGTTCTACAGATACAGATATTGCTGATATATTGTTACTTTTTAATTAGTATACGTATATAAAATAGGTATAGTGGAATTACTTTTTAAAGACATTTTTCTTATAATATATTATAATTCATGTTATTTATTATGCATATGTTTTTAATGGGTTGATAGTGTCATTGTGCTTAAACTAAAATAAAGCCGTATAGTTATATCTATAGTTATGTATAGTTATATAGTTACGTCTCTTAGATCAAACTATTCTTAGAGAATATACAGTAAAATATTAATCTCGCAATATAATAATGCAACTTAAATTTCGTTAAAATAAAAAAATAGAGTTTATAATAAAAGATATATGTAGGTATAACATTCAGTAAGCATTTTGTGCTAAAGGATAGAATTCGAATTTTAAGAGTTCAATAGTTGTGAGATATTGTCTTCAGGGTTTCAGTGATCGTGAGGAAACATTTGAATTCGATTTAATATCTTAACGATTTTGACCTCGATCGTGTTGTGATGATTAAGTAGATTCATGGAGTGAGGTCATCTAATTATTTATAACAAAAAGTTGACTTAAATTATCACAATTGTAGCATCGATATCGTGATATCCTGTTTTTTTCAATATTGGCATTTGCAAAGGTTAGGGTATAATTGAAGCACACGGCAATTTCTTTAAATTTGTAGAAAATCTAAGTAACGTCTATTAAAAAAAACAAACGGATTCTAATAAAAGTAATAAGAAGTTTCATAGTCGGTTAAACGACAAAGAGTTCACTGTTAGTTAAGTAAACTGTGTGTTTGATATTAGGTAGACTGGTAGTTTGGTATTTTTTAAACTATCAATAAAACACACAGACTATCTACTAGTTACAATTACAGCAACAGCACAGTAAATTGATTGTGGATTCGAGACCCGACTGATATTCCATGTTTGAGCTTGCTAGTAAACCACTAGAGAATTTGAAAAAACATTAGACAAGTAACTTATACACTTTGCGTAAAACCGAATAGTATTCGGGTAAACGACAATATGAACTTATAAGTACAAATTATTATTACAGTAACAACACAGTGAGTTGATCGGGGGCGGTTCGAGACCCAACTGATTAATTAGCAAATCTTTCAATTATTGCTAATTAAACATAAGAGAACTTTAAAATGTTTTATTGTGCTCTCCATATATTTTTGGGTATATTTTAACAGTTCAAACATGTTAAGTTATTTTTCTTCACTTAATGTCGAAAATTTTTGCATCATTTCAATTGATAATTATCGTTCAACATACATAATGTTACTATCACGTAATATAAAGCCACTTTGTAAATACGAGTTCAGATTTTATCTAATCTACACAGAGTAGTGTTCTTATTAGTAATCGACTAAAAAAAGTTTGCATGGTGGAACATATTATACCTTAAATGCATATCCGTTATGTGCAAATAATATACAGAATTTCCCATAATTTTATAATGTTTACTCTATTTAGGATTAAGTGGTTACGTTAGCATTCTCGCTACATAGATTACCGTGTAAATATAATTATGTCGCTAAAATATGCTGTTAATAAATGTAATTAATAATTATGATGCGATCTCGTAGACACGTTAAAACTGTTTCGCTACGGTACGTTAGAAGTGTTGATTAAACATAGAACCGGTCAAGTGTGTGTTAAACTCGCGCATGTCCCAGTTATTTATTTAACATTATATTGTTACGGTTATTTATAAAAATGACATTAATTTGTCCAAGATATTTATTTTGTTTACTGTCTGTAGTTTACGCCAGTCGCATATATATTTAAATAAAACACTTTTACGGTTAAAGTTTGAGTCTCATCATGGTGACCACGATTGCTTTCCAACTGAAACGACTAAACGTAACGTTGGGCCTTAGTTAAAATGATTTGTAATAAAGTTTTACTAATATATTTTGCGTTTTTAACCATTAAAGTTTTTTATTTTTATTTATTATTGTTTTTTAACTTTTTGTTGCTGTAATAATTCAAATAACATGTGGAAATAGACCTATTTTGATACATCTTTTATAAATAAATCAATCTATGTATTTACTGTTACGGAATAAACGTTGATATTTACAATGACAATAGATTTAGTGGAGGTTAAAGATGACCTAATGTTTTTGACCATTCTTAGCGCATGATAGGCAATACTAATTAATATGTTTTGGCAACACATATTTATACGATTAGTTACAGTAAACAAAACAATGTCTTTGAGCAAGTTCTACTTTTATTACGTTTTCTCTTCTAAAATCTAAATTCATTACTCGGTGTTTTACTAAAAGTCTTAGTACAAAGGCTGAATTACTGCTATTCTGAATCTTCGTTACTGATATATTATTCTTCATTTAAATTTTTTAACCTGCAACAAAAGCAAAAACAAACAAATATTATAACGTTAACAACCGCAGTTATTAAAATTAGATGTATTTTAATAAAGTTATTAACCTTTAATTTCTTGTATTTTAATTACAGCTTGGCACTACTGTGACATAGATGGTCGGCAGGCGTCATTCCTCTGTCCAAATGGGACCGTTTTCTCCCAAGGTGTCGCGTCTTGCGACTGGTGGTTCAACGTGCGGTGTGCTCTTTCACCAGCCCTATACCCGCTCAACGCGAGACTCTACAGGCGAAGGAAGAAGCAGAGAAAACCCAAGCCCCACAGGGTTATCGACAAGAAACTGATTGACGAAATATTTTTGTAAAGTAGTCTAGTCGTGAACTTAGCTGGGAGTTTTTTTTATGATAGAGGAGAGATAAGCATGGTGTTTACTTGATGATAGGTGAAATACCTCAGCCTAAACAGCTGCGCTGACAAACTATTTTGGCTTTGGATATTCGGAAATATACACAGACTGAAACCGAAATTTAATTAAACTTCACGGCTTGTTCTTCTGTGGACATTCAATTACGGTATTTCTATCCCCTATTGGGGATGGGAAAACCGAATAATTACCGGGCGAAATCCAACATGGTTCAAAAATCTATAAATAAATACAGTCTGTCTTTAAATTATAAATTGATTAGAAAAATTTGGACCTGGCGGGGATTGAACTCAGGACCTGTTGGTTATTATTCGTACATTGCTACGATTATACCAAAAAACCCGTAAAAATTTGTCTGGAAATGCTTTGAAAGGAAAATGTTTGACTGTGTTATCTAAGTTTGTCCGCGTCCCATCGCCTTGCGAGTTAATCTTAAAAGATAGACAAATCTGTCTGGCAGACTGTACACAAAAAAATGAACTGTATTTAATCAGAAACTTGCATAAAGTTTCTGATTAAATACAGCCGTCATGACGAGGGGACTAAAAATTTGTTTATTAAGTAATAAGTATATTTCGCGAATTAAGCAGTAAAATTTGTTTTATACAAGTATGATACATAAGTATGATTGTAAACGACTTTTTCCGAAATTTGTGAATTACTCCGTGGGTTTACGTCACCTTTTGAAATGTAACTTTCCAGCATTTTATGTGGCCAAAGGCGCTCCGTGTAACCTGTTCTTGCTAAAGACCCTTATTAGTGTATGTTCCTTGTTAAGGTTGTTTAGCTTAAGTCAGTGATTAGATTATATTGTAAATAATAATAAATTGTATAAGAACAATCGGAAATTTCATTTCAAAAATAATTACCACACACTGAATGCTTTAATATTTCGATACACCATGTCACATTTAAAAATTTTCTTAATAAAAATCTGTAGGGCTTTCACGGCAATCGTTCAGGAATTAATTATTCGAGCAATCGAGGAGCTAACATCTCCTGATGATGCCGTCCGCTCGTGACGGCAAAACGTCGAGAACCTCTTCTCGCTCACGTTCGCCGAACAGCCCGAAAAACGATGATATGGTAAAGAGTTTCCATTTGTAATAAGCAATAAAAATCCCTGTCTTTTATGTAGGCCAGATTTAGGAGTATTTATGATTCATAATGCTTTGCCTAATAATTATCATTACTTTTTTAAATAACATTTAATGGAATTTGCGCAAGTAGCTAAAATCCTAAACGTTTAATAATTATCTATATACCTAATTAATATCTAGATAATTTTAGTACTCTATTTATCCGTAGATAGACTACCTAAGTGACCAGTTCGCGCCCCAATTTTTCTACAAAGTAAATAAACAACACAATATCACCTTCACTGGGCTTTGTTTAAAATTTGATGGCAATGAGTAAGTTACACTTCAATATAACGAGTAGCAAGGTTTTTCTGGTACAGGTGTGAAAAATTAGTCACAAATCAGTAATAATTGTTACAGGTATAAGATTACGAGTATTTTTTAAGTCACGCTGTGGTCGGGGTACCGCCGACTTCATAAAATTTATTGAATTGAAATAGAAGTAATTAAATATAAATATACATTATTTTTTTAGTATATCATAGAATAATTAACTACGTTCTTAAAACTTACAGTATTATTTAATTGTTTGTTTTGAAATTTCTCAAAGTTTTAAATAAAACATTTATTAAAATTGGTGTAAAAAAACATAACGTATAATGGTCATTTAGGAAGGTCTAATTTTTTGTAAGATAATTAATAAAGGGTAAGTATGTACCACAAAACTACTTAATCCAGTTTGACTTGTAATATAAAAATAATGTGATTTTGTTGATAAAATAAGTTTACATTTAAGTAAATTACTAAATTATACAATTCAAATTATCATGACTCGTAACGGCCCTAATACAACAAAAATAAAAATATTATATTTATATAAATGGTACTGTTGTTTTAAGATATAATCAAGTTCTAATAAAATAAATAAAACCCTTTACCGGTTTAAAACGCGAAATAAATTTGTTAAACGAGTTCTGTATACGCGAGTAGTAAAAAATTAAAACATTGAAGTTAAACTTATTTACAATTCCGTGACCACGGTTGTAAAACATCAAAAACTCCGGATTCTAGTTTAAATAAATTGTGATCGAGTTTAATAATATTTCGCGTTTTAAATCATTAGTAGTGATTATTAAATATAATACTTTAAATTACATTTAATTTAAGATAGGCGTATATTTTTGCATGGCTGGAGTAAAAAAATTACATAACGTTTGAAATAAAATTTTTCAAGGGGTATCGCAAAGGAAGCCAAAAAAAAAAAAAAAAAAAAAAAAAAAAAAAATTTTCCCCCCGGGGGAGCACGAAAACCGCCACCGCCACCCCCCCGGGCGGCCCCCACAAAAAGGGCCCCCGAGCCCCAACCCCCCCGCCGAAAACTCCCACAACTTAGGAAAACACCCCCCCCGCGAAAAGAAATTTCTACCTTAACACTTGCGTATTAAGGCTCAATGTCTATGCCTTGCCTACCATAAAAAAAAAAAAAAAAAAAAAAAAAAAAAAAAAAAAAAAAAAAAAAAAAAAAAAAAAAAAAAAAAAAAAAAAAAAAAAAAAAAAAAAGGGGGGGGGGGGGGAAAAGGGGGGGGGGGGGGGGGGGGGAAAAAAAAAAAAAAAAAAAACAGTCATTGAAGATAAATTAAAAGTTAATAACGTTAAGTACCAAAAAAAAAAAAAAAAAAAAAAAAAAACCCCCCAAAAAGAACGTAGATACATGAATCCCTCGAGCACCCGCGCAATGTAATTTCTACCTTAACATATCATACAGTGTTTCAGCCTGGTAAGGAATGCGGTCAATTACTTGTTGAGCATAATCTGTCAATGAAGAGCGTAGAAAATTATGAGCCTGGTGCCGTCCCCAAGACCAATTTTTATACAGGTGGCATTGCTATTCTCGTTTAAAACAAACATTAATAGACATAAAACATTATTGTTGAGGCATCTATCTATCAATATATCATATGCGGCCCCTAGAGGCAGAGTAGCCTAACTACAATTCTATGACTCATTTATATTTTCACAGTCTGAAAATGTTAATCTAAAAGAGCACAGTAACCGAACATTTTTAACATAATTTTTAAGCAAATAATAGTACAAATTCATTTTCGCGTATGTTAATAGCGCAATGTTTTTGTTATTACGCCACTCTGCCTCTAGCAGCCTCATATTATCTATACTAGAAATGTCTTTAGGGAAAACAAATTCTTGGTTTCTAGTAAGTATAGATGAACGCAAAGCAAGATTACTTTCTGAGCCTTTAAGATTTGTTAAGCAATGGCTCTATGGTGCGGGGAAGCTAATCAAAGTACGCCTTACAAAAATTAGAAGGCAAATCAAGTACAAAGCGTAAATTGGGTAGAATAGGTGTTGAAGTACATAATTGTAAGTTTGCGGTGAGTCATAAACGCAGCTGCACTCTATACTAATAGTATTTAGTGTTCAATTTCTTATATAATATTATAGGACATACTACTAAAGATTACCTTGAGATGAGATTAAAAATACTTCTGTGCACGATTTAAGTATCAGACCTCAGACCTTCTGATAGTGCTTTATAAGATAAGAAAAACCGACGAACGGACAGACAAACATATCATAGTCATATTTTATTTTTATAAGAGTATTTTTAGAGATTTTTATTTCTAATAAAAAGGAGAGGCGGTGTGTTTCTTGCCAGTTCTTCTCGTTTATTCCACGCCCTGATTTGAGAACAGAGGTGACAATACCTACATGAATAAATTATTTTAAACTTTATACTTGGCTTTTGGGTACAAAAACATCAATTAAGCGCCTAGTTCGGTCTTGGGATAGGACTATGCCACTGATTCTGTGAGACTACTATTACATGTACCTAAATAAAGATATTATTAAAAAACCTTTTTTATTGATGTTTAAAAAATAAAATCTTCGTCATATTTTCAAGAAATGTATACATTCTGACTTCTGTTGTCGGTTAACAATACAAAATTCATTGCTGTATTATCCAACAATCGTGGGAAACATTTAAATCCCTTTATTAGACATGTCCTTAGTCGGATTGTCTTATGAAAGAAATTAAACAATATGCCATTTTAGATATACAAAGCATTGTCATAAGAAAAACTGCAATAAAAAAGGGATTCCATATTCAAGAATTATGATTAAAAACTACGCAATATTGATCTAAGTTATGTAATAAATGGATGCTTGCTACTTCAGAAAGTTAGCCCTAGGCAAAATAAATATTTATTGAAATCTGCTCTATATTGACTAGGAATGAATAATGTTGTGTTTTATAAGTTTCTCACAATAATAGATTATACTTGGTACTTTATTAGAGGTAGAAGCTTCTATAGTGAATTAATCGATATCATAATTGAACTGGAAGCAGTAGTCTTTCTATCCTCATTGCTAAAGTAATGTATATGACAAACCACTGTCGCCTTAGTCGTCCTGAAAGACAAAGAAAAAATATCGACAAGCTGGACACAGAACGAGCCTTTCCATAGCGAGTCGACTCTCAAAGTTATTCGTATCGTGAACCGTGGTAAACGCAAGCGCGTGCTTCTTGCGGTCTCGGAATAATATTACGTTAGTTACGCGCTATCGTTTGATTGTTATTGCAATTTTGATGTTGGATTTTTACAATCACAATGGAACTTCGGATGCTTATATTATGCGGTAAGTCTTATTGTCACTCAAATTATTCGAGATACTAATTTAGGATACATTCATTCATATAAAAAATATATAAAACTTATTTAATAATACAATTTTATATGATAATCCGGCCGCTATATATGTATTTAATTTTAATCGTTGCAATTTGTAAACATTTTTTTTATATTTAAAAGAACACATGTTTATGTGTTTTAATTTATTGTC